TCAAAGGAACAGCTGGCCGTGATGGGGTTAGCATAACCCTCCCTGCTTCATACTGGTATCTGCAACACTTTGATCTCGAAAACTTGCACAAACATGTCGACTTTTTCAACATCATGTCCTACGATCTTCACGGAAAATGGGATTTGGGAAATCAGTGGCTTGATCCTGTTCTCAACTCTCACACCAATCTGACCGAGATTAAAAATGCTATGGATCTCATCTGGCGAAACGACGTCCCCTCTGACAAGGTGGTCCTTGGATTGGCATTCTACGCTCGTGTTTTCTCTGCTTCAGACCCTGCCTGCATGGACCCTGGATGCCCCTTCGTATCGGGCGGTAATCCAGGTCCCTGCAGTGATGAAGTTAGCATCCTACTCAACTCCGAAGTCAAGGATATCATGAGCGAGAAAAAGCTCACATCAAAACTCGACAAAGACGCTGCCGTCAAGATACTGAAGTTCGACACGAATCAGTGGCTCACATATGACGACGAAGAAACCCTCCAGATGAAGACCGATTTTGCCAAGTCCCAGTGTCTTGGTGGTGTCATGGTTTGGGCAGTTTCTCATGATCATTCATCTGGCAACTTTTCTACTGCGTTGGCTAAAAAGACCGGCCGAAAAGGCACCTCACTAGCCTTTGACAAGCAGAAAGATTCAATGCAAATCCAGAAGACCCATCTCCAATGTCGATGGACCAACTGCTTTGAGGGTTGTCCCAGTGGATGGACAAGTGTTGCTCGCACTGACAAAGGTGCTCGCGGGGACGAGAGAATGTGGGATAACACCGGATGTGGTGGTAATGCACAGCATACCTTCTGCTGTCCGCCCGACTCTGAGCAGCCCAAATGCGGTTGGTATACGCACAACAACGGCCACTGCAAATCACAATGCCCGTCAGGGTATGTGGAAGTTGGATCGAATTTCCAGCATTGCAGCAACAACGACAACGATTACCAGGCTGCATGCTGTACAACAGACACAAACAGCATGAAGCTTTACTCTCAGTGTGACTGGGCTGGCGGTGCGCCAAATTGTGACGACGGAGAGTGCCCAAGCAACATGGCATATTTCCTGAATTCAACCACTGGGAGTGGTGGAAACTACTGCAACGCGAAAACGGTCAAATATACCTGGAACGGCAATGAAGGTACTTCCTGGGAGACGCGAAAATACTGCTGCGATGACGACGACAAGACCAAATGGGACGACTGCGAATGGAGAGACGACATTGGTCTCGAATTTGCTGGTATGGTCAAAGATTACTGCCGTAGCGGCTGTCCCAATGACAAAGTCCGCATCGCCATAGATCAACACCGAGACGGCTGCAAAGGCGACGGTGGAAAATCCATGTGCTGCAGCGCAAACTATGTCACGAAGACGAAGCGATCCTACACTGATTCCGAAAGTCGACTTGAGTCTGATGTGAAAGCATTCATGAAAAACCCAGACTGCGGCAGCGATGCCTATAACAACATCAAGCGCGATCTGGGAGGCATGGACTTTGTGGGCCTCTCCTCAGAGGAATACAACCACACATCGCTTCTACATCGTCGTTTTGATACCAGGCCGTATGAGTCTATACGCGGCCTGATGCTCGAGATTGGATTCACACTTGTGGCAGGCCAAGCAGCCATCGAAATTTGGAACAAACACGTTGCTTCTGTCTACAAGAATTTTGCGGTCAATAAACTCCAGCTATGGCTGGAGAAGAATCCCGAATGGAAGGAAGATGGAATGGTCGATTATTCCGCCTTGATTGTCTGCAATATGGACATATTCGACGACAAGATTGGAGGTGAAGAAAGTGAGATCAGCTGCAAATGCCCATATTCAACCTGCTGTCCAGACGGAGACGCCACATGTGGCGGGGAGGATTTAGACGGCGACGAGGATACAGGCAGCCTCGAGGCACGGACTTTGGAAAAGAGAGCGGGTCCCCGGCCCTTCAAATTACCTTTCCGCCAGGGGGGCCGCTTGGACTGGGAATCTCTTTCGGTATGTTAAGAGACTCCCCTCCGATTTGACTCCAGACTAAATCACGAACGTACGTCACAGTACAGAAGCAGGGGTGAATGGGCTATAGGTCATCGTATTTGGAGACAGGCATTTACATATCGAAATGAGGACGAATGTCTGGATTCGGCCCTTGGGACTCAAATGATCACTACTGAGGCGGGCAGAAGTGACTATGATGGTAATGTTCCCCCTTATAGCTTTGAAAATGGCTGTGTTCTCTCCAGGTTTTTTTTGACATCTCGCATTTCTTCATTATCCTGTCCTGAGTTGACTGACCAAATGCAGTGGAACATTACATTGAACTGAACACGATTCAAGGTTTCCTCACCGACGGTTACGCAGGAACCTTGTCAACTGGAGCACGACCCAGAAACTCTGCCCTGCCTCGTCCATTCCTGGAAGCACTCAACACTCCCATGTTGCGCGCTGCACCTCCAATGGCAGGTGGTCGGGCATCGTCAACCCCACTTGTAAGAGTCATGAATGCTCTTGGAAGCAGACGAAATGACCAGCATTTCATTGTTCTCCTTGGTGGCCTGAATTCGCTGAAAAGTCGGGTAAGACCTTAAAACCCCGTATCTTGTTTCAATCTTGGGGGCTTCTTTTACTGATTCATTTTCCAGATGTGGCGCGATGAGCCAAGATTCAAGAACATGTCCACTCAAATAGAGGCCGATAATCCGGATGAAGCCCTACGAAGCATCAGATCTGTCATCACTGTCATGAACTATCTGAATGATGATCGAGTACGTCCTCATATGGTTGAAACTTCAAATGAAGTACGCCGGGAGTTTGGCCTAGTAGACCAGCAGTGGGTCGCCGATGGAAATGAGGCAGTCTATGTCCAAGATTGGTGGGATCAATGGTTCCGAAACCGGCTTCAGCATATTGGAACAACAAATACCAACTGGGCCACGGGCCAGATAGCTGACATGAGACGACTATGGGCAGTGAGGACGGGATCTAATGTCACACCTACTATCGAGGCTCTGGATAAGTTGAACGCGGATGCGTCGGATATGAAGATTGACACGGATGATCTGGACTGAAGCTGAGTAGGTAACCATGTGAATTGATAGATACATGTATATAGTTCATACAAGATGTCTTTTAAATTTTGCTTGAAGGGCAATGAGCTTTGATGACAACAATTCAGGCTGTTATAAAAGACTTAGAGGATGGACGACGATGGTGATTTTTTAGACATTGTGTCAACCGTATCTTGGGTCGTTGATTGCCCAGGCGGTTCAATGCAATAAACAATTTCGGTCGCAGAACCGACAATATGCAGCTATTGAATCTTGGGTCTAGTTACTGTAGTATTCAAGTCCCACATGACATGACAAATTTATAAAACATCAGTACCGTCGGGTCTCATTGAATAACTGTCCTTCATATAAGCTCCGTCCTGCATATCCGCCCACACCTCGAACAACGAGGACAGGGAACACTTCATCCACCCTGGAAATGACTCATATGGATCTACCTCCAACGCCTCGACGAGTTTCACATAATGACGTCTATCTTCTTCGTATTTCGAGTCCTCTGGAAGGGGAGCGTTTTGTAACTTTTGAAAACTTTCTTCGTCCATGACAATAAACATGCGATAGCCAGGAAACACATCGAGCACATCACGCTCAGTTGCTTCGGCCCTGAAATGCTCGCGGAGCTGGTCTATCGATGCTCCGTCGAACTGGGAAGCATCTTCAATGACCCGTGGCTGGTAATTCGGCCAGATTTCATCCCAGGGAGTGATGTTGAACTCATTTGCCCTGGAGTTGTACTGACGGGAAGATTCGTAATAATTGTAGAATCCGTCTTTCATGTAATTCGTGGTGAGGTCGACCATACGCGGGAAAGCGGCATTGGATTGGGGAGTGTAGGTCGTCCGGTAGATGGTGTAGCCCCAGGTGGGCTCAGAGTAATGGAGCCATTCATAGATGTTACGAATGGAACCTGGAAGCCAGTGGCATTGCTTCATCGGCTTTCGAAGTAGCGACATGATGGGTCGACTTTGGATGTTGCGGTGGTTTAGAGGGGAGTTGTGGACGGAGAAAAGTCCAGCCTCATTGGAACCTTGGAAGGACCGCTTTATAGTTCCCCTCAGGGCTGTGAGCAGGTATTTATCAAACTTTCTGTCCCCTTTACAATACCCAACTTGTACTGGTCCCTGGTCAATCCAGTGTCTCCATAAATTACCGTTAGCTCCTTGGCATCATTCCCACATTATCTTGGCATGTTCGCATTCGAATTAGGGCCATGGACGGAGTACGGAATACGGAGTAGAGAGTAGAGAGTCAATGTTACTGTCTCTCTATGTGGCATTTTCAAGGTCATATCAATCGAGAACCTCGTTAGTATCAGGAAATCATAATAATAGGCAATCTTCAAATCTCCAGTCGGCCTTGTTGCTACATATCTCATTGCCGAGAGCCGCTCACCCCTCTAGCCGACTTCTTCGACCTAAACTTGAGTCTCTGGTATGTCAATCTGAATAGATGGAAGCTCAGGTCAATTTGCCCCATGATATACCCTGAAAATAAGTAAGAGATGTGGCGGTATACTCGACTAGATGCTGGGATTTGGCGGTGTTGACATTAAAACCGCCCCCGCAATGGTAATTTTACGCGTTCAGAGCGCGCAGAGAGCCATAGAGTGCTGGAAAATGCCCAGAAATAAGTTGAGCAGAGAGAGCAAATGTATAGCGACCGTGTATATCTCCCTTACAAAAGAGGGAGCCTTCTAGTAGAAGAAAGAAGGGTTGGAGGGGATGAAATGCGGCGCGTCACGTCACGCATCACGGAAAAAAAACCACCTCCCCCAAAATCCCCTTTAGCCCTTTTCGGCCCACCTTAATGCATCGCTTTCTTTGCCTTTACCTTTGCCTTTCTTTAGACAATGGCTCCTTTTGATTTACCTGAGTTCCCCTATTCAGAGCCTATCCTTCCTTAACCGCCTTTTCCCCTCCGTCCATTGCGTCCAATGGCCGCAGAGCCCGAAATCCACCGTCCGTGACGCCGCGGTCAGGTCGTCGATTCTTCAAGCCACGCTCCCTACTACCTACTGCCGATAACTCGGCCACTCTGATAACGAGTCGACAGGCTTTACGGGCTCTCACCTCGCCTGCCGTTAATCGTCTGGGACCGACATTTTCGCAGACCTCTAAGGCCGGCACCCGAAGCCCTCACGATGGCCTCCCAGAGGACTTCATCCGGACTCCGAGCCGGAAACGAAAGAACTCGTTCTCCTCTGTCGCATCTCCACTGCAGTCATCCCCTCTGAAGAGAGTTCGGGTCCGCTCCCTAACGAGTGATGTCGATCATGAGATTAGAATTCCCGACGTCGACCTCCGCCTGCAGGCCGCGGAGGTTCCAGTGGTGCCGAAACAACCTCCTGCCGTAGCTCCTGTGCATCGGTCTCGGGCATTGGAAACCTCAGGTGCATTATTCATGCGGAGTATACTTGGCTCGCAGCGCAATAAAGTGACTCTACGAGCCAACTCCGGAGTTGGTATGTGCTGAACCTTACATCTTACTGAACACCACTAATTGCTCTATAGGCTGGCAAGATCTCACCTCTGAATTCTACTCATAACCCGCAGACTTTCACGCCTGCTCTAGCTATGCAACAGAAGGGTCCCCCGCTCTGCCTTTCTGCAACGCTTCATGCAACATTAAGCGACACTGACCCTAATTTCTATTTTCCTTGTCCTAATATCCAAATCAGCAAACTCAATCGTTGCTATTGGTGATGAAGAGGGTGGAATCCGACTGCTAGATTCATCGATCGACGAGGATGCTGGGTTCACCGATGCGTACCTCGGATTCCGTCCGCATGTAAACTCCATTATGGACCTCGAAGCCTCGTCCGACGACATGTTACTGGCCACCGCATCTGGAGACCAGACATCTCTTGTAATTGATATGACGACACAGAAACCCATCTACTGTTTGTCAAACCACACTATGAATAATGATTTGCTCAGCCGGCTCTATAAATAGCCTCTTTCTCCTTTCTCTTCACAAGCTGCCGGTAAAGCAGAATGCCCCTAATCGGGTCTGACTTATATCGATGGGTTGCTAAGACTTCTCTCCCTAACTTATGTGCCATCTGTGTTGCCTTAATCCTAGCAACCTGGTTGATCTATTGGATTGGAAGTGATGTGTGGCGCTGGGCATGGAGAAGACGCCATATTGTATTTCTTCACCCATTCAATCAATCAATCAATCACTCAAAGTTCAATTAACCTGTTGCAGTCTGACTAGTTGCGTATGACTATGCAGGCGCTTCCTCCAGCGGAAGCAAGAACTCGTAGACAAACGCCAGAGCTGGGGTATAACCCAAAGAGGAAACAGATGCTGATTTGAAAAGAGTGCGGAAATCAGCCCATTGCCTTCCTGTCAGCCCGCAAAACAAAATACATCCCAGTACAAATGAAATCCTATAATATCGGTATGGAGTGCACCCTCTATCTTGCATCCTCCATCACTCCCTTCCATCACTATCCCCCTCCTCACCTTACCTCCGTTTCAATTCATGTTGTATTGTCTACTGGCCAATTCATTAGCGCAGTATGTTTGTCGACTGTTACCGAGCCTCTCGACGCCCGGTCTCGTTCGCTTCGTTAGTGGAACATTCTCAACGTCTTGAGAATGTCGTGTAATAGCCTATAAGGGGCTGCTAGAAGGTTCAGCTCGACTTAGTTCTTGCCCTCGTGCTTTCAACCCTCGATTCGTGAAAGGAAGAGGTCCTCAGGAGAGTGCAGCGGTTCCTTAATAAGTAGCTTGAACCACAAGGGAATGAGTAGGTGGAAAATCGATAGTCTTTCCACACTGCGGATCCTTCGCCACTAATTTATGCCTGACTTTACGCATGAACAGACACATAAGCTCCAGATTGTGACCGTTTTATTGATATACTCCGGTGGCAGAGGGTGCTCTCTTGTGAAACAATCAAATGTTGGATGCCAGTTCATGGCATCATGGTGGATAAAGAGACAATGGTTTTTCGGTCTTCCTAGTCAATATCATTGATCTTCTTGTTGATCAGATCATAGACAGGCAGGCAAAGCCATCGGGGCCACCGGCACCCGACACAGTAACATAATATCTGTCGCCGAGATTATCGGCAATGGCGTTCAATGCGTTGATTTGTCGGTGTCTCTGGGCAACTTCGATTGCTTCCACCGCCGCCTTCTAGCAGTCTGAATAGTTGATGCGATCGGAGAGCGACTCTCCAGGGACAGGGCTACGATTGGCTTGCGGCGCAGAATTATCTATAAAGTTCGGCGGGATGTTTTTCACGTTCTCGCCCTAGAGGCTAGCACCTGTAGGCGCTACCTTGACTCCATCAAGTACTGGATTTGAGGAACCAGAGTTAGCAGATGACAAGCTCTCGGGTATTCGTGCGCTGCACCGGACTAGAATAGAACCAGTATCTACTGCGAGATTATCGGGCACAGACTTGAACGCTCGGCGATCTTCTTGCCAAGGTTGTATGTATGGACAAAGGCCCTGGGATCACGATTGAATAAGGCGATACCAGCGCCCCACCCGCAGGAGAGTGGAGCATCTGAATAATTTAAGCCAATTAAAACCAAGAAACTAGATCCACCTTCACGTGTAACCTTTGAATTGAATCTTTCTTATCTGATGACGGGACATCGCCTCTTCCTCATTGCACCTTTCCCAATTGTAGAGTTTCAACATGGAGAACCGCGTTGCAGAGAATGTGCTGGGCACACTTGGTGCGGTCAGTAAACCGATTGTTTACCATTATCCTAATTAACTTGTATGTAGGTCTGTTGGTCTATCCAGGTAGGCGGTCGGAATGCACAAAATAATTACAACTTACGCTAATATTTTCACAGCTTCTTCCACAAATCATCATAAACTATAGGAGACATGATACCGAAGGTCTTCAGGGGTCAATGATGCTACTGTGGGCCGCCGCAGGAGTTCCTCTTGGAGTATACAACATCGTTGAAGAATTTAATATTGCCTTGAGGATTCAACCCCAAATATTGACCACTCTCAGTTTGATCACTTGGGCGCAGTGTCTTTACTATGGAAAGGTATTTCATATCCTGTTCACGGATATACTTGTTATGCATGCTTACAATAACGACGAACTAGAAAATTTCTATCATGAAATGCTGCGTCGCTGTCGCATCCCTTCTTGTGCTACTAGGGGGCATGCAAACAGGGCTAATCTTCGGTCTCCAAGCGGCAAAGTCGCATGATCTTGAATGGCCTCTGATCCTGATGGCAGTAATGAGTGCATGCCTGCTTGCCGCTGGTGTATTGAGACATTATTGGGATATATATGTCCACCGAACTGTTCGTGGGATCAGCTTCATTTTTGTCGGTATAGATGCCGCGGGTGACTTGTTTTCTCTTGTCTCTGTTTGTCAGTGAAGTGCCTTCTCAAACAAGATAGACAACCACTAACAATCAGACAGTATTCGGAACCACTATTGATGCTCTCGGCATCATCATCTATGGAACCGAATTAACACTTTGGATCGGCATATTTATTTGCGGTGGCATTTTCAATCTCTTGCCTTGGATAAGGGAACGCTCCAAGCAGCGAGACGCCGATTTACAGGACCCGGTCTCTCTGCATCCAATGCCATCGTCAACTTCGGTGTTCAGAACAGCGTCTGGAACCGAGGTTTCGGGAAGACGACCATGGCAGAGCTCATCATGATTCGCCAAAGGCTAGATATCCTCAAAACAACAATAAACTATTACCTACTTGTGTAGATTTATACGTTCTGTTTCCGAATCTGTCCCCTCGATGTCAAGGGAGATCACAATTCTTTGTGGCCAGTAACAGTGTGCAATTGAAATCAGAAATATTGTCTCGTGGATAATGCATATTTACACCCGGGCCGAACCATAGATCGGGTGGATAAATCCCCGCGTTCGGGATTCGAACATGTGGGTCTTAAACATAACTCGGTTCAACTCAAAATCCCATTCAACAACATATGTACATGTATGTATATATGGCATAAAGTTGTTGTTAGTGAGATAGGAAAATTCATTCAGCTACCCTGGGAGGAATATTTGAGATTAAAAGGGGATGGCCTGGTGAGAAATGATGGCGCAAATGTGCAGTAATGCAGGCAAAAGGGAAACTTGGTGAAAAACATGAACTTTCCCATTGCGCATCATATTGGAGTCCGCGTTAAGAGAAGTATACTCCGTTTGGAACGTTTGACAACATTTTAACATATCGCCTTATCCTAATGTTTCTCTGAATTTTTGTTTCTCTGATTTGGACTTGGAATAATTATTCAGTCGTCTTACAAGCATGTGGCGTCTCGGTTAGCACCCGTAAGCACTAAACCTCCCCGGGGGCCGATTCTCTCTTTTCCCACTCACTTCTCAGTTCGGGCTTTCGATTGTATGCAAAATAGAAGCAACTTACCCTGTTGTGGTCCCCACCAGATGAACCAAACGAGAGACTCGGAATCCCGCAATCGAAGCTATGTCGCAGCCAAAGCTCCGCACTTCATGCGACCCATGCTCTTCATCCAAAGTGCGCTGCACTAAAGAGAAACCTGGTTGTTCTCGCTGTTCGCGGAATGGGCTGGAGTGTGTCTATGGCCGATCGCAAAGAAAGGGCAAACCACCCTCGAAGACTAGCTTCACTCACATTCCACCCCGCCAATCTCTATCTTCTCACGCTCTGCCACCATCTCCGTCGAGTCTCTCTCCTCCTGGTCAGTCACCCGGGCGCACCGAGCAGTATGAGAATAGTACCATTTATAACTACCACTGTCCCTGGTCTCGATCCCCGATGTTCCCCACGATGGATTATGCAAATCCCAGCGTCGCCAATGAAGATCCCACAGAATATTACAGAACAGATAACGAGCTGACTACCTACCCATCGCTGCTTAACGGGGATGGCAGTGCATCGCATTTCTCCGCTCAACCACGCCCGATGCCTTGGTCCAATCTAGCCGTGTCAAATTCAACATCACCCGAATGCGCTATCCAAAACTCTTTCCCGGGAATGGCTGCTCATCAAGAGTACAATCATATTTACAATAGCCAGATCAGGGACCCTCATAGACGCTACATATATCATCAACAGGAAAATGCGCTGGAGACCCCACCAGACGACCCAGATCTACCATACCAGACACTCGCCTACCAAATACCCTCACCAACTCACGAGCCAGAGTCAACGAGCTACTATGCCGGTCATTGATCACCGTGTGTGCAGAAGTGCCATGACCCTGGGACTCAAACAGTCACTGAATGAAACATCTACATGAAAAAAATCGGATTATGGGACTAAATCTTCCCTCAAAAGTGTCTGGAAAAAGCCACAGCCATATACTCCGTCTCATGATCCGGCGGGAGAATAGCAGACAAATAAGCCTTCCAATCAGGAACGTCGTTGCAAAATTGATATGCCTTCACACTCTCCCACCATTGAGGGTACCAGCCCGCATATTCCCAATCCAAGACTGCAGTGACTTGGCCGTAGTCATTGACTAGTATATTTCTTGGTGCTAGGTCTCCGTGCGTGAAGGCCAACTTTTCTTTTCGTTTCCCTGATGCGTGCCGCTGTAAAATATGAATATTCAAAGTGGTCATTCGTGTGAACGGTTGCTCAGTGAGTCGCACTTGGCGCTCTGGGTTTCGGGTGATGTCCAAAGAATATATATCCACAGGATCAATTTGATGGCCTATGGGCTCAGGAAAAGGCAAGTCTCGCAGTTGGAGTACGTATCCGCGCAGTTGTTCGGCGACAAACATCTTTTGGGATGGGAGCATGCTCGACCAGATATCTTGTAGTGTATGGCTGTCGATGTAGTCCATTACGATAGACTTGATGCCACTATTGTGATTTCCGATATCGTGTATGTGAGGAATAGGAATGGTAGTATTTGCAGCGATGTAGCGCATATTTTCAGCCTCGAGCTCGATTTCTGCGGACGGTCCATATTTAAGCAGCTTATCGTTTCCCAACCGTACAATTTTCCGGTGTCCCTCTATAAAGTCCTGTCAGACACTGGAGTTAATTGGCGGAATGTTAGTGAAAATATTGACCTTCTTCTGAGACCATCGCTCAGACAGCGCGTCTGTTCAGACGGTTTGGCTTGATTCATCGGACGAAAGATGGTGAACAGAGAGGGAAAGCGCATCCATGTCGAATCACGTGGCGAGGGAAGCCAAGTATGCACTCACCTGAATACGGTAGTCCGGATGTGAACTTGTCGTTTTGGCAGGAAACCCGGGCAAAGTGAAATGGCTATATGGAGCAGCACATGCAGCGAGGGTGAATCTCTTCTCTAAAAGCCACCAACATAGGTGACAGGCAGTGAAAAGAATGCGAGATTGCAAATTAGGAGGAAGTGGATTCCACCATGATACCAGACAGTCTTGATGACAAGAAGCCAAGGAGAATTGAAGGAATTTTTACTCAAAAATTCCCTGCCGATCCAAGACCAACAGAAGCAGTCAGGTGAGTAGGTTTCAACTAGCAAAAACACGATCTCGGATGTGTATCCTCACTGATGCGTGTAAAACCCATGCACTAGGATGGGGGAGGAAAGAAGAAGAGAAAGAAGGGAATGAGAGTGACATCTCATTATATTTGAGGAAGATTCGAGGCAGCTCAAACAGAAGGGTGGGGCACGCCCATTGATAAAGAATTATTGTACCTATTGATTGACAAATATTGTGAATAAAGAGTCTCATGCATTTTTCTACTCTATACGGCGTAAAGAATCATGATCAGGAAGCTATAAGCCCCCCCTCATCTAGAACAGACGAGATTATTTAAGCGAAGACCTTGGCCTCGCCGGCCTTCAGCTTGCCAGCTTCGACAAGACGCTGAGCCTCGCCGGTCCAGGCGGTCTTGACGGCAGCACCGTCCTTGCCAGCAAGGGTGAGCTTCTCAGCAAGGGCAGCAAGCTCGTCAACATCGATCTTGGCCATGATGAGGTCGACATCGCTGAGGACGCCGTCGATCTCAGCAGCAGAAGGCTCACCGGCAGCGGCGAAGTAGTTAACCTCCTTGACGGAACCCTTGAGGATACGCTTGTTCTTCTTGGAAGCCTGCTTAGCGGCCTCCTTGGCCTTCTTGTTCTTCTCGCGGTCAGCCTTGGCGGCCTCCTCAGCGTCCAACTTAGCCTTCTCAGCATCGGCCTTGGCCTTCTCCTTCTCCTCCTTGGCGCGGCGGATCTCCTCCTCCTTGGCAAGACGCTTAGCGTCCTTGCCAGCACGGGCCTGCTGGCGGAACTTCTTGATACGCTCATCACAAGCGAGACACTCATCAACAAGCTCGCGGAGACGGGTGTTGTCCTCGGCCTTGCGCTTCTTGCGGGCGTTGGTGTTCTTCTTCTCGACGTGACGCTTCTGGTCACGGCTCACATCATCATCGGGAACATCCTCATCGAGGTATTCGAAGGTCCTCCAGCTGTCAAAGTTGTACCAGAAGTTGTAGAAAGTCTCGACGTGCTCCTGGGTGCTATCAGCATCTCCGAGAGTAGGGACGGGCTGCTTGTTGGAGAAACGGCCCTCAGCGACGAAGACGGGTCCCCAGGCCTTGTAGAACTTGCTGCCGGTAAGCTTCTTGGAGGGGGCATCGACATCGGCGTTCTCGTCGACGGAGTCGAACTGGCGGCGACGGACGGGGTCCAAAAGGAGATCGGTGGCCTTCTGGATACACTTGAAGAAACCGTCGCTCTCATCACCCTTGCCTTGGGCGGCCTTCTTGTCGGGGTGGTGACGCAGGACCTTCTTACGGTGAGCACGCTTGATCTGCTCGGGGGTGGCGAGCCAGCGGAACTTCTTGAGACCGAGGACAGCGTAGTGATCTTGGCCCTACACAGGGTCAGTATATCGTCAAAAAATTGAATACCGAATCACCGACCTTCCAGTCCTTGGGCTCACGGTTGAGCATCATAGGATCCTCATCCTCGGAGATATCATCATCCTCCTCGACCTCAGTCTTCTTAACAGAGTTCTGGGCCTGGAGGCGCTCATCCTCAGAGAAGGTACGGTTGTGACGGGACTAATATCGCTGTTAGTTTGGGCGAAGATAAAGCGGGAAGGATTAGCAAAACATACGCGGCGGGCGTGAGCCAGGAAGTGCGGGCCAACGGGTTCCACGTTGCGCTTGGTGGCACCGGAGAGAGCACCGACGATCTTGAAATCCTTCTCGCCAGCCCAGCCCTGAGGAAGGGCAGGGAGGGAGATGTTGACAACTTGAGTAGAAGCCATTGTAGAGTGGTATTGGTGATGGTACCAAGTTGTGTGTGGAGTGATTGGGTCCCGCGATGATTTTTTTGCCTACCTTTTTTTTCTGCCCCGAATGCCCGATACAATAGCCAATCAGAGCCAAGATGTTCTGGAAAGTCGAGACTGACGATGGCGCCAGGCCTTCTTTCTGTTGACTTTACTTACTGGCCTACTGTAATTATTTCGACTACATCCTTGTCGGCCACATCCGATTCTTAAAAATGACTACCTCCACTGCTGCTGCCGCCAAGAGCGCCTACCGTCAACTTCTCCGGTCCACCCGAGTTGTCTTCCACAGTATGTTTGCTGAACCCTATACCAGCAAAATATAACTTGGGATGCTAACGTCTGCTAGACGATCTCCCGGTTCTCCTCGCTGCTCGTCAAGAGGCCCGCCAGAACTTCGACAAGAACCGTCGCCCAGCCATCGACACCGGCATGCAAATCAACCATGCAATCGAGGTCGCAAACATCCTGCGTCACAACATCGTGCAGGGCTCCAGAGAGCAGGGTGATGAAAACGCCAAGTGGGGTATGTGTTTCCTCTCTACGACTGCTCACCATGAATTGGTGTAGCAGGGAAGAGTTCTCTTTACTGACGCGTATCGTTTCCATAGAACTCAACATCCACGACCAGATCGAACGCGGTGATAATGACTCCATTAAAGTCGGCAGTCAGAACGTTAAGATCCACAAGTCCTGCTCGTCATGAGTCGCTCTCTGTGGCGCTGCTCAATTGATTATGGGCAAATCTCCGAGTCTATGTCCCAACCCGCATCAAAACAAGTGGTTGTGTACAAAAAGATGTACGAAAAGCTTGACCTTTGTCTGGTGGCCATTTGGAAGCTTATTCCAAGGCCTTTTTGGATGTCATGTCAGCATCCTTATAACCACCTTACGTATGCATCTACAGACAAGGCCAGGACAGTGACCGGACGTGTATTATAGGATACCCAACTCTTTTATTATCATTGGCGTCCCCGGGGTATTTTTGATTGAAGTACATAGATCTGCATAGAAGAAACCATATCATAACGCCCGCTCCGAACCTAAGTTACATGCCATGTTTCGATTTAATGTTCCACGAATTTTGTTCAATCACCGTTCATACTGGCGTATTGCACCTCACCCGAACCAGGCGGGGGAGCAACAACGTGAGTCTGGGGCTTAGGCTGCCCAGCGTCTTCTCCGGAAATGATGGCGGCGCGGTCGGCCTGCTTGCCCTTGCCTACTGGTCCAACAGCCTGGCGACCTTCACGGGCGTTTTTGATTCTCTCTTCGCGGTCGAGATTATCCAGTGACTTGGGCTTACCCCAGCGAACGCGCAGCGGACAACCTTGGATGATAGCCTTGCCTTGGCAGTGGTGCGCGGCTTTCTCGGCATCGGCACGGTTGACGAAGTTGATGAATGCGCAGTGAGAGCGGTGGGAGCAAACCAGCGAGCGTAGCTGGCCAAATTCACTGAAGAATGAACGGAGGGTATGTTCGGGTAGGTCGTCTTCTACACCGGTAACAAACAGCGAGGTGACGTTGGGGTCTGAGGGAGGGAGGATATCCGCAGGCGAAGGTGGCAGCTGTGCAGTGCTGGGGAAGGGACGTCCACCGCGACCACCACCGCGTCCGCCACGTCCAGGCATGTTGTTTCCAACACGGCTTTCACTTGTGCGGACTGGTCCTGGTGCATTTCCATAGCGGCTGGTTGTTCGTGGTTGGTCTCCTGGGGTGGCTTTGGCTCCTTCCTCTCCTTCAGCGGCGGCCTCGATCCGGCGAGGCTTGCGGTAGTATGGTTCACTGTTTGCAAGGCGTCGCAGCAGCTCACGAGCTTTGTCGTCTGTCTTTTCGTATTCCTCAATCGCACCGCGACCCTCTTCGATCTCCTTTTCGTTGTTCTGCGCGTAATATTCGCGGTTGATAGAGCTTTCCGGTCCTGGAGCGACCATCTTCAAAGCGGCATCACGGACGACGATGGGGAGACCGAAGGACAGATCGAGCATGCAGCATTGACAGCAGTTCTTCAGGCGGGCGCAAGTCAAACATATGATGGATCGCTTTTGGCGGGATGTTCGATCAGCCTTCCAGCGGAAGATAGTGAAGGGGCGCGTGCACTAGACATAGTTAGTATTGATTCGTGGGGTAGCTATTGGAGCAGTAAAAAGACTTACAATCTTACATTCTGCGCCATGATCTTCCTTGATCATCTGCACGTATGGGTTCTCAGGAAGACAGTTTTCGCATACGGACGGAAAGTCAGTCGACTCCCATCCGGAGCGGTTCAGATCATGCTTAATCTGGGGAGGCATGACGGAGATGTATGAGGTCCGTTTCCGAAAGGATGGTCTGAGAGAGCTTGGATTATCAATGTTTAAGGCTAAGTGGCGTGTGGCTGATACAGTCATGTGACTCGACCAGATCACTGATTTTTGCACTCGGGAGATGCAAACTCCGGCTCAGCCACAGAACGGATAGAAAGTGTCCCGCCGAAGAAAATGAGTGGCCACACCCTTTGAAGCGTTGCCCCCCAGATAGTTCTAGCCTAGTAAACTTGCCCCTGATTGGTTCTCTCCACTTCATTGTCAAAAAGTTGCTTGGGATTCGACTTCCTTATTTATTTCCCCTTTCTTCTTCTCTTTAGTCGCAATCTTTCATTCTCTTGCTTGTGCTCTCTCTACTTCAATTCTTTGGTATTTTCCAGCTTAATTGGTGTTTGTCCTCTTTCCCTTGGAAATTGACCCTTTTTTTTGATACCTACCCCCTTTTAATTCTCCTATTCACCATGGCTCCCTCTGCATTGGAACGTGAGGACAAGGCGCGTGATGCTGCCTTCAACAAGGCTCTCCACGGAAAGTCTGCTAAGGCCCAGGGTGGTCTTGCTGCTATGCGCGGAAAGGACGCCGCTGCCCAGAAGGCTGCCATCGACGAGTACTTCAAGCACTGGGACAACAAGGACGCTGCTGATGAGACTCCTGAGATCCGTGAGGTATGTGAATGCGCAATCCACATCATTGAGCTTATCACTAACAATTGATATGTGATAGGCCCGTAAGGCGGAATATGCCACTCTGACCCGACAGTACGTTCTGAAACAAATTCCCCCATTGATCCACTCCCCATACTGATTATGTTTTTGCAGCTACTACAACTTGGCCACCGACTTCTACGAGTACGGATGGGGTTCTTCCTTCCACTTCTGCCGTTTCGCCTACGGTGAGCCTTTCCACCAGGCTATTGCCCGCCACGAACACTACCTTGCCCACATGGCCGGTATCACCGAGGGCATGAAGGTTCTGGATGTCGGCTGTGGTGTCGGTGGTCCTGCTCGCGAGATGGTCAAGTTCACCGGTGCTCACGTCACCGGTCTGAACAACAACGACTACCAGATCGACCGCGCTACCCACTACGCCCACAAGCAGGGCCTGTCCGACAAGATGGCCTTCGTCAAGGGCGACTTCATGCAGATGAACTTCCCCGACAACAGCTTCGATGCCGTGTACGCCATTGAGGCTACCGTTCATGCCCCTGAGCTGGTTGGCGTCTACAGCGAGATCTTCCGTGTTTTGAAGCCCGGCGGCACCTTCGCTGTGTACGAGTGGCTCATGACTGACGAGTACAACAACGACGATGCCGAGCACCGTCGCATTCGTCTCGGTATCGAGCAGGGTGACGGTATCTCCAACATGGTCCGCATCTCCGATGGTTTGGAGGCCATGAAGAACGCTGGTTTCGAGATGAAGCACCACGAGGATCTGGCTGCTCGCCCCGACCCCATTCCTTGGTACTACCCGCTGGCGGGCTCATTCAAGCACATGGGTTCGGCCTGGGACTTCTTTACCATTGCCCGCATGACCTGGTGGGGCCGTGGTCTTGCCCACCGCTTCGTCGGTGCCGGTGAGACTATCGGTCTCTTCCCCCGTGGCTCCCAGAAAACCGCCGACAGCTTGGCCCTTGCTGCTGATTGTCTGGTCGAGGGTGCTCAGAAGAACCTCTTCACTCCCATGTACCTCATGGTTGGCAAGAAGCCCGAGTAAACGCTGTTGTTTGTGATCTTTCTGTGTACAAAATATTACCCTCGGCGTGCTCTTTCATCCCTGGTGCCCCTTCTCTTCCTCTTACCTGTCATGACCTTCATCACCTTCTCCTCTTATCACCAGGGAGTTTTTCTTGGCTCACCTGACCCAATGTCGGCAAAGAAAGAGCCGTGTGTCGCTTCTTCTGATTGACGGTGTTCATTTAATTTTTTCTTTCTCTTGTTTCTTTTACCCTTCAAGATAGCTATGTAATAGTCATTGAGTCAAGAATAACGAGCAAAAGATCCACATTATTCTACTTCATTCTATGTTTCTCGTCCGTGCCCTTGAACTGTACAGACATAGATGTGCACGTTCAGGCTCAAAACCCTGGCTTGCTGACCAGCAAGCCCCTTTCAGTTGTCATCTGGTGGCCATGCACATGCTATTAAGTAGTCGAACACTCCTCCGTCTTGTGCATATCCCTGATCGCGTCGCTCTCAGCCTTTTCTTGCCAATATTTCACCCTCCGTTCCTGTTCGACGGCAAGATCCCTCGCCACAGTATGCGGGGCTCCATAGGCGACAAGTAACTTGGCTATAACTTACCCGCACTATCTGCATAACTCGTGTCAAGAGGATCATCCGCTTTCGGTGCATATCCCCGGAAAGCCCATGTAAGGATCGAGTTGGCTGACGCAATGGAGCTTCCTCCAACTGTGATATTCGCATTCGCTCCCCAACGAAGCAGACATTCCACCATTTCAGTTTGCTCATTCCAAATAGCAATATGTAAAGGTGTCTCATTGTTGAAAGGTTCATTAACATCAACGCCCCTCTCAAGCATCTTTTTAACGAGAGAGCAGCGCTTAGATATGGTCGCCTGAACAAACCACCTGGGCATGTTCTGTTTTTACTACACGAGGGATGAGGATCCGCACCGTAGTCAAGCAGAAGCTCCGTAGTCCGGTAACAGCGGTGTCTGAAGGCCTTTGCGAATGGCAATCAGTGCTCACCACGACAGAGGGGTTTCGTTCCATCGAAGTCTTTGCCGTAGCCATTCGGATCTAAACCATGATCAAGAAAAGCATTTTTATTGTATCGTCACTATTCCTCCAAATAGCACTCCACAGAAGCGAATGGCCCCTTTCCAATTTAAGGGGATCAGTGCCATGTTCAAGCAATGCTGGCAGAAGGTCAATTCTTCCTGGTGCATTCAAAGGAGCATCCAATACAAGTCACAGAGGAGGTGTCCCATGCCTCGGATCGCAGAAGTTGAGATCAGCCCCTTTTCGCAATAGAAAAGGAGCATTGTATTTTCCTCCTACCAACAAAAAACCAGGAAGATATTTAGTTGAGCTGGTTGAGTGGTCAGGTTCATTCTGGTTGCGAGCAGTAAGCTCATAGTGAGCCACTGCACGCCAGAGTGGTGTTTGGATCATCCCACATCGCGCCGAGCGAGCATTGACATCAGCGCCATGCTCCACGAGTAAAGTTACGGTAGCCATAGACTGAGATAGAGTTGCGAGAAAGAGGGGCGATTGATCCTTTGCAGTTTTCACATTCACGTCTGCGGCTGACTCAAGCAGCCGCTTTGCGACTGCTGGCCTCCCTCCGATGCTGCAAGACAGAGTGCGGGATTCCTTCCGCGAAAGCGCGTTTCATTGGGGACACCAAGTCGAATCATCTTCTCGATTAAAGGCACATATCCGGTAAGTGCTGCTAGGTAAGGAAGCATCTCGCCATACTCTTCAAGCCTCCTGTCGGGCTTTTCGAAAGTCCGGTTCAGCTTTTCAAGATCTTGAGAAAGAGAGATAGCAGGCTCGACGCCACAAGGGCAGAAGCTTTTTTTCATCGTGAGTTCCGTGCGCTATAAAAGGAACAGGGCACAATGTATGGTGTCATGCTCCACCGCTAGAGGTGGACGCACAATCCCAGTCGCGATTAGCGCAATGTTATGCACATATTCCTTGCCCTCGAAGCGCATTTGATTATTCTCCCAGGCATCGAGAATGTACGAAATGCAAAGTCTTTGATTGTTTATGGCCGCCAACCGAACAGGCATCACATATGTCCTGTCGCGTCCTCCTCTTGAGTCTTTTGTCTCCTCCCGACAGTCGATAAGAAGGCCCAATGCGACAAGATGTTTCATGGCATCCGCCTGTCCGTTCTTGGCAGCTTGTCCGAGAAGCGACGCATTGCAGCCAGGTCTCTGACATTGAGTGGCTAGGTTGGCGTCTAGACCGCGGAAGTAGTCAATCACCGCGATGTCACCACTCTGAGCTGCCCAGTATATCGGCTCGTGGCAAATCTCTAATCTGCGAATCCACCCTGACGGCCAACTCAATACTCGCCGCGGCGCCGTCGCAAGTGGCGCAACGCTTTTCAACCGCTCAATTCCAAAAGTTTCCCCTTCTCCTTATACTCGCCAACGCTTTGTCAATTTCTCTTCATCGTCCGTTCGCTCGGCCACGAAGGTTCCGCAAAACCCGAGAACCGGAGATGATGGGGAGTCTCTTATGATTTCTATATCGCCACGGGCTGTCGAGGTGAGTTGATACTGGTTTCTTTGCAATTGCAGCTATTGTGTTTCCTGTCTGATTTGCTATCATGAGGCTGTGCTGGGGCGAATGGGAAGCTATCTGAACCTTATCGGGAGACGAACACCGGGGGTACTGGGACCGGCTTGCTTCAGATGGAAGGAAGTGGACGATTTATCCATCGTGCTATGATCCCTGCGACTTCTCCTACGAGTACATGCGACCATAGGGTGTGGAAAACAGGGCTTCCCGTCCGCTCAGCCGTACTTAAGCCACACGCCGGTGAGTTAGTAGTTGGGTGGGTGACCACCAGCGAATCCTCACTGTTGCATGTATTTCTTTTTTTCTCTCTTTTTTGTTTTCGCTTTCGTTTTTGAGAAATGCTACCCTCTCGCGGTTGTTTTTCTTCTGGTCTCGAGGCTAATTTGACCCAGCGTCCTTTCGAGCACCGCTTCGTTGCCGCGAAATGCGCCAAATGCAAGTGTTGTCTGGCCGTCGTACTTGACGTTATATGCATATAGGGTGTCTTTAAACATATTTTAGAACCATTTATTTGTTTGAATGAAAGAATTTGAATATCCCTGTCGCGCGCGGAACGCATGTAATGCCCTATCTTTTTAGTCTCTTGCATTCTGATCTAACAAAAGCTCGACTATGAGAACGATAATCTCAACGATGAGATCGAGAATTTCGGCCATAATGCAAGCGGATACAACGGATTCAGACGTGGAAAGTATTTCGTCTCATTGGAAAAGTGTAATCGAGGGAAATATCTCTGGGTTACTGTTGCAGCCAAGTGTTCGCCTAGTTGCATTACCCCCTGTAGTACCGTTCTTCCTCTGTCCGCTCCTTATACACGAAGAATCTCCGTCTCCTCAACAGCTATCTCAGGACTGCGAAGTCTCTCTTGCAAGTTGAAAAATAGCTCTGATATTGATAAATCATCATTGGAGGCATTTTCCGCTGTGATGATGAGAATTTTGCGTTCAATTTGAAGCAACTCGAGTGTTATGTAAAGTAGGTCTACCATATTCTCTCCAGTATGAACCCCATACATCTCGTCAAACTCAAGCATCGTTCGTGATATTGAAAATCATTGTCTGACCAGCGACCAATCACCCCTGATATCGGTTTCGATTTCTTACTTGTCCATACGTCCAACGACAACACAATGTTCTATCATGTGTTGGCCAGCAATCAGATGAGTCTCTCTACACACAACGAATTAAGTGACAGTTCGACGAGCGACGGCCTTCCGACATGTGAATGGAATTGCGATGCAGGGAATGTTTTCGCATATTTGTTGAAATGATGGTGACTCAATCGCTGTAACAGCCGTGTTGTCTAAGACTGTTCACCGTATCAAGTTTTGCTCCACCCGTTTTGATGTTTCGGTTTCTACTCTCTTCCTGAACAGGCTACTCATGGATTGCTACTTTATGCCACCATTATCAGCACCATCAGTGCTATGGAGAAATTCCTATGTTCGGCAAAGTGAATTTTCATGTTGCAATTCGATGTTGTTCTCGCAGAATCGGAAGTTTGCCAATTACATCTTCTGCATTGAATTTTTGGTCCTCAGCTGGTCTCTTGCTCCCTTTCTGTCATCAGAGTTTGCCCGGAAGTGGAGAAACGATAAATTGTGCCCACAGCGAGTCATTTTGCTGTCTGCCGTGAGTTGATAGAGTAGAACGCTGAAATATCTTAGACGATCCCCAGACAGGAAACGCCGTCTGCTGAAGCAATTCAGTGGGAACCTTCGGGTTTGATTTAATTGGCTCGCTGGATCATCCGGTATTATGGGCTCCGGGATTCCCGTTAAACCATCCAAGCGAGGTCTCTTAAAGATACGGTCTTTTGTTGGCGCTTCATCGTGACTTCCATCGTTCAAGAGATGGTAATCAATCCTCTGAAACCGCCGACAGTGTCTTAGAATATAAATCTTGACTTATGTTACAAAAGAGCCTCAACTATGTTCTAGTCCCTGTCCTTGCTTTCGCTAGCACCAAATCTCGCGAGTCCTCTAGATAATGTCTCATTTGAGACCGAGGGTGTCAAGGAAAGTAGTGTTCGTTAGACTTCACTAGACACTTACTAGTATTAAGTTCCTATTGTGTGGTAGGACAACAGAGGCGAGCAGGTATTACATGCATACCTCGATGGCAAGGAGATTGCACCGGGCGTGGCCCGCAATATTATGGACCACTGCAAGATTTAGTCCACTCTCGTTTAAAGACCGGATAGGGCTAGATCATGGCTGTTGAGGCTTGCCGATCAGCCGAAGTTAGGGGCGGAAGGCGGCGGATCGGGCCTTGGCAATCAGACCTGACCAACCAAAGCCCCATGGAGACATGGAGATTCAGATCCGTAAGGAGCCATGAACGCATGTCTCAGGTCGTTTCGCGTCGAGCAAGGTACAGCAAGGTACATGGTGGGTGCCCGAGCCAAAATTCAGGGTCACATCGGCCTCACTAGGGTCCAACGAATTCCTGGTATACTCCTCAAGGCTTGATCCCATTAAATTTTGGAAATATCGGGATTCAACTCTGTAGAAATTACTGGACCCTCAGAATTCGTAGGTATCTACGTCGGGACCTCCGGCAGTCCGTCCACTCAGGCCTAAGTTGCGCTAATTGAGCCCCAAAGTGTGTCTTCACACTTATGGACGACCTTTTTTAGCCGCATGATCGGTCGCAAAATCCTGTAGGACTTTGCCTTGTGGAAACTAGATTTGGGGTCCATGAAACGGACCTAGCCGACTCACGGAAACTCGCCGATCCGACCCTGTTGGCCCTGACTAAACCTTAATGGGTTTCTTGGCACTTACGCTTCATTTCTTTGTTTTTTGGTTACATGATCTGTAACAAAATCCCTCGGGGTTCCTACTCGGGTGGCTGGTCCAAAGTAAGCTAGAAAGCACAGATGCAACCCTGGATGGAATTACAGGCTTTTGTGAACTACTCCAATAGTGTTCACTACTTGTTGTCCAACAATCAACCCGTGGCAGAATTGTGAACAATGTAGGGGTTCTTGAGGCACTCCAACCGCCAAGATCGGGGCTACTGCAACTTTCCGACCACTCGCTTCCACTTTCACAGGTGCATATACGAGATCCGTTCGAACCAAATATCATAACTTGATCGAAACTCGTAGTAACGCTTCATAATTATACAGTGTCTCTACTAATAACACATACTGCACAAAAGCCAGGCAGCAGCAGCGGTCCACCATGCCGCCTGACCTAGACTGCGAACGGCCCCATCGGTTTTGGGCGGGCAGCTCACAGCAGGAGTCGCAGCTGTGCATTCATGACTTATCAAACTCGAGGAGATGCTCGAGGCCGCTTCGGGCGCCACACTAGCTTTGCAAGGACTGGGAGTGGGTGCGGGGCTTGCGAGAAGAGCACATTTCGGCGCCCCCTCGTCGCTTTGACCCGGGAAAAATTCTGTGGGGATGGTAAGGGTCTGAATCACATCAAAGGCAAACGCCGGAGTTTTGCCACAGCCCTCGTCGGTAGTGAGGGTAGTCAGGTTCGCCTGACGGCCCCGTTGTCTGGTGGTGAAGGTGATACTCTGATAGACGTCGTAGTATCGTTCGTGGAAACCAACTACATCGTTTCGTGTATGGACATTGTCATAGTCCGCGCCGTTGTCAGATGTGGAGCAGTTAGACCAGCTCATTGACGGTCCGAATTTCCAGATATTTTCCGTATTGAATTGATTGGCGATGCCAAAGTGCACGAACTGTGTCTCTGTTTTGTTGTCGACTAGATCGTCTGTAGAAATTGGCTGGAGGTGTAAGAAGGTGGAATTCTTCCCCTTTCCCCGGTGTAACAAGCCCGCCCTATATGACATAGAAGGGCTTATCTGCTGAAAGGCCGGATTGTTCTTAACAGCGAAGACGATAGGCATGAGTTGCATGGGCTCAAAGGTGTCGTTACGTGGAAACACAAGGTCGATCTCCGCGAGGCCCAATTCTGTGGCATTCACTGCCGCCAAGTTGACCTCCAGGCTGAGTGCTAGCAGGCACGCCTTGAAACTGAACATGTTAAGCTGGTGGGGCAAGATCATAGAGAAGATCAACGCTGATGGCAAGGGGGCCAAACCAAAAGACAATCGAATGCGATAAGAAAGATGGCGAGTTGGGAGAATGAAAGAGCAATATGGAAAAGAACAATAGCAAAATAGAGGGCATGGCAAAATGACCAATAGCGTCAGGAAGCAAAACTGCCCAAGTAAGTGAGCAACCAAGAGCAAACAAAGGAAAAAGAAAAAAAGAAGGGTCGAGCGGCTTCTTCGGGGTAGTTCCAACACGATGGATCAGCCTAGGGGCTTAGCGGCTTTACCACCTACCCGCTAGTAGTAGTCAACACTTGGCAAAGTGATCTGATGAGAGCTTTGCAAACGACCCTGATCAGGAACGTCCACCTGAAACACTTGTCCCTCAAGCGGAGGCTCATATTTGGTATTCACTAGCATTACTGGAACATGACCGGTGCACAATGTGCGATCCGTAATAGGCTACTCTCGGATGGATTCAAGCCCTAGCAGACAGGAGACATTTTTATCGCTGCTGTTGGACCGTCTCTGTAGTATGATTGTGGTCTTACGCTCTCTAACTGTCTTCGAGACTACTGGGTCTCACAGTCCTCTCAAACCAGTTCTTCTTTTGCAAATTCATACACTGTTTTTTTCAATCTCGATACACTCTTTACATTTCCTATTCGTTTGCACAAGCTATCAATGTGGCTCATTTCTGGAGCGGCGCAGCGATCAGCCTGCTGCTGTCCGCCAGAATTGTCTCTGGACAGACACCATCCAGGCTGGGCGCGCTAGGCGCTAGCCCTGGCTATCAAGGATTCAACACAGGCTATCCTAAGCAATGTGTAGTTTCAGAACTCAATTCCTCCAAGTGGTCGGCTTATCATAGCATGGATCAGATTGCTAATTGCAAGCAAAGTATGTTCTTCGCCTTCAACCTTTACGACAAGGTGGATGGTGCCAAATTCCATCATCGCATCTTCGCCTGAACTTCCTATGGCGATGACTAGACCGACGATGTGAATAAAGGGCCCTCCTCTTAGTAGTATTGTCTTCTATTTTAATCCAAAATCAGATCGCCTTTAACCCGAGGATCTAAGACATGGGCAATATAGTATATATCGGAAGCGTCTATCCTTTCGCGGCCGCGCTGCTTACAAAAATTGCATTTTTTGGCAGTCGCTTCACGGTATTGCCAAGATGTTCAAATGGGCCAAGGATAAGCTCTCCCCTGGCCAACCTTCGAATATGGTCAAAAACGAGGATGGGAAACCTCCCGGAGACAGGGCCCCATCCAGCGATGAAAACGCGCAGAAGCGATTCTCCAGGGAACACGGCAAAAAGGTACGTGCAAGAGAAAAGGAGCTAGAGAGGCAAGGGCAAGGGAAAATCAAGATGTATATCAAGGGAAACTTTGTGGCGATTGGTGGTGGGGTTTGCTGAATACATCAGCTCTTATCCAAACTTTCGCGTTGATTAGATGATTTTCTTTATGTCAGGATATACAAAATACGATGTGCACAATGCGGGACTTAAAACGAAATGAATATGAATATTAAACTGAGGTGAACCAACAATAGGTCACATTGTATATATGTATAAGTCCATGTTCATTGGGCACCCAAGGACCAATGCTAAATGATGCTTGATAATTAGTTCCCCCACAACTACAGATGAAAGATATTGATGGTGACCTATGAAATGAGAAAAATGAAAGAAACAGATCTTCTCATCGACGTCTCCTCCTCCTATCAAGCAAACTCCGCGTATACAGTAAAATCAATGTCATGAGTATTGTTCGAGTGTGTGGAAGTCAATTTTGCCGTTGCTTTATATGGGTATTCAAATAACCAAACCTGACAAGATCCGGCAAGATGTTGATGGTATTTCAGAATATGATTATGGGCATTCGCAGGGACAATGCTTCGGCCAAGGGCAAGGTCTTGAAAACTAATACAATGAAGACATTCTAGGAAGTTCATTCTCAAGGGCGCTGGGGAAGATGGTGCGCTTGTTCATAAAGCAGTGATTCGATGGTTAAAACCTTCTGGGCGATAGTTACGGAAGGCTATTGGCTAGCCCGGGTGAAGGAAGAGCGGGCTAAATGCTTCTATTCGCCACGGTTGCTACGAACTCATGCAGAAGATCTCAAGAAAAGGGATGTATGCCATCACTTTGAGAGACACGACTTTACTCATACCAATAGCCATGAATTATTTCACTCGTCGCCAATTCATCGCTCACTTTTGGTATCCTTAGTGTTACCCAAGATAGGGCATTGACTTATTACTCTAAAGTGCCTTTTGTGACCCAACGATCACATGCAAGCTAGTTGGTTTTGCTAGGTATTAGGACATAAAGCTGTGTTCTCTCGGTGATCAAGGCTGCCAGAAGCTACTAGATGCCATTGTATGGAAACAGCCGCACTTGAGCATTTTTTAGTATGCTGCAGTGATTGATCCACAATTATCCGACGTGTTTCTTAGTGGATTACCTCCCATCTGCCTTCTTGCTGGCGTTTGGACAAATACGACGTAAACCGTTATACAAGTGGAGTATGCTGTTGATAGCGTGATTGAAGCACCGGTGATTTCCCGCATAGAAGGATCCAGGTCTCTTTCAATTGCCGACCAGAATTGTCAATACACTAGACCGCTCTACCATTTCCAAGTTGGACTCGCGGCGCAGAAGAACCTCAGTCTTGACTTTCGCTCACTGTGGACATGATCACATGCCCGTGTCATGGACAAATCTGGGGTTGATGCCTTGGCTCCAATGCCCGGTCAGCAGTTCAAAGAAGAGTGAAGGATTTGATGTAGTTCTTGGCAAAGCATACAAGGCTCTGCCTAAAAGCTTATACATACATGTACATATGATTATACTTGTATTAATATAAATCCGATCACATTGTTAAAAGAAAACCGTTGTATGGTCAGACGAAGTGCGGGTGGTTGAAAGCATCAACCAATTAGAATTCAGGCGGGAACAACGTGCCAGCACATGAGGTCTCCACTATACAGTGTCCAACCAATGATATTGTTTCAAGGTATGTTTACTGTCATCAACTCACGATGTTCCCATATTTCCAATTTAAGCCTTGGCTCATTCAGGCTAGAAATGCTTGAAGATGCAGCCAGTGAGCCCTGCGCCGATCGCAACGTGGGATCGCTTACAGAACATGTGCCTGGCTAGCGGATCTGGCCGCGTCCGACTCTCCGGAATGTCCACTCTCCCTTGTGTATAAGATCGCGTAACTCGCCCGATCTACCTATCTTTTTCCCGTTCTCATCGCATTAACATCCTTTGTCATGTTCACCAAGCAGACTCTTCTCGCGTTTGTCGGGGCCCTGGCCCTGGCTGCGGCCAAGACTACTACTGAGCAGAACCCTACCCAGGCTGAGATCGATGCTGCCCGGGCTACTGTTCTACCTTACTCGCCTGTTTCCAACGTCAAGGGTTTGGCCTTTGACCGTTTCGTGGATATCTGGCTCGAGAACACTGTACGTTGAACCCCCTTGCATAAATCATGACCACGTGCTCACACTCATCACAGGACTATGCGACCGCTGCTCTGGATGAGAACCTGTCCAAGTTAGCCAAGGAGGGTATTCTCCTGACTAACTACTTTGCCGTGACTCACCCCTCGGAGCCTAACTACTGTGCTTCCGCTGCGGGTGACACCTTCGGCATGGACAACGATGACTTCCACCAGATCCCCGCCAATGTCTCCACCATCGCGGATCTCTTCGACACCAAACACATTGCCTGGGGCGAGTACCAAGAAGACCTGCCTTACGCTGGTTACCAGGGCTTCCGTTACCCGCTCAGCGGTGCGAACCAGTACGTGCGCAAGCATAACCCGCTCGTGCTCTTCGACTCCGTCACCAATGACGCTGTCCGCCCGCGGCAGATCAAGAACTTCACTACTTTCTACGAGGATCTTGAGCACCACCGTCTGCCCCAGCACATGTTCATCACCCCTAACATGACTAACGACGCTCACGATACCAACATCACCTTTGCCGGTGACTGGGTCGCCAAGTTCCTCCCTCCCCTGCTGAAGAACGAGTACTTCACCAAGGACACCCTTGCTCTCGTGACCTTCGACGAAGTGGGCAACTACTCCGTCCCCAACCGCGTCTACAGCTTCCTCGTTGGAGGCGCCATCCCCGAGCACCTCAAGGGCACCACCGACGACACCTTCTACACCCACTACTCAGTCATCGCATCACTCTCCGCAAACTGGGGTCTTCCCTCTCTCGGCCGCTGGGACTGCGGCGCCAACCTCTTGAGCCTGGTCGCCGAGAAGACTGGTTACGTTAACTGGGAGGTTGATACCACCAATGCTTATATCAATGAGACCTACCCCGGTCCTTTGTCCGACAACGACTACTCCGAGTACTCCTCCAAGTGGGCAATCCCCACCGTCAAGGGCAAGTGCTCTGCTGGCCATGGTATTGCCGAGGTCGTAAAGAAGACTTACCACGGTCTTGAGCCTACTTATAACTACACCAGCCCTGTGCCTTATGACTCGGTCAGTGGTCTGAACCTTGGTATTAAGTACCACCGTACTCTGGTATGTTTTTTTTCAGTATATCTTGAGAATGATCCCATGCTAACAATCGAATAGAAGCACGGAAAGAAGGAGTCTGGTATCACGGCATAGAGTGTGACCCATGTATATGATGCATTGCCATCCTTGCTACACTTGTCATGGATATATATACGTCCATGTTTATAAAAAATAATTGATTACCATTTTGATAGATTTCATTTTGCCAAATACATATCCACTGCTAAGAAGGTGTACTTTCCTGTCATTCAAGTGTCTGGCTACAGTTGCAAAACAAATTTTCGTTCCAGTCAATGATTTCATTCAAACTTTGCCCGCAGGCAACTATCCGTCTTACCTGATCTACTTCCTAAGGCAAATTGACATTCCGGCTCTGTGTTACACAGACCTTGTCTATTTGCAGAGTCTTTCAGAAGCTCACTGTTTGTGAGCGGGTAGTGAACCTTCGAATATTATCTCCTAACTTCTTTGTTCGATTTTTGCTGTTCTTGATACGGAGTACAAAGTTTCCTATAGAACACTTCAGAGCTGGGTTGGTGCATCAATAATACATCACTTGCCTGCATTTAGCCGTCCTTCAGTATCTGCCATGCCTTCTTTTGCTCACAAAAAAAATATATATAAAGGCCCTGGACTCCTAGCTCCATAAGAAGATAATACCACCTCCAATCTCTCTATCTTTGTCTATATGACAGATGACCGTTGGGATTAACCTTGGAACCACAACCCCCAAGACTCTACCAGCCCAAGATCAATCATCATGTCGCCGCCTTTGCTCAGGCCTGGTGCTGAACCAGACCTCAATTGGGAACCTGTTCAGAAATGTTCTACCTCGAAGGAAACCTAAGCAACCGGCCTGCCTAGGACAAGCCCACTCGTATTGCTAATGATCTCCCTCAACCTGGACCACACTTTCTGTTTCTATAACTGGCATGCTAAAGTGCTCAAGACCCTGCGAGCGTACAAGCTTTACCACCTCAACGACTCATCTATCGAACGACCCCTTTGCAGTGATCCCGATGCTGGAAGATGTTTTAAGTTTTCCGTCTGGGTCAGCCGATGGATGATGAGCTGTATTAGACTTGTTTTTGGGGAAGAAGTTCTTCTCCGAGGCCGCGATATCGAGTTTGCTGATGGTTTCATGCGAGATTTGAGAGAGTTTCTCGATTGCGAGTCTCAGCTCCAGGAGGATCGCGTGCTTTCGCATCTGAAAAGCCCAGCGGGATGATCAGTTACAAACCGTTAGTGATCTCATTGCTGTATTGCAGAAGGGGCTTTCCAATGCCACAGATGGGACTGTTGGTATTCCAAATTTATTCCCTGGCATAGATTTAATCATCAAGATGAAGCAGCTTCATTAAATCCCATCGCTGCAGACCTTCCTCACTAAGAACTGCAGGCTGGAGGAGCGGAACGACCCTGCAAACGAGATGATGGGTGCTGAGTTCTTTGAGGTTTGCAGAGATATTCAGCGACATTTCCAAGTAAAGCGCATCGAATGTAATGGGTGTGTTTTAAATTAGAAATTCCATAGTCTCCATTGATCTTACGTTCTGCGAACACCGCAACGGTCATGAATGTCTCTGCCGGTCTTTCCTTCGCTCTCTTCCGTTGCCTAAGTTGTGTTATATTGTTATTGAACAAGTAAACGAAAGGCATTCTGGACTCCAAACTCATGACAAACTCATATCAAGCGAATGAATCCATCGGCACTTCCGGAAACATTTTCCCCAGCACTTACACCAGTAGCGGAACAAACCGACAAAATGCCAGGATCCACCACTCCGCCTCCGTCACATGGGAAACTGACCCAACATATCAACTCGGCCCGACGGGCTAGCAAGCCCCAGTGTAGTCACCGCCTCCCCGCGCTATAGCACTAGCTAAACCTTGCAAATAGTCACGGGGCCATTGAAGCATCATATTTCGGTAGATAGACCCGGGGTCCATATCGGATAATTGCGATGAGATGAGCTAGGAAATCACATGCAAGTGGGAAAGTCACGCTAGTACGGAGTACGGAGTAGGCTCTACAATATGCCCTCTCGCAGTGATCCACTTCGCGCGGAGAATTTCACTCGAATGACGAGCCAATGCCGACGCTCACGTGTATCTGGACCAGTATCGGCAAATCGCAGTCAACTCCGGAGGTGGACGTGAGCGTTTGTCAATGATGCGGGTTGGATTTATCATGCAGTTTAGATCCAAGCGCAAGGGGACTGGACACATGTCAGATGTCATGGCAACTACGGAGGATTTCCAGTGATCACTTAGGGGAGGAACGCCGAGAAATAGTATATCTTCCCCGTAAGCTCGTATTAATGGTTCCTTGTTGGATCCTCATCTCCCCCAGATTGGGTTTTTATGGACGGCAAGTTAAAATACATCCTGAAACAAACTCGTATATACTATATACTTTCTGCGTACATGCGGAATATTAACCTTGAAGGCTTGCAGATCGAAACTTAGACCTCAAGTATGTCTATATTGGCCATATTGTATACAGTCTGGTAAGACTCTTGAAAACCTCGGAGCCAGGCCCCAGAATTGAAGAAGTCTACGTAGGTGGAACAACCAATACGTCTTGTGGCGGCTAACCATTTCCACGTCGGGGAAGTGAAAGGAACGCCAAGACCCTAAGCAACGCCACGCGATGGACAACGTTCAGACTTAAGCGTTTGTTTCTAACGTTGGATGACGTGGTGTTCAATTCACAAAGCGGCTTACCGTCGACGATCTCGAAGTCTAGTCCTCGTGGCTCTGGAGAAATGAAATTCCATTTTCGGGCTAATTTGCGCAGATTAATGTCCATTACCCAGGATTTTCAATTCCATATCATACTTAATTTCCGAAACACGCAGATTCTGATCAGAGACTAAACTTCGGATGTCGAAATAACCGAAGAAAAGTTCCATTTGTTAGGGCCCCATTCAGCACAGACGGTAAAATCAAACCAGTGGAGGATGAGATGCTTCATCATTCTTGGCATACAATTTTTGGCTCGACGTTGAAAAAACTGACGTCCATGTCGGACTGCCCGTTAGGAACTTTACGAAAAGCCATTTGAACTAACTAAAATCCATGGCTACCAGAACCATGATAGTACCGAGGTTCTTTTTGGTTTCTGCCAAAAACGCCCTGAACGCCTTGAGCGCCTCAGCCGCGCCAAGGATCGTTTTGTTTAGCCGGAAGCGGATTGTGGCCTCGGGTGACCAAGAGAACTTTTAAGAGGTATTTCCCGATCGGAAGAGTCTGTGGGATTTTGTGGGCTCCCCGGGTGCCCCGACTCCCCCGGCCCCGAATACTTCCCCGAGAATCTGTGATTTGAGAGTTTTTTGGTTTTTGGTTTTTAGTTTTGCTTATTTCCCAACTTCACTTTTTTTGTGGTCGCCCCTGAACCCAATCCAAGGATTTGAAAAATGATTTTCATCTTCTTTACATGTTGTCTTTGCTAAGCCTCTTTGCCCAGATGCTAAGAGTGCTTGGGAGTATATAATAAGTGCTTGGTATCGTGACAAGAGTACCAAGCCTGTACCAAGCCCTACTAAGAGTTACGCGCCATGGCTCTTGGCTTATTAAATTAAATCTTTCAACAACAACTTCGACAAATGACCGTAGTAGCCAAGAAACGGGAAAAAGGGCAACTGAAACGAGATTGGGTAATATTATTCGGTCGTCCACTTCGGCCCCGGTTCGCTACAGAAAGGTTCACCAACTACGGAGTAGGAGACCGAATTTGTCTACGTAGCGACAGCTCAATGTTAAATGCAGTCTGTTACTGGACAAGAGTGAAAATTTCGGCCCCTGACCCACACAAATCTCCCTATTTTCCCCGTGGAGGGTCGGTTAAGATTCCTCATCCGGCAACTTTCAACTCGCCAATTGTAACGCAAACCGCAATCCAACCACAAGGCCGCCCGCGTCAGGATCGAATCCACCCCCACAAGGATTTAGGCCGAAAAACCAAATATGGAATAGAAAATGTCAAGATTGAAAGGCACAAGCGGAAGACTTTATTTTAATTATCTAATCATCAGCCTCTTACATCAATCATTCGGAAAATAGATTGGAAAATCTTCCAATGGGAAAAACAACCTTTGTCCAGGGCACAACTGATCCGGGACACTTGCCTGTACCATATCCCCGCAACCCCACTGTTAGAGGCCCATGGCCCCACGGCGGGTCGCGAAAGTTGCCTCTAGGGCGCCGCCGATGTCACTTCAGACTTTTTCCTCTTGGCGTTACCACCCATGTATCAACTATGGGGCCCCTTATACCCCTCAGGGACTAATACATAAGAATGCGGAAATGTCCCTGATGGAGACCTTCTTTTTTGTTTCTTTTCTCATGTCGCTTTAGGTCCATCTCCTGATATATACAAAGGAGGCTCTTCATCATGTGGACGACAACTTTCGGCTTAAAGGGCAAGAAGCTCCATCTTGCCATCACCTTCACATCCGTTGTTGGTTTCTCACTCTTCGGTTATGATCAGGGTTTGATGTCCGGTATCATTTCCGGTACTCAATTCACAAAGGAGTTCCCCCCTCTGGCTGGTGACTCCGAACATGTCGCCGTTCTGCGTGGTGCCGTCACCGCCTGTTACGAACTGGGCTGTTTCTTCGGTGCTATCTTCACTCTGATGTACGGTCAGAAGATTGGTCGCACTCCTCTCCTGGTGGCCGGTGGTCTCCTGATGGTTCTCGGTACCGTTATCTCCACTGCCGCGTTCGGTCCTCATTGGGGTCTTGGCCAATTCGTCGTTGGACGCGTCATTTCCGGTCTTGGAAACGGCATGGACACCGCGACTATCCCTGTCTGGCAGTCTGAGTGTTCGCGTGCACACAACCGTGGTTTCCTCGTTTGCTTCGAGGGTGCCATCATTGCCGTCGGAACATTCATCGCCTACTGGATCGATTTCGGTCTCTCTTATGTCGAATCCTCCGTCCAGTGGCGATTCCCCGTCGCTTTCCAGATCCTCTTCGCCATCCTCGTTACTCTCGGTGCTCTCGCCCTACCCGAGTCTCCTCGTTGGTTCGTCATGCAGGGTCATGACCAAGAGGCGCTCGAGGTTCTGGCTGCTCTCAATGATAGCACCGTCGATTCCGACGACGTTCTCAACGATTTCAACCTCATGAAGGCCGATCTGAAGTCCCTCGAGGGTGTTCAGGCCAGCAACTGGAAGGTCCTCTTCACTGGTGGCAAGACTCAGAACTTCCAGCGTATGATGATCGGTTGCTCTGGCCAGTTCTTCCAGCAATTCACTGGTTGTAACGCCGCTATCTACTACTCCACTCTTCTCTTCCAGCAGAACTTGCACATGACTGGCAAGCTTCCCCTTGTTCTGGGTGGTGTCTTCGCTACCGTCTACGCTCTCGCCACCATCCCCTCCTTCTTCATGATTGAGAAGGTTGGTCGCCGCAACCTGTTCCTGATTGGTTTCCTCGGCCAAGGTCTCAGTTTCATTATCACTATGGGCTGCCTGATCGACTCCAACGCGCAGAATGCCAAGGGTGCCGTCGTCGGTATCTTCTTGTTCATCTGCTTCTTCGCCTTTACTACGCTGCCTCTGCCCTGGATTTACCCTCCCGAAATCAACCCTCTCCGCACCCGTACCAAGGCCGCCTCCGCCTCGACCTGCATGAACTGGATCACCAACTTTGCCGTCGTCATGTTCACTCCCGTGTTCTCCAACCAATCCGACTGGGGTATCTACCTGTTCTTCGCACTGGTCAACTTCATCGCCATTCCCTTCGCCTACTTCTTCTACGTCGAGACCGCCGGTCGTGATCTTGAGGAAGTCGATGTCATCTTCGCCAAGGCTCACATCGAGAAGAAGTGGCCCTTCCGGGTTGCTCAGGAGCTCCCCAAGCTCACTATTGCGCAGATCACCGAGATGCAGGCCGAGCTTGGTCTCGACACTCTTGATGATCACCGTCGCGCCTCCGAGGCCGAAAAGGCCGAGACTGCCATGGCCGAGAAGCCTGATCCTGCCATGAGCAGCGGTGACAGCGACACCAACAAGAATGTTGAGTAAATGACTCATGTCTGACGTCTGCCTATTGACGATGTGGACTCCGATCGATCGGAGTAATGATTTGATCTCGAATCTCTTATACCCTCATGTGCATACCCTCATATGACCTTACATATACCCCGTGCGGCGGGACAGCTGGCGATTACTTAGATAGATTTGCTTGGCTCTCTCCTTTCTTTTTCTTTTATATATCTCCTTGGATTTATATCTCTTTTTCTAAATAAATATATTTTTTTATCTACATCAACTTGTTTCCTCTCTACACATAGATTCAACTTTTAAGGGACCGAACTTATCTATCGGGCACGTGTAATGTATAGTGCCTCTTGTGGGACTTCATGTGTCTTCAAAGCTTGAGTGACAAACGATTCAACTTTAGAACTCGGTTTGAGTGATATCGCAATGCAAGAGCGGTCGCTCTAGTCGACATCCAGATGTGCTCCCAAGGTCACCACCAACTACCACCTACACCTGGGCAGGAGGTCTTGATGGATATCCATGATATTCTAAAGTTCCTTCTATATGTCACTATACACGAACATATTGGGCGAAGCTTCATAACGATCTTCACTGGAGACCTCAGGAGGAGAAGTCACGAGCATCGGACCTAGATAACCTCTCAATTATTTCACAGGTAGAGAATGGAAACCAATTTTGCAACGCTTCTGGATGTTATAGCCGAGGAACTTTATCCAGCAGCATATGTACTCTTCTTCCTCAGCTTCTCACCGAACTTCCACAAAAATACAGGTGCTGGTACTCCAATGACAATACCTATGAATGCCATCAAGCTGTTGCCCCATCCATAATCCAAAGCATTATACAAATACGGCGCGAATAGTGGAAATCCAAAGCCAGCAAGTGAGCGCAAGAACGCTCCAGCAGCCAAGGCACTCGCCGCGAACCGCGTATATGTATCGACCATGTAAGTCTGGATGCACTGGAAGGCGATGATAGTTCCTGCAGCGAAAAGCACAGCACCAATATTAGGCGCAATCCAATGGCAATGGTACTGTGCGGTCCAACCGTAGATAAACAAGCCGACTGGGATAAAGAAGGCGCCAACAAAGAGGAGCGGCACGCGAAACTCCGGTCTGCCGACGCCGTTGTTGCGCGCTTTCAAGCGGCGGTAAATGCGGTCGTTGAGGGGAGCACAGATCTGCGAGCCGAGATAGAAGCCCAGACCGAGGGCGATATAGTTCAGTCCGCCGATGCCGATGGACTCGTTATAGTATTTCGGGCTTGTCCAGAGGGAGGGGAAGGTCGAGAGAACAAGATACATGATTCCGTAGACATAGGCCATGTAGAGGGCGAGCACTTGGACGATAGGCTGAGTGAGGAGCAGGCGGAAAGGGCGGATGAGAGCGCTGCGTAGAACTTCCAGGAGAGTCTTATTCTGGCGCTCTGCTTCTGTTTGGTAGGATTCGTCGCCTGTTTCCTTACGCAGGCGGATAGCGCGATTGCGTAGGATCTTCGGGCCGTAGCTTTCTTTCAGGAAGAAGAGACCCATTGTTTGGATGAGGGCGTCTGCGATGGAGATTGAATAGAAGACCCAGCGCCATGTGGTGTTTTCGGCTATGAAGCCTCCTGCGATTGGGCCTATGGCTGGGCCCAAGAGGGGGGCGAGACTGTAGATTGCGATTCCTTTTCCTCGCTCCTCGGGCCGGAAGCAGTCTGAAAGAACTCCGCCGCCAATCTGTATGGAGTTAGAACAAGTCTTTTCTTGAGTATTGACAGAGCTTTGCGGTCTTGGCTTACTGCTAGTGGAGCACTTCCTCCGAGTCCTGCGAAGAAGCGGCAAACAATCATTTGGGCTGTCGTCTTTGATACGGCACAACCGATATTGAAGACTAGGAAGAATAGGTTGGCTAGTTGAAGAACGATCGTTCTTCCGTAGATTTCCGATAGTGGTCCGAGAAATAATGGGCCAACTGCGTAGGCTAGGACAAAGGTTGAAAGCATGAGTTGGGAGACAACCTCATCCGTGACATTGAAGTCAGCTGCGAGGGATGAAAGTGCAGGGGCTACCATCGACGAAGAAACTGGTGAGATAAATGTGAATAGCGAAACGGTGATAGTTGCTGCCCATTTCTTCTTCATACTCCAGTTCTTTGGGTTCTCGGGATCTTCTTCGCCGTCCCACGTAACCTGCACTTCTTAATATCGAGCTCAGGACTTGGTGGGTGACAGTAGCTTACTAGTTTTTGATCATGACGAGATCGGTTTGACTTCGCTGTCCTTGTTTTCTCGAGCTTGGGATTTTGAGAATCTCCTTTTTCTAAATCCACATCACGCTCATTCACAATGCCGTTCCTAACTTCTAGGATAGTGTCGGGCGTCGTGTTTTCGAAAGACGAATCTTCGTCATTAGATCCATCACTGTGGTACACAGATTGGTCGTTGATGTGTCGCCCTGAATGGATTCGATCTATCTGATCCATGCCTAGATTTGACAACGACCGCAGCCTCGTTTTCAAAGAGCCTGCCAAGCTTCGAGGTCGTGACTCTGTTCTTGATCTTGATGTACGGGACTCGGAGTCAGTGCTGGATATAGATGTCGATCGTGATCTGGCCGAGCCAGATTCTTTGTTGACTTCCGACATGATCGACGTTCATTTGCCGAAGAAGTTGCAAAGAGAAAATTATAAATTATATGCCAAAGGCAACTATGTTGACGTGCAAGATTGATCACCAAGAAAAAAAGAAGCAATTTTCGATGGTGGGGAACCTATTTATATCAAATAACCAGAACGGAACACCCATTGCCGACACGATCATGTCGAGGCATAGCTAACGGCGATAAAGAACGACCTTAAGACCGTAAATTATCCACAATCTCTCCAATTTGCAATATCAGACATAATCATTGGCCAGTTTCGAAAGCTTGACAGGTGTGACTCGAAACCCGGCCCCATTTGACCCTCTTTTGGTATAAAATTTGCATCAGACGGCGGCCTGGCCCGTCCTGGGCACAGGTTTGTAGAGAAAACAACCCTGAAACGCGGTGTTCCGTGGCTCCTGTGCGGCCTGAGGCACAAATAACCGGGTCTTCGGCACATTAGTCACGTGTTGGTACTGATCGGCGTGCCTGTTTACCAAAATGGGATGCCGTTTCAGGGCGGATCCCGGTTCCGGGATGCTTCTCATTCGTCCAGGGACCAAACTTCAGTGGCTGCCGTTTTATGTCCGTACATATCCCCGCGATGATGCAGCTTTGACTCGGTGATTGGGGTGTTCCCTATTTGGATTGAGTTGTGGGATTTCTGTTCTAAAACCTGATCCTTTTTGCCAAGTGGAAGTTGAGTCAGGCCGCCAATATGCAACTGCACGGTTCTCGTTTGACGGCTGCTTTTTGGAGAGAGAGAAAATTATCTCTTTCTTTGTTCTTGAAACCGGATGCGCGATTCGAGTGATTATAAGTGTGGAATCCCAAAGCTGAAGTAAAGGGCGTTGAGTGAGTGGAGCAGTACGTGAAGGGGCTACGACAGATATATAATCGATTGAGGATTGTGCGACAGGGCTGATTTATTGTGCCATCTACTTAACCTCATCCATGTAACCATACCATGAACTATACGCTAGACCAAATTTGGAAGTGGTTGAATAGCAAGAATGCTCGTGGGCAAATCGATAACACTGCGATGTGTTCTCAATAACGAATTAATTTACACATGCCAAGATAACCACCTTTGACTGTTCCAAGGTTGATGGTTCTAGTTGAAACCAACGGCTCGTGTTTGCACTGAGGTATCAACGGCATTTCCACGCTCAGCCGAGGATAGCCCTGTGATTCTGACAGCAAATTGAACCTTGCTGTCGTGATATATGATTGCTAGCGGCATTAAATGCCTCTCGCAACTCGTCACCAAGTCCTGAAGCTTCCAAAATTTGAAATATGGAATTCATGCGCAGCCGTGCGCCAGACCTAGATAGTAAAAGGCTAACGGGAATTACAGTAAGGAGGGGCGTGAGGAAGGCATTTTTGGCGCAATCGCAGTCCTGCAAAACTTGCGCCACAGCCGGAGCAACGATTTTCGGCCCCTAAAAAGTGCTACAAGGAACATTGCTTTAATGCATGCATTATAGTCCGAAGTAGATATATCTTTAGCTATCATAGCTACCCGCCACGCTGGAGATAAGGTTAACCGGGCAAGGGTTCATGCTACTAGCATAATTAATGCTTGTGGAAAAAGAAGAATTAAATATAAAGTATATAATTGGACTGAAGCTAAGGATATTCCTAAACGGAAGCGCAAATGGGTTAAGGTGAACACACAAATCAGAAGGCATAGGCTCTTGCAAAAGAAATGGGGGCGGGTCATGGCTGTTGATTTTATGTAGTTTGATAGGTTTTGTAATCATTTCTTGTTTAAAATGCATTTAATTCATTCATATATATGGTTGAAATAGGGGTTGAAATTAGATATGGTGAATTATTTTAAGTTTGGGTAGTATGTCGGTTTGGGTGTCGGACCCTTATTTGGAGGGTCTGATATTTTTGGTAAAAATATAAGGTCCGGTTAGCAAATTGGGAACCCTTTTTTCCCTCTGTCCTCTCCACCGCATCTATCTATCTACCAAAAAGCTGAAGGCGGAGCAAGATATTCCCCACCCTAACCAATTGGCTGTTACATCTTTTTGAAATGTCACCTTTAGCCCAATCGGAAATCAGCATTGGTCAAGCTGAACCACACTAGCTGACCCGACAAAAAGTCTGGCGCCGCCGCTATAGATACAAACCCACTAAATGTAAGACATATCGGGAGCCAAAAAAAAGGAAAAGGGAAAAAAAGAAAAAAGTTGAAAGGGCATAAAATAAATTGGTTTTCGACTTTTCTCAACTAACATTTCAAACCCAGACTGAATGTATAGGCCAACCACGAAATATGAATGGTGGTTATGCGGTGTGCTGCTCACGCAGGCTATCGTGACAATTGCCCTTGAAATGTGAGTATGGCTTGCTTTCCCTACAGCGGTGCTATAAAGGCTATCATTGAGCATCGCGATCTGACTACGATGCCAGATACATATTTGTTCAGTGGCAGTCATGGGTGACACCTACCATCATTCAGGTTGTGGTGTCATACTTGATTCCAATCAACCTGGCTATTTTGGTCTTTGCCTGTGTCTATGAGTTTATTCTGACCTTGGATGCAATCCACAACAAGAACAACATTCTTCTTTTTGCAATCTGCATCAGCAATGCCTGCAGTTTCGTTTACGCCGTTATGCAGTATCAACTGATGAAATCGACTACTGCGAGACTGTTTGGAGATCGATATGGGTATCCAACTCTGATTGATACCACGCGTAATATCTGGCCCTTGATCCAGCCAGCTGAGATCGTTGTTTGCATCATTACAGGATTGGGTACTTTGGTCATGTGCCCATGTTTATATTTCTTGCATAGAGAATACGCCTGGGCTATTTACAAATGTGTTCATGGTAGCCGGAAAACTCGAATGCGCTATCTGTTTTATGAGGTGATATCTTTTCCCTCGGGTCTCATTTGGAGGGTTGTGTAGCATTTCGCTAATATAAAAACACAGATCTTCCTCGTCCTGATCAAACTCAACTTTTACTTTCTGATCGGGTTCATCCTCCAATACAACTTGATTTACGTCCATTTACCCGGACTGGAGTACAATTTAACCATGTGTCTCATTCCAGTCTCATTCATCTGCATGCTGCTCGGTATATACTTTGTTCAGAATGAGCGAACATGGGGTGTGATTGGCATTATAGTAAGCATTTTTGTTTCCATATCTCCTCAGTTTCTCAAATCGATGAAACACTGACGTGTGCAAGATATGTTACTTGGGTATACTCGCATATTTGATTAGCCGCATCATAATCCTTTGTGAGAACGAGACGGTAGGAAAAGATATGATGCTCCTATTTGCGTGCGTGTCGTTGGTGCTCACCACTGCAACGATTGTTTGCGCCGTTGTATGCATTACCAACTTTGACCGGGGTTTCAAGATGATCAATCAAGCGAAGAACGGACCCACAGGAGATTCGTACTTGTTGCAGACGGGATATATCTCTCCCTCTCATCATCCCTCTTCGCGGCCGTCCTCCCGGCTCACGCTGGATTAAATTTGAGATCCCCAATGATTTGATTAACTAATCAATTCATAATATTGCCGACTGGCTCAGATTGCCCAAATACTCAACTAAATAATAGTGGGTTCGTTGCAACACCTACGTTGCCTACAAAGTCTAGTAACAGTTATAAATATCTTTTGAGTGTGAGCTTCGCATTTGCATTCTCTTCGTCTTTCTACTGATCTTCTTTGATCTTCTTTGAATTCTCTTGTGGGACAGGGATATTGAACGCCTCCTTAGGAAGATGACAGACTAGTTGACTCAGGGCTAGCCTACGGGGGCCCGGCTATGCACAGCCCCGCCAGGAGCTGAATGACCGAGATATAACCAACGAATGAGATTTCAATTCGCAGCGCGCAACGATTTGCATTAAAAAAATTGCAAGTGGATTCGGTAAGTTCCGAATTAAAATTCCCCATTTTGACCAAATATGTGTTCTGATCGCTGGTACTAAGGAGTTTGTTTTTATGGCGATGAACTGGACCCGCACTCTTAGTAAGGTTAGATAATTATAGCGGTCAATTTATCTTCTATTTGTGAGTTATCTACGGGGTATAGATGTATAGATGAAGATATTATAAGTTGACAGGCAAATGATATCATGCGGGGCTTCGTCGGACGAACCAGAGGCCAAGCGAGGGAGCGAAACAGGGCTGATTTCTCGGCGAGACTTCCTTGAGCTAATCTAACCGTTCCAAGCACTGAGCCTCGACTCCACTTGAGACCGACCGACGGTCTGAGTTGCACCCGTACTGTGGGAGGGAATGCTGCCGTTCTTTTTTACACGCTATTCTGATAGCGAATTGGAATAGAAATTTCCAGAGGATACAGCAAAGGGAACGTTGGATAGCAATAGGATTTAATCTCTCGCAAAGGTGATAAGAAGGAAGTAAGGACTAACAAAGTTTCCGCAAGAACAGGAAAAACCACGAATCCACGTCACCTTAGTCATCGCCGCAATGCCCTGTAATCATCCATTCACCAAGCCCTTGGTCATGCGGGGCCCCGGAGGCTCTCTTTTGCGTCATACAACTAAGGGGTAGACCCTTTCTACTCCCTGAACACTTGCAACAACACACATCATGGAATCATCTTATTATAATCACTTCACATGGAAGCAAACCAAACCTGGGAGATGGGAGCGCGATATCGATGAGGTAGAGCAATTTTATACTACATTGGAAAGAAGATTTCAAGGCACTAAACGTAACTTCTTTGCTATCACCGCTCATGTCTCATTATCCATCACAAGAAGATCTACTCCGACCGAAACCACCGAGCTGCGGCTTATCAAGGCCCTCCAGACAGCTTGGCTTCGGCTCCGGTACGACCATCCAACTATTGCTTCATGGGTCGAGGAAAATCGCGAGCAGAAGAAATGCAAGAAAATCTATCAAGGGTTTTCTGATACGGAAGATAATCAACATCTCACTTGGTTGAAAGAAACCTTCCAGGTTATCTCTACTGGTCAGTCCGGGCAGCAGTGGTGCAACTCAGACCCCCTGGCTCCCACGTTACCGACAATATTCCTTCTCAAACATGCGATTACATCGCAGCAGGAACCGTGTCGCGTCGATATTGTTCTACGGTCACATCATGCTATCATCGATGGAATCGGGTCACTTCACTTACTGAACAATCTTATAAAATACGCTTCCCAGGCGTTCAACCATCGAGATAGCTTTCTCATTCCCGAATTCACAGACGAGTGGAAGAACCTCAGTCCACCACTCCGTGTAGCTGCCGCTATACCGGAAAACCTCGATCCAGCTCAGGACCTGAAGCTCAAGAGTATCGTGGAATCGAATGATGCTCTTCGCGAAGGTGTTGAGATTGCGACAATACCTTTTAAGTCTGGACCAACTGTTCCCGGATGTCACAAGCGAGTGTATCTCAATCTCTCCGCAAGCGATACACAGCGTCTCTTGCTTGCTTGCAAAGCAATAGGAGTCAGCGTGACACATGTGTATCATGCAGCGATCGCCCTTCTTATTCGCGATCTGCAAGAAAGGCAAGAGAGTGAACGAACAGTGCGATATGCCAGCTACTCTCTCATCAATGAGCGACCTCGCTGTAAATCGCCGTACAACACACCACAACATGCGGCCTCGGTCTATCACTCTGTATCGGGCCATGGTCTGGCAATAGACCTCACTGTACCCAGTCTAGCAAGCCAAGACACAACACGTGAAAAAGAAAAGTCTGACTTTTCTCGAACGATCGAAGTGGTGAAACACCATTACTTATCGATCCGGAATGACGATGAACATATTTATTTTGTGCCCTCATATTGGCAACTCTCTACTCCGCCTTATCCCCCAGGTTTGGAAGATCCTCCAATCCCTCCCCCGAACCAAAAACCATCGGCATCTATCTCTAGTCTTGGGGTCATTGACAACATCATTTGTCCTACACATGGTGATTTTGAATTGCATGATCCTTGGGTGACTGGAGAAGAGCTAGGGACCGGACTGGGACTATTTTTGGGCACGTATCGTGGAAGCTTGTGTTTGAGTGCTGCGTATAACGATGCATGGCACGATGAAGCTGATGTGCAAAGTTTCTTGGATAAATGCAATGCTCTCGTTGTGAGACATATGCTGAACTCCTAGCAACAAATATTCGAAAACAAAGAAAGTCAAATACATGCATCCTTTTGAGCAGAAAGGGCGACGCCCTATCTTCTCGTACCGCTGCTGGGCCTCTTGCGGCGGTGTTACGATATTACCGGTACCAGACCGCATTTGTGCAAATCTGTCAAGTGTTAGCTGTTCTTGATTTTATCTTGCTCCCACTTCGTGGTGTTCAGCTGTGCTTTTGACCATATTTTATTTGTTTTAACTCGACTCAATTAAGAAGTTATCCGTGGGGGGGAAAGGTTCAAAATCGGTTCTGTTCTTCAACACCAGTGGACATCGTATTCAGGTCGACTGAATCCTAAAGTCCAAACACGTCAGCCGTATTCTATCATAAATGTCAAGAGGTAGAAAGCGGGGTAATTGTGATAGGCTTGTGCTAAGCATTAAAGTGTAGAACGCCAGTCCTGCAACTGTGTATGGAAAGGGTCAGCAGTAAGCAGGGTGTTTGCGCTTTGACCCAGAGCCGCAATTGCTAGGAGTATCTCGCCGAGACTCGATGATTTTGATTGGCTTTCATATATTCAGCCCTGAGATCATAAGTGGGCCTGGTCTCTGCTCTAGTGCAATTAAGCTGTCAGTCGCATGATGAGACCCTACATGGCGCACTTTACCCTAGTTCCTGGGACCCTGCCTTGTTCAATAGCAATCACTTGCAACGTATGGAGCCAAAACATACTGTGACAGCATCCCAATGGTTGCTTTCCTTATGAATACTCAAGTATCTGAATCAAAGTACAATCTCTTGGATCCTCTCGCATGCCAGGTTCCGTGAGGCGAGGGGAGGAGGTTACGTATTTTGAGAGTTCAGTGCCGACGCCAGCTCGTACTCAAAAGTCATCTTGATTACCAGCAATATTGAGTGCCGACGCTATGTTTATTCGGATACCATTCGATACTTACTTTGATAGAGTTATGTGCCGTTTCTTTCAGCTCCGCCATAGATGTGCTCGTGTCCAGTCCTCATTGATGAACATCGGCGAAACTTACCCTATAGTTTTCAGGTTGAACGCTTGATTAGGCTCCGAAATAGAGATCTATAAGAACGCGCTGCTCGGTATGTATCCATAAAATTCCAACCCACTTCTTTTTCTCCCAAGAAAGCTTCATATCTCTCTTTCTCCAAACAGAAAATCCACCCATTCAAGAGACATTCCAAATGACCGATAGTACTGCTGCTAGTCAGGTGGTCCTCCTCACCAAGCTGCCGGGAACCTCTGAGTCCCCGCCATCACTGCCGAGCGGCACTGTGTCCCTGTTTGCGGACAATAACTGGGCCAATTCGAGACTCGATTTGAACATAGATGATTTCGGCCCTGGGAGTCGTCAGACTTTGAAATCGTACATGCTCGATCAGGCCACTTATGTCGCATTCAACTTGCCCATTGGCACGGTGATGACCTTGATGGATAACATCCAGCCAGTGCAGGACGGGAAGTCAGTCGCCGATCTCAGCAATTGTGGTCGATGCGTCGACCTCGTCGGTACTGGAAACACAGAGTCCCTCAACCTTGAATCCGTCAACATGAACGATTGTATATCTTCTTTCTTCTGGCGGACGGTCGATCTGAACATGGGTGCTATCGAGATGTTCGACGATGTTGACTTCAATGGTGGGCGTACGACAATCTTTCTGAGTGAATGGAACTCCGGACAGATCTACCCGGTCAACAACTGGTGGCTGCAAGACAAGGTTTCCTCTATCCGCTGGAAGTCCCTAAATGACCGGCAAAAAGCTACATTGTTCGACAACTCTGACGGCACAGGAAATGAATACGACAACATCAAGGGCTGGGGCAATATCAAAGAAATCGCCAATCTAGGAGATGACGCCACGTTCAATGATCAGATGAGCTCGTTCCGCTGGGACGGTATCACCCCAGAAAAAGAGATCATCGCACCGTTCAACATCGTCTTGGGCAACGTGTCATCCTCATCTGGCCTGACATCTGTCATCTCGGGGACAAACAGCAGTTCGCTAGCGCAGCCCGTCACCGTGACACTCACCAACTCCGACGCCCAGACGCTGACCATCACAACCTTGGACCAACAGGTGCAGGGTATCACGTCGACGCAGACCTTGTCAGAATCGGCAGGTGTCCCTGGCGAGGATTCGGCCTCGACAACTTGGGCGATAGCACTTAGTTATACCTACACGCAGAGCACGACCAAGACGACCACCGAAACGACGACCATTGCTCTGGCAATCTCGCAGACTGTGAATGCGCCGCCGGAAACTTCTTATACGGCGACCTTGCTGGTTAACATTGGCAAGATACCTCCCAAGATCTATAAAACCACCGCTCAACGCTGGTATAAAGTTGCAGTCACAGGGGGCATGGTGGATCCATCGAATAATAATTTGTACCTCCGGGTCGAACCGGTGTCGGTCTCTATTACTGGCAGCCTTGCGAGTAGTACCACTGTCAATATTGTGTCAACGCCGTTGACCAAGTCCTGAAGCTAGCCTGCAGTACTTGTGTGAACAGTATCTCTTGGTTTGTTTGGTTTCCATGTGGCCTGTAACCATTCGAATTACATTGGTTAATTTTAGTTGTTGATGTACTTAAATGAAGATTCAATTGACCATCAATAATTAGTTAGAAACAGACACCTCCCACATGTGAAGAAGCTCAATGATGTCTTGTGACATTCGGGAGTCCGAGATACTCATATCGAAGTAATATCTAGTGGATGAACCCAGAGCATTGAGGATTGTCTTTTTGTATCCATCGATAAAGATCGCCCAGTTTTTGTATATACCTTGATTCACACCTTCATTGAAGATAGCGACATAAAGTACCACAGCTGGTGCTATTTGGAGGTTTGAAGAGAGAAGAGAGAGGAAAGAAGATAATAGACGGAAAGAAGAAAAGAAGAAAAGAAGAAAAGAAGAAGAGAGGGGGTAGAGATGCGCGAATTAAAGCGTGTTACCCCACATTTTCTTATCAGTGGACGGGTGTCTAGTGTCTCGGTCTTAGGATCGGCGATGATTATTCTCACGTCCTTCATTGATTTCTCCAACCTTGAGTTATGCCACCAGAGCGACGTATACAGCGAATAGTCCGAGTAAGGACGGGTTGTTTAACATGCAGAAGACGGAAGAAGAAATGCGACGAGGAGCACCCTATCTGCGGTGGTTGTCGGCGCAATGATTTGGGCTGTCAGTGGCCAGATGTGCCTGGGCGGCGAGATTCAGGCCAAAGAAACACACCGGCACAAACCCCTGAAGAGCGCCGACCGAGCCTTTTGGAAAGCATCGAACCATTCGATGACAATGTTATCGCTGGGAGTCCCTTCTCGCAACGAGCGCCTTCTGTTGCATCGAGTGCCGGTCACTCCATGATCCCCGGAGACCAGTTTGAAGACCCAATGCAGGAAACAAATCAAGCACGTCGCATTTCAACATCTACTCCAATTACCAACACAAGTGATGCTCTTATGGCATCTATTTCCATGGGAACTGTGCTGCCGCGCAGCCTGTCCATGTTGCCTGGTTACGACGCCGAGTCTTATCAGCTTCTTAGCCATTACCTCGCCACAACGGCCGATTGCATGGCAAATGGCTCAACGCCTGTCAATCCGTTTCTTGTGCAGATTGTGCCTCTAGCATTTTCTAGTGACTTGCTCTTACAGCTGGTCATTACTCAAAGTGCAGCTCACCGTGCATTTCGATCGCGGGATGATTCCGATACAATCGCCCACAGTCATTACAGCAAAGCTCTTAAACACTTCCGCCGAGGAGTGACCGATTTTATCGATGGGAAAGAGTCAAACCCTCTCATGCTCCTGGTCGGAGCGCTTTTAATGTGTTTTACTGAGGTATGGAATTTCTACAGACACGTATGTTGATTCGGCTGACACAAAACCAGACAGCAAAGGGCGACATGAACGGAACAATTTTCGATCACTTGTCCGCGGCAAACTCCCTCTTAGTAAAACTGCTTGCACAAAGTGACTCAGCCGTGCCGCGCGATCTAAAAGACTTCGTCATCGAATACTACACATACACTGCGACCGTGAGCATGATCTCAATCGATGCCCGATTTAGTGGGCAACTATTCCTGAACCTTGATCTTGAGGAACGGTCGCGCGAACTGCTGCGAACTCAATATGTAGGCAATCTGTGCGGCTGCTGGCTGGAACTCTTGCTGTTGATCCCGTGCATCTTCGATCTCGGCCGACAGTGGATAATGGACGATTCGCAGGCGGTCGTTCCAACTGCCGATGAAATTGCCATGTTCGCATCTATCCAAGCACAGGTTTTGCGCTGGTCGCCTTATCCTAATGTCCCGACGGATGTCCACCTTGCTGGTCTGATCTTTCAACAAGCCATCCTCATCTACCTCTACACCTCCCTCGGTGGATTCCGATACACCACAGATGGAATGTACAAGGGCTTGGTGGATAACGCAGTTAACGAAGCCATGTCTTATCTTAACGACTTGTCGCCCCGCGCGCGTATCAACTCCGGTCTCTGTTGGCCGATCGCGTTGGTAGGCTCATGCCTCCTCAACCCCGTCCAGCAAGAACGGCTACGAGGGCGATTGAATGAAATGACGGAGAAATTTGGTCTGGGTAATATGCATCGAACACTCCTCCTTCTCGAGGCAATGTGGCAATTACCCGCATCTGAGGCTGGGCCATGGAATATTTGTCGGGCAATGCAGCAAAACCAAATATGGATTTCATTCGCGTGATGTTGATCGTCATTCTGTTACTCATATTATGTACAATTTAGCATATCATGTCTATCTATGACGCCAAGTTCTTCGGTGCCTCCGTCGCAGGCCCTTCGGGCGTAACATAAGCCTTTGTCAAGCCACCATCCACAACGAAATCAGTGGCATTGACGAAGCTGCTCTCATCACTAGCAAGGAAAATAACCGCATGCGCCTGCTCAACTGCCTCGCCGAAGCGACCGCTCGGGAAGTGCACTTCACGACGGAAGCGCTTCTCCTTATCGTCACCAAGCCAATCCTGCAGAAGTGGTGTGCTGTGCAAAACGTCAGTTATTGATCAACACAATTTGAAAGAAAAGGATAAACATACTTGAGAGGCGCAGGGCAAAGCGAGTTGAATCTGAATCCCTCACGGGCGTGCACAATCGCCAACTCCCTCGTCATCGCCAACACAGCACCCTTACTAGCAGTGTATGCCAACTGCGGCGTGGCAGCACCAACCAGTGCAACCATAGAGGCAGTGTTAATAACACTAGCGCGCTTCTTGCCATGCTTCCTGAAAGCACGCACAGCATGCTTGGAGCCGAACCAAACACCCTTCACGTTGATATTCATCGTACGGTCCCAGATATCCTCGGGGCACTCCTCGGAGTCGCCATCTTTCGGGTGCATGATTCCAGCATTATTGAAGATGACATCGAGACCGCCCCAGGAATCAAGGTGTGCGACGGCGGCTTCGACCTGCGATTCGTTGGAGACATCGACGGCTTTCGTTTCGACCTTTCCGGTGCGGGAGGAGGCGGGGACGACAGTGTTTACTTTGGCGAGGGCTTTGTTCAGACCTTCCTCGCTGATATCGGTCATCAGGACTGAGGCGCCTTCACGAAGCATGAGGATTGTGGTTTCAAGACCGATGCCGCTTTTTTGGTTGTTAGTTTCACATTCCATTATGTATGATAGGTGCTTGGAACATACCCAGCCGCGCCGGTGATAATGGCATTCTTGCCTTCGAGTCTGCCGACCATTTTGATCTGTAGCGATTATAGAGGTGGAAAAAAAGCAGATGGGTATGGGTATAGGTGGAACAATTGAGAGTAATTTCAACAACAGAGCGCAGGACCCCAGATTCTTAAATTTATAGCTCTAATCTCCAACCCGGAACAACCCCCATCCTCCAGTCCACATGCGAAAACCCAACCACCGCGTCCACAAGTCACCCGTGACCATTTGTCTTGCAGATACCTATCTCAATCCACACCCGCGGTCTCGAAAGCTTTATCGCGCTCCTGATACCCCGCCATGCGATGATGAGCTGGCTCTGCGGGGCACGAGGGGTAGCTGTTAGGTAAATTATTAGTGTGTTGGGTGCATGAACTGCTCGGTGCTTTTGTGGTATCTTTGCCGCGCTCTCGGGATTGGGGCAGCGCGGTCCGGGACCGCGGTGTGGGGCGGTTGATCAACTTCGAGGGCGGCTGATGTTTAGATAGCGATATGGAGCTGAACTTCATAGTTATTCAAGAGTAAGGCATGAATGGGCGATTTGGTGATGTCGTCTTTGTATTTGAGCATCTCAGCATGAGGATCCTGGTTGTAGTGAGGTATGGATAGCTTAAATACTTTGAACCGCGATAAAGTTACGAGGATTGGTTTCAAAACGATAAAACATGGAAATAGTCAATTTTAATTGTAACTATATACTTAGGATGAACCATCTTTGATGTGATAGCTCTTCAACTTAGTAAATCCATCGTAGCCTCGTGGGCCAAGAGTGCAGCCTAACCCAGAAGTCTTCCAGCCAGTCCATGCAAGATCCTGAGATTCGACATTAGCACTCAATTAATTAGATCCAAATCATATAGACGATCAACTTACTGGGCTTGGATAATCGCAGCGGTTGATAAACACCGTGCCGGCCTCAATGCGATCGATCAACTCCTCTCCGCGAGCGATATCCTTCGTCCAAACACTAGCAGTCAATCCAAAGTCACTGTCATTCATCAATGCAACGGCTTCATCATCACTGGAGACTTTCATTATGGGCATCACAGGCCCAAATGTCTCTTCCCTCATGGTAGCCATGGTGTGGTTGACATTGGTCAAGACGATGGGAGCCACAAAATTGCCCTTCTGCGTGTGGGGGTTGCTCTCCACCTGGAAACTGGAGTTCTCGGGAGTAGAGTTGATAGCACCCTTGGCAAGAGCATCCTTCACATGGGAGTTGATTTTCTCAACGGCTTGTGCTGAGATGACAGGGCCAGTAGTTGTGGTTTGATCCTTCGGATCTCCCAGTTTATAGCTAGAGAATGGAATGTCAGATTATAATCCTTCTTTCTTTAGACTACTCATACTCACGATTTAAGCTCCTCTTGAACAGCACTCAAGAACTCATCATAGACCTTCTCATGCACATAAACCCGCTCGATAGAACAGCAGCTCTGTCCGGAGTTGAAGATAGCGCCATCGACCAGCTGCTCGGCGACATGCTTCACATCGACATCTGGTCGAACATAGGCAGGGTCATTACCACCGAGTTCGAGATTGACCGGCTTGATGTGGCGAGCAGTGGCCTCTCTCAGTCGGATACCACCGGCAGTTGACCCTGTGAAGGAGACAGATTGGATTTCAGGAATCTTTGCGACTTGATCGAGGACATCCAAGTTTCCAATTTGAACAATCTGAAGAACGTCAGAGGGGAGTCCTGCCTCGGTGAAGAACTCGAGCAGTTTGTTCCCGAATAGTGGGGTCTGCGGCGAAGGGCGCAGAATCACGCTGTTACCAGCCAGAAGAGCGGGAACGAGCGCGTTGACAGTAGTCAAATACGGATACTTTAATTTATGTCAGTGAGACTCGAGACTGGAATTCAATATCGATGTATACTTACGTTCCAAGCACCAGCGATAAGAACCGGTCCAAGGGGAACTCGCTTCACGGATCGTCTGAACCCAGCCTCAGCCCGACCAGGTAGATCCGACAGACTTTCTTCGGCGATATCCATCAAGTACTCTGCGCGAAGACGCATTGTGTTGATTTCGCTGGCACAGTAGCGGATAGGACGACCCATTTGGAGTGTGAGCTCATTGGCCAGTTCATCGCGATTGTTCTCAACAATGTCTAGGACTCGCTTCACAATGTTCTTTCTTTCCTCTAGTGGGGTAGTCCGGTACGACTCGAAGGCCTTCTTTGAGGCCGCGGCAACTTTGATGGCATCTTCCAGGGAAGTGCCAGGTTGCTCAAATATGACCTCGTGGGTCGCGGGGTTGATTGTGCGGATTTGGTTTGACATTTTGGTTGTTGGAGGTTTATGCAGTGAAGTGGGTTGGGAATTGGGGGGAGAGGTGGGTTTTATAGGCGCGGAGCCCGCGGTTGCAGATCCGTATCGGACGGAGTATACAGCTAACTCTTTAGATTCCACTTTTATCTTGAAGCAGTCAGTAAGTAGGCTGTTATTTGTAGAACCAATGGTTATAATTCATGATAGTACACGAATTATCATCACCCTTTTTTTTGCGGACTGTTTTATAAAATCCTTTTGGGTGTCTTGCTTATATCGTATGTGACATCCAAGCTATTAATCTACACGTCAGATGGTTCGTACATGTATTTGGCTATGTCATTACATTCTCCATACTAGCTCTCTACTTTTTCTTTTCTGTCTTCGCATCCAATATGAACTTTGCCATGGTATATCCTATCAACTCCCCATCGTGGGGATTTCCCGCTCGAGACAAGCCATTGTTATAAAGCTCGTCATCAAACACCCCACTTTCATGCCTGGCTTCCAGTACACAGGACATGATGCCTTCATTGTACTCTGGGTGGCCCTGCACTGACAGTACTTTGTTGGGCAAGTATAGACCCTGGACTCCGCATTTTTCACTTGTCGCAAGATTTACACACCCAGCTGGAGGGGCTTCAAAGATTATATCTCGGTGCATTTGTTGAATGCTCTGCAAAGAGTCAGAGTTCTGCGTAATCTCCTTCGGGGCTTACTTGTTTGAACAGGAACTCACCAGTGTATCTTTTCCAAACAGTCCTCGGCCGACCTCAGTCAAAGCCATCTCCTCCACTGAGACCTCCCATCCAGCCTCGTTTCTTCCTACTTGTGCACCGAGTGCTCTTGCCAAAATCTGATGTCCGAAGCAGATTCCAACAACCGGTTTATTGAGTGTCAAAATGGTCTCTCGCACATAGGTTGTGAGACCTTGAATCCACAAATCATCAGCCCAGGCATCGTGCTCTAACAAATTCGCTTAGTTATGATAACGGACTCTTGTGCATGATGACTTACTGCTTCCAGTTATGACCACAGCGTCGATGTTTTCGAGAGAAGGAAATCGATCAGTTCCGACCATTTGATGTTCACTGAATTCCACTCTGATTTCGTTGAACTTCTCCTCAGAAAGGTCCAAGTCATTGAAACCCCGTCTCAAAAGCTCCTGGAACAGTCTAAAGTAGTCGCCATACTTTGTAAGAACCGGTTTGATAGGCGTATCGCACACGAGAATGGCGACGTGGAGGCGAATGTAATTTGGTGCTGTGTACATATCCAAATCTTGTCTTAGTCCCTGCTGATTGTAGTCATCAATATGAATCGACGGTGATCTTTATTCATGCCTCATGTATTCCTCATGAGATTCCTCATGTACTTCGATAGTGCGCCGATAAGCGCGTAGTGGAGTTACAGCGCGGACCGCGGAGCATCTCCGTCGCGAAGTTATCGGACGGTCATAGCTCCATCTGCTTTGCGCGTCAGAATGCGCGCTCCAGGGCTATCATTAACACTGCGCGGGATTATTGTTGACCAAAGGTGCGCGGGATTAATGATGTCCACAAGTTCGACCCCCGCTACATCAAGGGCCCGCAACTTCTCGCAATTGTATAAAGCTATTGCGGCCGAGTGTTTCTCCCAATTTCAATTCTACTCAATTGTTTTCTTCTAATTTTCATATTGTTCAATTACCTGAGAATGATCACGCCCACCATGATCACTGTTGAATCCCTTCCCCAACTTCTGGCCGATGACATCAAGGTCAAAGTCGCCGGCATTGACAGCGATGGTGTCCTGCGTGGCAAAGTGATGGCAAAGGAGAAGTTCCTTGGGATTGCAGAAAAAGGATTCGGCTTTAGCTCTGCTCTCTTTGGTTGGGATATGCATGATATGCTATGGACAACCGACGCGCGGGTCGCACCTCCAGAGGCAGGTTATGCTGATTTCCTGGCTGTTCCGGACCTTAACTCTTTCCGCCGTCTGCCTTGGGAAGAAAACATTCCTTTCTTTTTAGTACGATTCCTTGATGATACAACTCCAGTCTCTGCAGATGGAAGAAGTCTATTAAGGAGTCTGTGCGATGAGCTTGCCGGCAAAGGAATTCATGCTTTATCTGGAGGTAGGATACATTGATCCTAACTGAGAAAGCTCTTATGCTGATTGTGTGCAGTTGAACTTGAATTTATGAACTTCCAAACCCCCTCCGAGGACGGATATGGAAGTGCAGGCTCCCAACATCCTAACCTCGCTACCTTCCTGGAGAAGAATTCGCCCGGTGCCCTCCGACCAATTACTGCTGGCATGTTCTGCTATAGCTCAACACGGCCAGTTGCCAACAAGAAATACTTCTACGATATTTTCAACACTGCTGCTCAGATCAATTGTGGGATTGAAGGCTGGCACACTGAGGGCGGGCCCGGTGTGTATGAAGCAGTATGTTCCCCAGTCGATGACAATGAGCGTATCTGACAACTTGTTGCACAGGCCTTGAAGGTTTGCGAGATCAGTGAAATGGCAGACAAAGTCGCAATGTTCAAGTGAGTTGCACGGCCCATATAAGGTTTCTAGGTCTAACCGAATCGACAGGCTTCTCACCAAATCTTTGGGAATGGACCACGGCGTCACCCCGTGCTTCATGGCCAAGCCTATGCAGGGCATGCCAGGAAGCTCCGGACACGTTCACATTTCCCTTGCTGACAAGAGCGGCAAGAACCTGTTCGCAAGAGACACACCAGAGGAAAACCCCCAGTGGTCGGACATTGCACACCTCTCCGATACTGGACGGCACTTCCTTGCTGGACTTCTAGAAGCTCTTCCGGATATCATGCCCATGTTTGCGCCAACTGTTAACTCATACAAGCGCCTTGTCGAGAACTACTGGGCGCCAGTACACATTAGCTGGGGACTTGAGGACCGGATTGCCTCAATTCGTCTGATCACACCGCCAGTATGCAAGCCTGGTGCCACGCGATTTGAGGTCCGTATCCCTGGAGCTGACCTCCACCCTCATTATGCTTTGAGTGTCATCCTTGCAGCTGGCTGGAGGGGTGTACAGAAGAAGCTTGAAATCACAGTTCCCCCAATGTCAACACGCAAAGCAGGTGAACGCCCAGAGCTGCTTCCTAATACCTTGGACAAGGCTTTGGATCGGTTCTCTGCTCCGAATAGCATTGCGAGGGAGCTTTTGAGTGGAGAGTTCGTGGACTTCTTCACTGCGACGAGACAACATGAGCTGGGTCTTTGGAGAGAGGCAGTGACCGATTGGTAAGTCTGGAATAACATTCTTGTGGCTGATTCATGGCTAACACATCTGCAGGGAGGTCAAGCGGTACATTGAAATTGTGTAAACTTGTAAACTATATCACAGCCAATGGAGTCCTTTGATTTCGTTCATGTCTGCAGGGTGTAGGCTTATATGAAATAAGATTTAAGTGCGTAGTAAGCTGCTGGGATCGATATGCAGACCTGCACATAAAGCACCTCAGTACCAATAGCACCAAATGGGCCAATCATCAGGGCAATAGATAGGGGAACAACGCTAAAGCTTTAGGGTGTTTTTGGTATCCACGGTACCTTGAGGCCGCCCACGTGATGAGGCAGAAACACGGGGTAGATCTCCTGGTTCATGCCAGTCCCATCCTACACATGTGTACATAGGAATCAACCAACCGAATTCAGATCGCAAAGTCAGCGCGATGGCTTCGAATCTCCCTATCCCTATTCCCCCGCGCACCCCCACCCCACCCGCCGACGATCAATATGCCTCCACAATCAACTCAGGGATATCAATCAGTCGCGATTCCCTATCGCCGCTGAAGGCTTCGTTTCCGAAAGGGATCATGGATGCTGAGAGCAGAGACCATTTGAGTCCAACTAGATCTTCTTTCAATTTGGCGACTTCCCCTGAAGGTGCAGAAACACCGATTCAGAATGGCTCGAGCGAGACGACCCCCGCTGGGCCATTCAATTTTGATACTGCTGTCATGGCGAAAAGCCCGGTCATCAAATCGGTGAGTCCAGTCGCAATTGTATCCATGCTGAGTGGTATTTTTAATGTATTTTATGTTGCAGAACATTGGACAACGTCGTGGCCACAAGTACAAACACAGTAGCATATCGCATCAGATCTTTCTCGAGCCTCCGCCGCGCGCACCCCTCGCTCTCCCGAACTCCCTTCCCATACCAACATTGAAAGAATGCAGATCAAGCATGTCGAAAGACCAGAAAACCCGCTTCTGGTGGAGTCTCTGCCATATGTTCATTGCGGCATACACACTTTGGACAGCCCACGGGTCTCTGGCCATGACAGCCTTATCGCACTTGATTCTCTTCGATTCACTCGGCGCACTCCTGTGTGTGGCGGTAGATGTGCTGAGCAATTTCGAAGTGTGGAAAAGATCGAGTATTCGCCACCCGTTCGGCCTTGAACGCGCCGAGGTTCTGGCTGGGTTCGCAATGGCTGTGCTTCTTCTGTTTATGGGGCTGGACCTCATCTCGCACAACTTGCAACACTTCCTCGAGAAGTCCGGCCATGAGCCTCACCGCCCACACGAGCATGATCGGGTTTCGCTGGGTAGTGTGGATGTTACTGCCGTGCTTGCTATATCTTCGACACTGGTGTCGGCAATAGGACTCAAGAACCATGCGCGCATTGGCAAGGCCATGCGATTTGGGTACATTCAGTCTCTCCCATCCGTTCTGAGCAATCCTTCCCACTTCCTTACACTATCTTGCTCGACGCTGCTGTTGTTGCTGCCCCTGGTCTCGATCCGCATATATGATTGGCTCGATAAGCTGCTATCGGGAACCATCGCTTTTTCAATGTGTTTCCTCGGTGTGCGCTTGGTAAAGACTCTAGGATCAATGCTTCTCATGTCGTACTCCGGTCAAGGAGTATCTGAGGTCATCAAAGATATCGAAGCCGACCCTGCTATGATTGGCATTGAAGACGCCCGATTCTGGCAGGTCCACTACGGGTTGTGTATGGCCAACCTCAAGCTGCGGGTCAGTGGCACTGATGATAATCTCGCTCGACTACGGGAGAAGATAACCAGCTTGGTCCGCAACAGATTGGGCGGTGGTTATGGTGCAGGGGGGCAAAAATGGGAAGTATCTCTCCAGTTTACGGTCGAGCGTACTACCTAATGTGTTCTTCAGTTCCAACGACTGTTGTATAGGTTTCCACGCTTGCATATATGTATCCATTCTAAAGCATACCCTGTACAAAATGAATATTCACTTCGCATGATTCTGAGCAAAAAGTTCCTAGCAAAAGCTGATTGGTATTAAAGGGTATCTAAGGAAAATTATTCTATGGTCGTTAAATGCGTCTGTTGAGTTTGAACGCAAAAGCATCATTGATCAGCTTTCAGCTCCACCCTTTGCCTTCTCCAGATTGTCCTCCAGCCACGGTTGGCTCCTCTGGCGTCTGTTTCGACAAGCGCAGCAATACATATGACGAAGGCCAAGAACATGAAGACGGTATCGGCGATAGCAGAACCACACCTGGACTTCAATTGGTCACTGCCATACCAGCAATTTGAGCGGATACCTGACGCGTCATAGTCACACCCGCCGCAAAGTAACACGTTGTGATATGTAGTGAGCCAGTTTGAGCATCTGGTTCCACGTAGTCGAACAGCAAAGATCTTTACATCGAAGTACAAATGGTTAGTTTTCATCCCTTTTTTCCAAAAAGGGATATCGGGAAAACTCACAATACCACCGACCAGCAATGCCAGGGCACTGACGCCGTCCACAAGCCAGGTAAGAGGTTTATTAACAGAGCTCTCAGATGTTGTAGCAAACCCAAGTAGCGCAGCTACAATGCCGAGGCCACCTGCAAAAGCCGCATAGACAGTTTCTGAAGGTACAGACTCGATGACTTGCCCCCTTGCCAGAGAAACAGATAAACCGAGGATCACAATGGCGAAGAGCAACTGCGCTCATGTTAGGAGTCATTCATAGTATCAATTGTAGAACAGCTTACCTGGGCGACTCGGACACCGATGGCATATGAGATCATTTTGAATACTTAAGCTTGGGTAAGCTTAAAGTAGGGGGAAGGAGGAGTTGAGATAAAGTGAAAACCCCCTGAAGGGGGTTGGCAGGAGATTTATCCACAACCCCAGATTCACTATTGACCCTGATCGGCTTGTCGAATTCACAGCCCGCTAGCACAGCCGGTGTACGCATCATAGTTTGCGTGTTTGAGCCGCAAATTCAAAGTTTAAAAGTGACCGGGGGCCGTAGGGCTCGTTTATTTAGGGGCCAGCACCAGCGCATCAATTAAGTGATCATTTTAACCAATTCTAGAGACTTCATTTGACATTATTTCCAAGGGTTTTTTTTAGAAAAAAAAAGAGTCTTTGCCCCGGTGATATTCCTATGCCTAGTTGCAGGGGGTATGGGGCGTCTGATAAATTTCTATGTTCGTGTCCGAAGAATCTCCGTCATAGACGTGAATATGTTCCTTGTCTTCTATCGGTATAGTATATGTGTGAATAATTAAAGATTGGAACTAGCTGTTTCAAGAGATCTCGAGGTATAGCAGAGTTGAAACCGCACTGTACAACGTAATTGCGGACATCTAATCTAGAATCGACGCGCATCCTGATGATGAAACGGCTCAAAACGCCCCTAAAATCTGCCTAAAATCTGCCTTGGAAAGTGGATCAATGTGAAGTGACGAGCGATCGTCAAGAGTAAATCATTATTATTAGTCAATGTTTTGTAGATCCATCCGTGGATGGGTCCTTGACTTTGAGGGTCAGGAATCCTTTTAATGTTGTCCTTGGTCGATCAATCCTGGCTGAAGGAAGCCTGGGGCTAAATTTATCTATATAGTATCCATCTAAAACGTCGTATTCATTTATTTACTTGGCTGCCTACAGAAGCCTTGTTTCCAAGGTTATAATTTCCATCAACCCTGTCTCCGATATCGTACTGCATGGTTATGGTCTAAACTTATAACTAGGAACGGGCAAGTTAATGATGTGTTCGACTATTCTTGTACGCGATGGATGGTAGGTAGGGAGGATTCTTTCCTGCTAGAATACCATCGCCCCCAACCCTACAATATCTCCCATGGCCACTTCAAACTCGCAGATGGTGCCCTAGGCCATAATTAGGGGCCTTGGTCGGCTACTTTGTCCTCAACCATATACATTTTTACCTAGGAACCTAATCTAGGGACATATATATATATGTAACCCGTGGACCATATCAACTATATCAACCATTTGCGAAGTATTTTATGTAAGGTGATTTAATGCCAGATTGGTATGCAATGAAGATCATCGATTGTTTTCTTGAAGACTATGTAAATTTTGAAGTTCTCTATAAGATTTTAGTCCTTTCGTGAGGAAATGCATGTGCCAAATATGGTTGCGGTAACATGTGTCGTAAATTATAGACTCCCAGTAGCCTTGAGCCATCATGTCTTATAAACTATGGTCCAGAAATTCTCAGTCACACCAAGGAGATCCGTAGATTAGATTAAAGTAAACAGACAAAAGAGAAGACACTAAAAGAGAGTAGGTATCCACTGCCAAACCAAGGCCTTCATAGAATCCACATTGCAATCCAGAGTCATCGTATGCGCATCAAATCACATCTATAATCCCTCGGGATACCCCTCGCAAATGAGCTTGACGGAAACATAGCCAGGTTCAAGGATATCAGGGATACACTCGCCCTCAGCGATGGGGCTGTAGTTGAAGGGAAGGAAGTGATCGGGTCTACCGGAGCAACCATCGTTGTTCCAGATAGCCACACCGCTGCAAAACAGGGCATCCTTGGTGTCAAGGCGGGCGCGGAAAGAGTAGTTATCGATGCTCCAGTCACGGTTGACGGTGGTCTTGTCACAGGTGACGGGGGTGGCAGTCACATCAGCAGAGAACTTGGACTGGCCGAGGGCGGGAGCGCCGACATCGCACGATTCCCAAGAGAGGAACTCAATACTGGCAACGGGGAGAGCGGCATAAGCAGTCATGCTGAAAGCGGCCACAGAGGCGAGGGTCTGGACAGCGTTAGCCTTCTCTCGGTATGATATCTTTATCAGATGTGTTTACCTTAGTGAAGTGCATATTGGCCAAGGATTGTGGAGTTTCTTGAATGAAAGTGGTTCTCCGGCTTGGAATGGCTTTACGGAAAGTGTCGTTAATGAATGAGTCGTACGAGGGGTATCAGCCCGCGCGAGCATCTTCCGGCATTTAAGTAGCTCTCAAGCAATGGCACGCGAAGATCGTTGGTAAACATGGTCTTTGCCAAAATTGGCCCAATTGAGCATAAGGAATGCAGGAATCCAATTCAAACGTAAGTATTGAGAAATTCCAAAGAAAAGTATTGGAGGGGTTGAAACCCAAAGGGTTGGAATGTGGTGATCTGGGAGGTAAATACAAGCTTGGCGGGCTGTCAATGTTGATCTCCCTCAGGAATGGAGACAGGGTCTGCAGTCAAGGACCCGGACGAATGCTTTCCCCTGCTCATTTGTCTGAGGGCCTTGGCTCTGTGGGTAGCATCGGGGCAACACGACATACCCTGTGGCGGTTGAATGTCTCACCGAAGGGGTAGTAAAACGAGGGCAGCTCACCGAACCTTGCACGAAGGCCCATCTTGACTAATAAACAAATTAAGATTCCTTTCTTTTAAACGGATTCATTAATGGTCTTGTGGTCAAAATGGTTAGTCCTGGGATGAGAACATACATGTCCAAGGCAATCATTCCAATTAGTGGATTTATACCAGCCAAATCTAATATATTGGTTATGTGCAATTATAGAAGCAGGTCTAGAGGTCTAGAAGCCATAGATTGATTCTTAAATTGGGAGTTTACGCCTAGAAAATCGCCATACAGTTAGGTGGACTAGACACACCCCGGGAGCAATTCAACGGACTACTCGAAACAAAGAAACTCCAACGATTGAGCCGTTTACATGTCGCAGCCAGCTCCTCCAAATCAAACATCTCCCCAATAGGAATCCCCCATCCTGCAAGAAGATGATGGTGTAAATCAAATTCAGGGTTCAAAGCCGGCCAAACCTCAAAGCTAATTGCATCGGATGCAACAGCCGCAAAGTGATTATCCCACACAAAGCGCAACACACGCTCACTTTGCTCAATACCCGCATGTTGCGGCATCGCCTGTTGGCTATACGTCACGCGCTGCTCAGCAGACATCCGCTCCCACGTCCCGGGCAAGCCAATGCGCAGGAAAAAGATATCGCCCTTCTGGAATGTAATATTACATTCGCGCGCGATCTCCAATACCTCATCCAGCGAGATCTCTTGTCGACTGAGCGCGTCCACGCTAATACCCTTCTTCTCCGCGTATGAGACGTAATCAATTAAAACTCCGCGCCCGGCGATACCTTTCTTCGCCCAGAACCCGATTCCAATGCGCGACGAGTTCTCATCTTGGATTTCCTCCGCAGTGGTACCGCCGTAAAAGAGTCGTCTATCTTTGTTTTCTGGTGTTGGGGCTGGCGCGTTGTGATGTCGGAGTCCATCCCATTGGGAGGATTGTTGTGGGTTGAAGTGGTACTCGTCGTCGAATGCAACGCCCTCGGCAACCCATTTCACCCGATGTTCGAATGGCTTACGACCGAACCCTGTGTTTTTGAAGCTGGTCAGTACTTAGAACACATACATGAAGGGAAATTCATTCCGAGATGAGTGTTGTTTACCTGGTGGGCTCAGATTCTCCATGTTCCAATTCAGACAAACGCGCTCGCCAGTCTGAATTTGTGTTCGTGCAGCTTGCGCAACCAATTCTGGGGTGAGGAGACGGAGCATGCCTAGTCCCTCTTCCTCTGATCCTGCTGCTCCAGGCCAGAATCGGCGCTTGTCGGGGAGATCATCGAACGTGTCTGGGAGATTAGGAATTCCGGACATCGTGAGGGATAGGTCTCGATTCGAAGTAGCTTGAAGTGAAGAGCTCGATATATGATATCGCCGGCTCTCTGGCATCGAAGGTGGAACAAAGCAGATTATATACATTCCGCTGACTCGGCAAGAACCCCCGCTTGAATGATGTACCCCGCAATAGCTAATTGCCCAATCTGGCGCCCATCAACAATCGCCTTTTTAGGACTCAAAATATCAAAACGGTTCACCAAAATCCAAGTGTGTGGTAGACATGGAACTAAAATGAGGATTTAGAAGTCACATAGGGTCAACTAAAAATTCATGATTGTCAGCTTGTATAAGCTAGTTGAAATCATGCCTCATGCATGATCGCCGAGCATGAATTCTCTATCAATAGCCTAGGATCCTCCAACTATACTGTAACGAACGTTACTTGAGCTCTCGGTGACCGATCTGAATTCGTGGTGTTGGACCCATAACTGTCGCCTCTATGCTCTACAGCCCAGTAAGTGAGAATGAGGACAAGGCTATACTCAGCCCTACCTAGGAAGTGCCTGGGCATTTCCGTTTTTGAGACCAGGCAGAATTTCTACGATGTGGTTGCGCTGCGGATTGTCTTTTTTGGTCCAGTATACTATAAGAATATATGTGGCTGACGAAATACTGAGCTTGGCATTCTCTTGGCCTCGTGTATAATACATGATGGTTGGCTGGTAGTCAGCACTACTGCACAGCAACCGCGGCGCACAATGATTCCCCTTTGGGCATCTTATGGGACCAGTGCTATAACTAGTCAAGAGGCTGACCAGTGCTTGGCATCGAAAGATGCAATGCATTCATCGAATACCTAGGTATACCGCTCGTGGCTTGGGGAGCTCCTTCAAATGCTGAGTGTGTATAAGAGAGCGAGTAAATCCATCTCTATCACAGTCCAAATAATTCGTCTCTAACATCATCAGTCTATTGCCCTTACTAATCTTCCCACTACGGAGCACTCTTACAACCATGCACTGCCTACTTCATATAGTAATGGCTGGAATTATCGGCGCGGTAGCTGGGTCTGCTCAGAGCTCAACGATTAAATGTGCCCATGGACTGCAAATGTTTGTTTCTCGTGGAACCGGGGAGGCTACGGAGCTCGGTGAAACAAAAGCTTTGGTTGATAATATCGCTAAGCAGATCGATGGATCCAAAATTCATCCGATACTGTATCCTGCGACTTTTGACGATCCCGTCTACATGTTGTCTGTAGCCAACGGCACCAAGCTTGTCAGGAAGACCATAACCAAGTACGCAAAGGCCTGCCCAGAGTCAAAGATGGCATGGTTCGGGTATTCTCAGGTAGAGACGTCTTATCATTCCCTGCGGAGTTGGATGCTGATATGCCACAAGGGTGCTCAAATAACCTCCAACAACTTTTGTGGAATGCCTTACGTTTGGGGCGCGGAACAAACAGAGAACTCAACCATTACCCCAGCCCAAGTACAAGAGATCTTTGCTCTGTCACAACCGTTGGCCAAGGAACTCACTAAGAATGGTCAGCTTGCAAAACATCTGTTCATTGTCGACGAGGCTAATAGCTGCTAGTCATTTCCGTTGTGCTTTTCGGCGATCCTTCGCAGAGAAACGACACTTCCTATATACATGGCAACTGGAATAACACCGGCAATGGCCTGTTCTATCGCCCAGACACTAGTGCCTGTGAGGCACTAGGTAGCCGCATTCGAGCTTACTGTGATGCCGGCGACCCATTCTGCGATTTGGGTCCATATTTCAATGGTACTGCTCACACGAAGTATATCCAGAACTATGGGGATGAGGTGGCTCAATTTGTTGTCGATAAATACAGAAATGGCGCCACCTCAGGTAAGAGAGCAAGTGCAACGTCCTCCGCCACTGCTTCGCCAACTCCCAACAATGGGGCCGTTAGATCTCGTTCGATGTCAGTGTTTCCATTAGCAGGGTTTCTTTTGTTTTACCTTTCTCTCTAGCTGAAAATATAAGTCTGCGGTACGACACTATATACCGAAGTCCAGGACGTTTCTTCTGAGCACAAGAAGAGCTGGTGATTGTTCTGTTGGTGCTGTCAAATTATGCTGTGTCAATTTTAGCATATCCGACATGAGATGCAAGCTACATTGTTTTCAACTATCTATAGCCTTCTAGCTTTGCGTCCATACTTTTCTAAATTTTTAGAATTTCTTGTGACCTATGCGAGTTCTCTCAAGTTCAATTTATAATGACGAGTCGAAAAGTAGGTAATTTTCGTCCACAGGTTGATTTGATACTTGCAAAAATCTCCTCTAGAATGTGGCCATAGAGATCTTTCTGTTTATATACTCCGTGCTCGCCGCGGAGATGAGGGGGACCTTTTCTTTTTTTTTTTAAAAAAAAAACAAAGATTAATGGCTAGAAACTGATATGATCCTATCTATCATTCCAACAAGTCATATTCAAAAGCTCATGTAGTATGCATATAAGAGCTACCATAAAGTAAAGTACAGGACGATCGCCAGGAAAGCAGTAAGCAGTACAGCCAAAATTTACATGTCGTCCAGGTCATCAGCGGCCTTCGAGCCACCTTTCTGCATATCGGACATCTCATGCTCTTGCCTGTGGTCCGGGCCAGCCCGCTCGCCAGCCGACATTGCAATCGCCTGGCGGCCAGTGTCGGAAGACTCGAGGAACTCCCGCAAGCGGCGCTTGCCTTCTACCAAAGCTTGCGCAGATGCAGCCTCCGTCATCTTCAGCATTGGGCCCCACAAGTTGAGTGTATAGGTGATATACGCTCCGATGGCGCAAACGAATAGCAGGAAGAAGTAGGCTGGATTGCGGAGAACTAAAGAATAAGTTAGCATAAATTCGAAGATTACTCATTAGAGAAAACTCACCAGCCCAAATCTCGTTCCAGCCCAGGGCCAGCAGCAGGCCATAGAAATACAAAGGAACTTGAGTCATACCGCCGATGGCACTCCGCTTAGCCTCCACGTAGACGCCATCCGCGGCCTTCTTGAACCGCACAGTGAGCTCTTGGCGTTTTGAGTCACTGAGGATTGTCATTTCCTCTTCAAGGCTCTTGCCTTCGTCTTCATCCACGCCTCCGATGGGTGCCAAATCCTCTTCATCCGCAGATGTCGCGGTGCTAGGGGTATGTCCAATCCATCGGTCAAGTGGGGGCGGTGCAGTAGTCTTCTCCAGACGGAATCGGGAAAGAAGAGGAATCACGGTCAAGGTAGACTCACGGGCACGAGTATAAATTCCCTCGATATCATCTGTTGGGCGCCAGATACGCGGCACACCGGCCTCGTCGTAGCGGAACTTGTCCTCGAAATTCTCACGAAGCTTGAGAAGGAGGTTGCCCTCGGTCATTTCCTCGTCGATCTTGGCACGAAGCACGCCCCATGACTTACGACGGAGACGCCACAGTCCAACATCAACCTCATCAAGGCTGGCATCGAAGCTGCTAGCACGATCCGTGAATCTGCGCTCGGCGTCCAGCACAGTATCTTCGAACAGATTCCAGATGCGGTCCCAGAAATCTTTCTCAGTGGGCTTCTCTCCGTTCTCGGGAGCGCCACCACCAGCTCTTCCGGAGCCCAGGGCGTTGAACTCAATGCCAATTGATTCGCCCAGCCGAGATTGCACCCACCGCTCTACACGGGTAGCCAAACGTCTCATTTCATCGCGGCGCAGTCGCGCACTGACTTCAGCCAACTCTTTTTGGTACAAGCCCAACTCTTGTTTATAGTTACTCCAGGAAGCGCCGTCAACCACGGTTGAACGTGCAACCTGCTCGAATTTTTCAATCGCAGCCTGGGCTTGCTTCGAAACAATCTCAGCAAAGTCGTAGCTATTGCCCTTCTTCTGACCATCCTTGACGGTGGCCGTGACGGAATCACTGAAATCGCGAATTCCGGACTTGTGGGCTGCTGAAAGCTGACCAAGGAACAGTGCCTTGAGGCGGGTATCAACCTTGCCCTGAAGCTCGGCACTCTTCCGTTGGTAAACACCTTTGTGGTATCTGCTGGCTTCCGTCTCAAAGCTCTTCAGGGACTTGGAGCGCGCACCGCGCATGGCCACACCCAATCCGCCGAGAACCTCGGGTGCACCAAGACGGACCGCCTCAGCTTGTTTGTCTTCAAACGCAACGATCACCTCATCGAATCCAATCATGACTTCGCGCAGAATCTCATCACAACGGAATTGTGCGAGCAACTCCTGTTGTGTGGGCAAATCCAAGTCCTTGTTATTGACAATTTGGTCCCAAATGCTTTCCGCGTAATGGGAGAAGCCGTCAGCTGGGATGCGACGGTGGTATTCTGGCAGGAAGACACCACCCTCGGAGAACTCGCCCCTGAGCGCGACCTTGTTAGAGTCCCGGTGACCTTCTCGGAAACGTAGACCAAGCTTCTTCGTCTCTGCCACAAATTGTTCAGGCTGGTAACCCTTGTGGGGAAGTCCATAGAATTGGAAATCGAAGTAGTCGTGGATTGATGCCTTCTCGAAGCCAGCAGGCTTTGATATTGTGTCCCAGAGACGGCCGAGGTCTTCCAATAATGTCTTCTGCAGGTTCTTAAGTGGTGTTGTGCCGATGAAATCACGGATGACGAAGAATAACAGTGAACGGTGAGTAGTACTGCAGAGATATTAGCACATATGATATAAGAGACAAAACAAAGAGGAAGACATACTGCTTATCCTTCAAGAACAGCTGCAAGTTGACCTCGAACACGGTCTTCAACAATCCCATGTTGGCTCCCTGGTACAATCCCACCTGGTGCTCCCAGATGTTGACGATAAGGACCTCACTTGTCGCAAGTGCAAACAGCGCACTCTTGCGCTCAAAATCTTGATCCTCGCCTCTCTCGCGGCCATCGGTTCCCTCAACATCCATGACCAAAATGTTATCTGCCATGCGCTCGGCTGCGCCAATTTCGCCCTGCTTCTTGTTCTTCGACAGCCAGATGCCCTTGGTCGTTTGTCGTCTTTCCTGGTCGGACATCACGGAGAATTCGGTTCCAAAAAGGTTGTTGAGCAGTGTTGACTTTCCGGTGGACTGCGAACCGAACACAGAGATGAGATGGTAGTTAAAACCAGCCGGCGTAACATTCTCAAGGGACAAATACTTGGACAAGTTAGGACTATAATGAAGCGGTTAGAATTAGAGACCGCAAAAGAGACAGTATCCGGGCGCGCTAGGGATCATCTGTGTAAAGGTTGGTCATACTTGAACTCCTTATCCCCATCAATTACCTGCACGCCATGCTTGTAGGAGGCGGCGTCGCCTTCGGCGCCAACCGAAGCAAAGTGACCATTTGACATGATGGATGGCGCAGTTGGACTCCTTTCCAACCCCGAGGGGCGTCGTTCGGTCATATTGATCTCAGTGCTCTGTATGTGGGGGGAGGTGTTGTGGCGACAGGGAGTTGAAAGAGCAAAGATGGGACTGAGGGCTGAGGACTAAGAGACCATGCAAAAAGTAGTTAAAAAGGAAGCTAGGGACCAATCACAGGGAAAATTGGAATAAACAGGGATCACACGGTCGTTTCACACGAGTTCAATGTCATGGAGATGATCCCGAGGTCAGTGTCCTCCAAACATTACATAACCCCCTATTGGGCCCGCAACGTCACACCTACTCCGTAGACCACACAAGACTTCATCTTTATCGCTTCTTTTCATCCAGAGCGCAAGATTTAAGATACTATTCAGTCATTTTTATTGCGTCTAGCTTGTGCCAGTACATCTTCTATAGGTGATGCGATCTGACGGTAGGAACAGCATCAGCCCTTGAAAAAGAGGCAGAAGAGGCGAAAGTGGCGGATCATTCTGGGCATAGAAAATTCCTTTGAGTCAATTAAGATATGTCCATAATGCAGTATCAAGTTGATAAGAATAAAGATAATATAAAGAAGAGGTGGAGGGCTGAGATACAGGTGCCCGCCGAATTATATTTCGCTTTCTACCGTACAGATGGGAGATTCGTTATAGATTATCATAATATACAGGTTTCCAATAAACACCAAAAGGAAATATATGTGATTCAAGGCGGAGGCACTCCTGGAGGCCGAATATCTGACGGTGGCACTCCATCGAACCAGTTCAGATCCCAGCCCTGGTCGAGTCCAAGGTCAACGTTGGGATTCGGCCACATATATTGACCAAAATCATCAAATAGTCCACTGAAGGCGTTGAGTTCCATACCGATGTACGGATTCGCGGGTGCATCACTCTGGGGTACCTCACTTCTTGGAAGCCACGGGTTGTCCGGGTATCCAGGCCCCATGCTTGGTGTGAGGGAACTATGGTTCATGGAATCTGCACTTGCAGATGAACCTTCCGGATCAGACATTGGCGGTGTATAGAGTTGGGTAGGACATTGTCCTGTCAAAGAAGCTTCCGTTCCAGGCGTATCTGTCACAGTGGATGCTTGATCTTTACTTTTGGTAGCACCCCTGGAGAACTTGGTGCCTGCGCCTACTGTGATAGTACCGAAGTATGGCACGGTGATCTTGCAGCCTGAAAAGTTGTGTCTGTCCTTTTTGAAGTTTTTAGTGTCAAAAATGGCGCCTAAAATGTTTGCTGACTCGCCAGCAACTGAGCCTCCTAGCTCTGTTGCCGCCCGACGAAGAGTCTCGACGAGATCTTTGACCAATGCCCAGTCTTCCTCATCTTTTTCCATGCTGTGATCAGGGGTCTCGTCGGAATAGCCTTCTAGGTGGATGATCAGAAGCAGACCTAGCGTGAAAGCCAAAAAGTCCAGCATTTTGCCTAAGTAAGGTTTTGTGGTGGACCGAAGAACTTTGTAGAGGACTAATCCCTCTCTCGCGGCCTCAAGCGCGATGCAGTGACTGGGATAAAATTGAGGGTCGATTGGAGACTTCAACATCAAAGGAAGATGGAGAAGTGCCCGCAGTAGCTTGAGCATAAATTGCAAGGGGACTCGCTCGATGTAATGCTCCCACTTCTCATTCGGAAAAGGTTCTGCAGCCCTGAAATGACTTGGCATTGATTTCCAAGAATCTTGCAGCTCTTGGTCCAAGTTCATTGTTGCTGCGAGGGTCATTTTGGATGGATCTTGGTTACGATCCACCATATGCCCCGTTGTAATGCCAATGCGCAGAAGGTATCTCTCCGGAGCCGATATATCTGATTTGAGGCGTTGTTTTATTTGTGGCATAAAAAATGCCTCCGCTATTCCATAGGGCAGACCCAGAATCAGACTTAATGATCGATCCGAGGTGGCGAGTGAGCACCAAATTTTTAGGCGTCGATCAAAGAGTGTATCTCCCGGCCTTTTCGTCTTAGTTGAGAGGTGCATTCCAGCTAGATGGGCAAACTCAATCGCTCGACGATTTACCAGCCAGCCTTTTCTGAGCCGGCCTTCGGTTAGGTGAATCTTGGAAAGCAGCATCTGTGATTCTATGCCAGGCAAGGTAGCCGCAAACTCATCGTCGCGCACAATCAAATGGTCTACCACATCGACACATTGATTGTGGAACCTACCCGGTTCAAATGGCACACTCAACGTGCGCCAATCGAATTCGGGTGGTGCATGGACTGCACTAATGCATAAACACATCAACGCTTTTGCGACTTCGGCAGGGGCCACCAATTCATCGCAACAACGATCAGTGATATTAATTTTGTTTTCACGTCGATCAAACAGCTCCGGAAAGTGATCCTGCCACACAAACCAATGAAATGATGCATTGATGATCTTGTTCATGTCTTCTCTGGGAGGAAGGAGAGATAAGAGCTCTGCTCGAACGGCTTGTGCTTTTGGCGACATATCCTTGATGCCGGTAAATTTATCATTGCTTGATGAGTCCTCTTGACGACTGACGAGATAGTTGTCGAAAAGTTGTAGAACGGGTGCATCTCGAATCTGGTCACTGGATGGGCCTAGTTCGTCTGGTTCAGTCGCCAGTGGCTTTGAGTGGGCTGTTATACATTGCGCCTGTTGAGTTGCATCATGGCGCTCACAAGGTGGGGTAATTGTGCTCTGTCGGTCTAATCGTTTAGTCAAACCCTCTACAATATTCTCCAACTGAGTCACTCGCTCTCGGAGACTGTATGGCTGTTCCGCTTGCTGGGAACCTGATCCCGATAGCGGAGGGGTGATGATAGTATGCTCTTGGTCGACACATTGCATTCCTCTGGATCGACATTCATTACAAATGCTCGGGCGATCAGGGTGGAATGTGCATCGAATCTTACGTCGCCGACCTATAATAGCTTTGTGTTAGTATAATTGAATATAATAGCTCTTTTCCATACATACACTCTGTACAGCTCTTGGTGCCTTTTCTCATTCTCTTCCGCGCCGGTCCTTGGAGGTCTGCCCAGGAATCCATGTTGACCACAATCACAAAAAAGATGAACGTATAAGAGCATGTGTGTCGTATTGGTAAACCGAGGAGCTAATCAGATAAGAGAAATCGGTTTGTATGCAGTTAGTGGAGCATCATCGTACAGTGGCGAGAGATGGTCTTCAGATGAAATGACAAGCTGACGCCTCGAGAAAAGGAAAATTTGAAATAGAGGACCAGCTCAACTTAATCCCACGTAATCATACAAATAAAGCTTAGAAGAATCAACGGTAAAGGAAGTCCATCGACCGTTGCCTGTCACTCTCATACTTGCTCGTCCGTCAAGTTCGGCCGAAGGGAGGCGGTCAAATTTTCGCCCGGGCCAATCAGGAGCTGCCAAATTTGTATGCGGGAGATCTAGAACTCCGGTTGATATACACCGTACAAATATAGCAATTTCTACACAAGGCTGTTGAATATAGCAGAGATAATTTTACATCAGGAACTGCTTGCTCTGTTCTTTACCCCGTGCCCAAAGATTATGCACCTAGCAGCGTACATAAGTTGAAATTCAGTAAACTTGAATTGCGATTATGTATGAATTTTGAGGACTTGAGTTGAATACATTTTCACGGGAGTGGAGAAAAAGAAGATCTGAACTAGTACATGGACACGATTCAAAAGATTCGAGCGAAAACTCCGGATTGCCCCCGGATCCCTCGTGCTGATCAATGATTCCCGCGCTTTAAGATATAAGGTGCCAAACAAACAAGATGGAAGGAAAGGGTTTCATAATACAAGGGTCAAGCAGACTGCATGACTATAGGAAGTGGGCGAAGCGTTTACTCCTCAACGACACGGGTGATCAGACCAGTGGCGACGGTACGGCCACCCTCACGGATGTTGAAGCGCTGGCCGGGCTCGGCAGCGACGGGGTGGTGGGTCTTCAAGATCATCTCGACATTGTCACCGGGCATGACGCGCTTGGACAGATCACCGTCAGGGAAGCTGAGATCGCCGGCCTCATCTAGATTATAGTTAGTATCCGTATATCAAGATGACATCAGATCGAAAGTTATGGAGTTGAACTTACCGGCAGTGCGGATGTAGACCTGGGGGCGGTAGTTGGCGCCGAAGCCAGTACGGCGACCACCCTCCGCCTCGGTCAGGACGTACATGGAGACAAGGAACTTGTTGTTGGCCTTGGTGCTGTTGGGGGCAGCGACGACCATACCGCGGCGGATGTCCTCACGCTTGACACCACGGAGCAGGAGACCGGAGTTATCACCAGCGCGGGATTCGTCGCAGGACTTCTTGAAGGTCTCGATATCGGTAACCTTGGTCTTGATGGGGTTACCAGTGTCGGTGGCACCGACAATCTCAACCTCGGTATCCTTCTTTAGGAGACCACGCTCGACACGACCAGAGACAACGGTACCACGGCCGGGGATGGAGAAGACTTCCTCGACGGACATGAGGAAGGGCTTGTCCATGTCACGCTCGGGAGTGGGGATCCAAGTATCGACAGCGGTCATGAGCTTGTCGATCTGCTGGGTACCAATATCATCGCGGCGGCCCTCAAGAGCACAGAGGGCAGATCCGAAGATGATTGGAGTCTCCTCACCCTCGAAGCCGTAGGAGGAAAGCAGCTCACGCATCTCAAGCTCGACGAGCTCAAGCATCTCAGGGTCCTCGACGGCGTCGACCTTGTTAACGAAGACAACAATCTTCTGGACACCAACCTGACGGGCAAGCAGCAAGTGCTCACGGGTCTGGGGCCTGTTGTGCAATTTTTCGTTAGCATACTCTCAATCAGGTATTTAGGAGTGAACCCCGTACATCTGACCATCGGAAGCAGCGACAACGACAATAGCACCGTCCATGTTGGCAGCACCAGTAATCATGTTCTTAATGTAATCGGCGTGACCAGGGCAGTCGACGTGGGCGTAGTGACGGTCCTCAGTCGCGAACTCAATGTGGGCGGTCGAGATGGTGATACCACGCTTGCGCTCCTCGGGAGCCTTATCAATGGCGGCATAATCGAGGAAGTTGGCAAGACCCTTAGAGGCCTGGTGCTTAGTGATAGCGGCGGTCAAAGTGGTCTATGGCGGATATGTTAGATTCGCTGGTAGTCTGCCGGAAGAAGTCGCGAGTAGCATACCTTGCCGTGATCGACGTGACCAATGGTACCTGGAAACTAGGTTTAACACTGAAGTTTGTTATGCGGGATATGATGAGCCATACCAATGTTAACATGGGGCTTGTTACGCTCGAAAGCAGTGGCCAAACCACGGCCGGCGACCTTGTTGCTGAAGACATGGTGGACGGGGTTAACGGCAGTAGGACGCAGCAGGGAGGACCGGCTGGTGCGCGCCAAAAGGTTCAATGAACGGGAGATGCTCGACATCTTGCCTCGGTTGAAACAGAAACGATGAAACAAGAAGAAAAAAAGAAAGATGATACAGATAGAATCAGGATGGAGGAAGAAGCCCAGATCAACATCAAATTTTAGGGGAGTGTTAGTCAGCCGGTTCGACCAATCATGGGTCTTCAATTGCGGAGGTCCAAAGAATATGGTCTAACATTACCCGTAGACATCCATCACTGTTGCTTTTAGAAATATCAATTTAAAGGGTATATGATGGGAATTGAAAGATTGGAAGAGATTGTTCACTCAACCTGTGGACAAGCCCAGCAGTTCAATGCACCGGACAAATTGCCGAGCATTGATCTTGTTTCATATTATACATTCGGTCAAGTGTTATACAACATCTGATATACACTGAGCGCCCTACTCACTGCCTTACTTCTCGCTCTTGGCCTGTTCCTCTCCCTGAACCTTATCCTTCCCTTCCATCTTCACCTTCCGCGCGGTAATCTTCAACTGCTTTCCCAGCTCTCCTTCCATTTCGCTAGTTTGGCGGGCGCCCGCAGCCTTGATGGTGTCGAGCACTCCCTGTACAGTTTGCTTGATCTCCTCCACTGTTGGGGCACGCTTGCGCTTTTTCGTAGTCAAGGTGATTTCCACCTTGCAATCTTTCTCCAAGAATTTCGTAAGTTGTTTCTTGCGGTGAGAGAAGTCGTGCGCGTCAATCGCCCAGTTTATCTCCATTTGCTTGATTATAGTGCGGTTCTGACGGGCCAAGATTGTTCTAGCCTTCTCCTTTTCCAAATATGTCCTCCTGTGAATAATTTTGCAGAGTGGTAGCGAGTCGTCGTCCTCTTCTTTCACCTGCATAAGGAAGTACTCGGCATGGTCGAATGATTCAAGAACATCCTCTAGTCTTGTTGGAGGATCCAGAAGATTTTCTTCGTTCACCAGTTGGACGAACTTGGACTTGATAGCGGCGTTCCTCAGTTGTTCGACGGGCGGGCGGTACTCTCTTAGTTCTAAGCAATGCGATTGTTGAAAGAATCGGAACTGGACACCATTTCGAAGCGGTTTGAATGGAAGAACGCCAACTCTGGAGGTGCGGAGAGGAGAGAAAAAGATCTGGCGGAGAACTTGGGCGGATGACAAGGGGCCCCGTGTGGTATTCATGTTTCCGCTTTAGGCAAATATACAAAAGCAGAAAATTGGTGATCAATCCAAGGCGAGAGATGCAGGATGAAAGCAGATGAGATAGCTATGGCAGTGAAATATGGGGAAGTGAATCGCAATGCAAATATAGCAAACACTTAGTAATCTACCCTATTGCGGGCTCAAGAGCTCCTTCAGCCATGGAACTGGATAGATGCTGTAGAGATTGTTTTTTCGAATTTTGGTTGTTATGGAAGGCTTATATACAGCGAGATATATCAAATAAGTATCATGGAACAAAATATCTCTCTATATTGATCCTGGATATGTGTATTTATAAGGTATCCTTGATTCCATACAAAAAGTACAGTACGAAAAGTACACGCATGCAGAACGCCACATCTGCGCCACAACCCTGAAACCCTTAATCTCCTTTCTCTTCTGACAATTTTCCCTTTTTTGACACTCTATCCATTTTCTTTTTTGGACTGGTTCGGTGTTTTGGAGGCTCAATGGTTGCTTGCTTGCTTAAATCTTCTTATCAATCCATACGGTCATTCATTCCTGCGCCAGTGACTGATTACGCCACCTGTCACTGTACCGGCTTATAATTCGACCATTGCTCGCATGTCGACTGGAGTCGACAATCAGCCCCATAACAGCAAACCTGACGATCTAGATTCGGTCGCTCGCCATCGCTCCTTTTCCCGCAGCAACGGTTCCGTTCCTTTGCAGTCAATCGACCCCGGTCAAATTGACAAACAACCCGCCAATATGGCACAAACCCAAAGAACGCGGTATTTGAAGACGGGCGCAATCATTGCCTTCGTCTTCATGGTTTTGGTCTGGCTCTCCCCGTCTAAGTCCACTGTTTCTAGTTTCACCCACGGTATGTGTTCGTTTGCGCGCGATAGCACTTTTGTGAAACTAATGTTTGGCAGAACAACCCCCTACAAGCAATGGCGCCGCGACTTCGCAAAAGTGCACCAAGCCATTCGATTCATCCAAGCCTCTTATCCAGTATGCCCTGATGATCGATGCTGGAAGCACCGGGTCTCGCATTCACGTCTACCGATTCAACAACTGCGGCTCCACCCCCGAACTCGAGAATGAGGTCTTTGAACAAACCAAGCCCAAGCCGGAGGGGTCCGGCCTCAGCTCTTTCGGGGATGATGCTGAAGGCGCCGCCAAGAGTCTTGACCCTCTCATGGAGGTTGCCCTAAAGTCGGTTCCCGAGGAGTACCGGTCATGCTCCCCCATTGCTGTTAAGGCCACCGCTGGACTTCGTGTTCTGGGCAATGAAAAGAGCATTAAGATTTTACAGGCTGTCAGGCACCGTTTGGAAACCTCCTACCCCTTCCCAGTGGTGTCTGAAGAGAAGGGCGGTGTCCAGATCATGGACGGATCGGACGAAGGTGTCTACGCTTGGATCACCACCAACTACCTGCTGGGCAAGATCGGTGGCCCTGATGAGACCCCCACCGCTGCTGTCTTTGACCTGGGTGGTGGCTCTACCCAGATCGTCTTCCAGCCTACCTTCGAGAAGAGCAAGGCCGGTGGTATGCCCGAGCACCTCGCCGCCGGTGACCACAAGTACGAACTGAAGTTCGGTGGGCGCGAGTTCGAGCTTTACCAGCACTCTCACCTTGGCTACGGACTAATGGCTGCCCGTGAAGCCATGAACGCTGTGGTCCTTGAGAACATGCTTGCCCACAGCCCCGAGGACCTCGCCTGGCTGAAGCAACCCATCCCCAACCCTTGTATTGGCCCTGGAATGAAGAAGGAAGTCACCGTCAAGTTCCCCGCTAATCACCCTCTTGGACCCAGCGTCAAGGTATGGATGGCCGGTCCTGAGGACAAGTCCATGGCTGCCCAATGCCGTGGCATTGCCGAGAAGATCCTGAAGAAGAGCGGTGATTGCAAGCTCGCACCCTGCTCCTTCAACGGTGTGCACCAGCCTTCCCTCGCGAAGACCTTTGCTCGGGAGGATGTGTACATATTTTCCTACTTCTTCGACCGCACCGCCCCCCTTGGCATGCCAGAGTCTTTCACTTTGGAGGAGCTTCACCAGCTGACATCTGCGGTCTGCGCCGGTGAGAGCCAATGGAAGATCTTCGAGGGTGTTGGGAACGCGCTGGAAGAACTTCGTGGCCGTCCCGACCATTGTATGGACCTCAGTTTCATGATGGCTCTTCTGCACACCGGTTACGAGTTGCCCCTGTCCCGCGAAGTCAAGATCGCCAAGAAGATCAAGAACAATGAGCTGGGCTGGTGCCTAGGTGCTAGGTTAGTCTACCTCCACCCCCAAAAAATTCTTTATCTCTTCTTGTTTTATACTAACAATTCTTCAGCTTGCCCCTCCTGAGCCAGGAATCTGGCTGGACTTGCCGCATCAAGGAAGTGTCGTAAACGAGACATTGAAGTAGAACACTTATTCTTTTTAATAATGACATTCGGCCACAATCTATGATGGGTTCGTGCATATAGAGATCCGCGATATGTCGCTTATTTTTCTTGTTTTTTTCTGTCTTTTATTTAGACTTCATTTTTGGCGGCTTGCATAGGAAATGTACGAATGTTTCATGTTCACACAATTGATTTTTCCCCAATTTTACGAGAGGAAGAAAAAGCCCAGCGAATAGACCCCAGAATATAAGACGCTAATTATGATAACATGGGGCCGCAATATGCAAGTAATGTTAAGCTAGTAAATTCAACTTTGGATCAAGAAAAATCACTCGATCAAAGGTCATGGTTGCAAAATGTGGAATCAGACAACAGGCTACTCCGCCATCTCTTGAATAGAGGGCTTATCAGCCTCCGCCTTTTTACCCTTCCTACCCATAAGCTTTCCAATGATATCAGAGTCATCCTCTGCAGAACCATTAGTCTCTTCGGTATCGCTCTCATCATCACTAGAAGAATCGCCATCGCGCTTCTCTTCTAAAACCCCGAGTCCGAGATCCTATCCAGAATAACCATTAGCAAACCATCGATTTCAACATCTCATAGTCAAACATACCATCTCGATATAACGCCCCTCATTACCCTCCGCGTTATCAAGTATCAGATCACTAGCTCTCCCGGCCTCTATTTCTTTCTGCAAGTCCTCATTGGCGCTCTTCATTTGCGGCAAGAAAGCATTGAGCCTTGACAAGATCCCTGAGTCGCCTTTCATTCGACATATGCGCGGCTTAGGGCGCCCGCCGATATGTGGTAGAGACGAGTCGGTTTTTGTTTGTGCGGTTGAATCGCCAGCTCCATTCAGCTCCCTGTCTGAGTGCTCTTCGTCTCCATTTTCGCTTTCGCTGTCATCCTCGGATGACGAGCCGGAGGAGGACGTTGGGTCGGAATCGGAGTCTTGGATGGAGGAGTCGCGCTTGTGAGAAGCGGTGCGGTCTGTGAGGTTGATTGTTTGAGGGTTGGATTCGCTGGTGACTGCGTCCGCTTTTGTTGTTGGTGGAGCCATAATTTGGTTCGTTTTGGGGTCTTGATTTGCTGAGTTCGCAGAGATTTCTAGATTAATACAATGCGCACAGGGAATCTTTGGGCCGATCAAGGAGTGGTGGAAAGAGATTTGCGTTTATTGTGAGAGGAAGTGGCCTCTCCGTGTCTTTAATATGGAAATTTCTGTCTGAGGTGTGGAAGAAGTCGAAACAACTTTTGAGATTGCAACTTTTTTTTGAGTGGAGAAACCGATAACAGATAAGAATTATCTTATCGGTCACTCCAGATTCAACTTTAAAAGATTCGATCTTGTAGATGTCCACGAATGTTCCCATCTTTACAAATGCAGGTAACAGGGGAAATGCGTTTCAGGCAGTGTATCTCGTTCCTTTAATCGTACATGGTATTATCTGACAATGTTTTCAATGGGCAAGCTGTCAGAATATATCTCATTGATCCATCGTGGCGTGCTCCATGTCATCAGCTCCTGTTCCTTCTGCGACTGCGACTGCGACGACGGCTTGGACTTCTGCGTCGACTTCGGCTTCTGCGCCGGCTAGGGGTTCTGCGACGACTGCGGCTTCTTCGTAGACTAGGACTTCTTCGGCGAGTTGGACTGGGCCGGCGAGGTCGGCGCTCATCGGTGTCCTTTACTTTTACTTTTTCTTTTTCCTTCTCCTTCTCGGTGCTGAATCCGGGGCTTTCTTCTGTTATCTGCCCTGGTTCTTTATCTTTGTCGTTATCGTCGTCGTTGTCGTCAGCCTTATCGTTGTCCCGTTCAAAGACAGGCATATAACGGTCAATGTCGGTTCCCCTTGTTCGTTGATCTCGCTCCCGATCTCGCTCTGGGGATCGTACCCGGCGGCGCGGTGACTTGCTCCGGTTGCTAGTTGATGGAACGTAGCGATCAATATCTAGAGTAGGTGAGGGTGAGCGACGCCTAGAACGTGAACGAGGGCGATCACGATCACGACCCCGAGCGCGGGAGCGCGAGCGACTCCGTGAGCGTCGACTTCGGGATGTTCGGCGCACTGGTGATCGAGAAGCCCGAGCGCGTTGAGGACGGTAGTTGTCGTGTTCTCGGTCTCGGATCCGGCTGCGGTCACGGCGACGGTCATTATCCCGGTCTTTTGACCGCGATCGATCGCGGATTCTGTCTCGGCCAGCACTACGGTCGCGGTCTCGCAGTCGGCCTGCAGATCGACTGCGACTGCGACGACTTGGTCTGTAGCTTCGATCACCCCCTCGCTCATCTCGGAAATCGCGGTAGCCACGGCGTGCATCCATATCACGATCCCGGGACCTCACAGACTCCCTAGAACGATCCCGGCGACGGTCTTTGTCAAGGATGGATGTGCGCCGGCGCCGTGAGCGACTATGGCTTCGGTCCCGTGTCAGGCGTCGGGACCGATCACCTCGGTCTGCAATTGAGCCGCGCCTTGCTTCGGAGTTTCTGGATGGGCTGGCCGCCCGTGTGGAGTTGTTAGAGTACTTTGAATCAATGAGGCTCTTGGGTGGTCCCAATGCCGAGGGCTTCAGCCCATTTTCAATAGCTTCGGCCTCTTCGAAGTCGAACTCGGGCTTCTGTCGAGCTTTCGCTGCAAGTTCTTCGCCCTCTTTCAAGAGCATTTGCAAGGCAGCCTCCTCGAGTGATTTCTCATCCACCGGTATAATTGGAGTGGGTGTCGGATCATTGGACTTCTCGGGCCGTGAGTCTCGGGGTCTAGGAGATAAGTCACGATCCGAGCGATAGGCCGGAGAACGGTCGCGGAAACGGTCTCGAGTTCGACTGCGGTCACGATCCCAGCCCCGATAGCGATCCCGATCCTCTCGCCTTCGTCTCTCGTATCTTTCGTCTCGCTCTCTTTCTCGCTGCTCATCAAGGGCTTTCTGCTCTTCACGTTGGCGCTCACGTTCAGCTCGCCTCTGTTCGTCGATTTCTTTTCTTCTGGCTCGGTCCTCTTCGTCTTTTTGGCGTTCTAATTCGCGCTTTTTTCGGCGTTCTTCGTCCTTGATCCGCTGTCTTTCGTCGTCTATTTCCTTTTGTTTGCGCTCCTCTTCGCGCCACACTTTCTCCCGCTCCTCCCGTTGAGCCTTGACGTAGACTTCGTAGTCTGCATCTGTCTTGCTTCCTAGCTCAGATTCACGAGCGGCAACTTCCTCGCCGACTTCATCACGTCTGATGTCACGAACGGAATTAAGAATGAACTCCAGGTGTTTGGATGCTAGTTGGTCGATAGATTCCTCCACGCTTTTGTAAACATCACCACGGTCAACAGCACCCTCAATCAGTGTCGCTGCTTTTCCCCTTTCACGGGAGAGTAGTGCCGGCTCGCGGTCGATTTCTGATTCAGCAAGTGCGATCAACTTGTCGGTAAAATCGGTTCTGGGTTGCTATTGGGATAGGGTTAGCATTGAAGAGAAGAAGGATGCATGTGCAATGCATTTGGATTCATGTTACCCCATCATTGAAGTCGGCCCATATTTGTTTGCGAACGCTGTCAAAGCCACCTTTCTTTTTGAACGAATGTAGGAGTTTATCAATGACCGCATGCTGCGCGGCAGACAAGGGAAGGTCATCGGTCTTGAACTTCTTGTGCTTTATGCTTTCAATGTCAATAGGCCGTTTTGCCGTAGATATGACATCCTCCATGCCCTGTGAGGTTTCCATTGCTTCATTAGAAGCCATCGTTACTCGACTTGGAAAAAGCCCTGGAGAGATGGAGAGATTCAGTCGCGCGAACGATAAGCGATAACAAGGAGAATGGAAGAATGGTTGTTCCGTGATTTGGAACTGCGGCCCGCTGATTTGCTTCAACCTCGTCTCTCCTGTGCTATTGCGACGGCAACATCCCAACTCCGCCTCCATTAACTCCGGTCGCTGTGGTGTTGAAATACCCAAACAAAACACTACCTCTTTGAACTTTTTTCGGATACTTTCCGACCCTCAAATTGCAACTACAACCCCGCAACCGACCGCGATCATGGTTCACAAGGTGCTTTTCTGGAGCGGCTTCGGTATGTGATATTTCCCTCTACGACTTTCAATGGTCTGCAATACTGCTCGGCTCGGCTGCAATTGTGTTGGATTTGCCATTGTTGATATTGGAACTAATCGCATCGACTCCCACAGGCATTGCCGTCCGTTTCTGGCAACTCGGTATCGAGATGCGTCCCATCCTTGCTAAGGAATCCCTCTGGGTCTACCCTCTTTTCGCCGGTGTTGGCGGAAGCTTCGGCTACTGGCTCCAGGGTGTTGAGAGCAGACAATTGAAGATGCTTGCACAGCGCCGCGAGGCTATCCTCGAGAAGCGCCGGCGGCGGGATCAGCGGGAGGAGAAGCCCGAGGGTGGTGTTCTGGCCGCTGCATCATAAAGCAGATATCTGTGATGATGGATAGGGTCATTGTGTCTATGCGTTTTTCTATTTGTACCAAAATTCAACCGGTTTGATATCAGCATTTGGGTCTTAGCATCTCCTGGTCATTTTCTGCCACGGATGCATAGGCATTATGTCCTCAGTTTATTCTTCAAAATTTTACTAGGAATACCGCCTTCAAATTATTTATCTTCAATTTCACGGGGTAGAAACCCGGGGTACACTGCACAATAATAGAACGTTCCCACCTGGGCAGCCCTGGAGGCCTGATCTGGATTATTAGTCATCCAGGAGCTGGCGCCTGGCGGGCAGGTTCTCCGGGGTCGTGTACATCATCAACTCCGCCGTAGAGACAAACTACTTGTACTGCGCTCGTCATTCATTTGTGATTTCTATTTGTTCTCTCTGTGACTTAGTTGAACTTTCCGGCCTTTCTCGGGTCTTTTTTCTTTCTTCTCGCGATGCTTATCGTCGTTTGTCTTTTGAGGTAGAGGTCCATGCCGAGACCCTGTGGCATAGATGGATAACCGCGGCTCCTTCTTCTTTTTCCTGCTGGTTTTCTACCTCCTTCTTAGCTCTCAGTCGCGCCCGCCGCTACTTGATGAAGATCGGCAACATCAGCGCGAGCTTGACCGTGAGCGACATGCGCTTCGGCTGATGAATGGGTCGAAATATGGCGACTTCGACCCACCTGCCAATAAATGGCTACCTTTTTCAGGGTTAAGAGGGAATGACAGCTATGCTTGGAATCTTCTCCCGCAGGTCCAAACCCGCGCTCGCCACCAGTTGCAATCAGCTGTGTCAAATGCTGGACTAGAACCTCCAAATGGTCTAAAAGACCCCACGGTATCACCCACCTTGAACTTGACAAAGCTTGTGCTTCCAGTATATCGCAACGCAACAGGGAAGCTTCGTGGCGATTGGGTTCGACAGAGCGATGGTGCGGATCGGCGCGAGCCCCTCAATACAACTGCTATCGCCGAGGAGCACGAATATTTCACTCATGAATTCAGCCACAATATTACTGGCAATGGAGGTACCTTCTACTTTGATCTGGAAGGAGGATCCGGCGAAGAACTTCAGATGGGTAATGGACTTGTGAGGGAAATGCGAGCAAGCTTAACGGTTGAGAGTGAGGACTTCTGGGGAAGCACCTGGTACCTTCCTTTGCTGGGTGTGCACTTCCCGGAGACTGGAAGCATCGTTCTAAGTACATCGAGCGAGAAGTATGGTGGAATTTTCGCGCTGCCCCACCTGATGCTTTCTTCCGATACTTATGAACTATCCCATCAGCTTCTTGTGCAGTCGCTGTCAGATGCCATCTCGGAAAAACAGAATCGACCTTCAACCCTACTCCCTTGGTCCTCTTTGGCAGGCACATCACAGGTCGAATTTCCCTCCCCAAACTGTGAACATATAGTCTACCTCCAACAGCATCCTGTCATGGTGGGAGATGCCCCAGCTGACAGGTTACTTTTGGAGCGTATGGAGCAAGAACTCAGATATCCGACGGGAGCACCGATCCCTAGTCCTCCTCTTATGGTGATGTCTGCCGTTGTCTTCTCCCCAGACTGCGGGTATATACTTGAGACGAAGGGGACTCCTGATTTCCCGCCTTCTGATTCGCTATACTTGACTGGACCGAAGCAAGAAGAATACGGAAAATATGCATCGCGTCTCATTTTGGTCGTTTCCGGTGTGTTTGTCGCACAGATCATGCTGCTTTTGCGCCAAATCAAGGAGGCTTCCACTCCTTCGACACGGAGCCGAATCAGCTTCTATACTATCGCATTAATGGCGCTCGGCGATGCATTTGTTTTAGCTTTCATGGTTATGGAACTTTATGCTTCAGTTTCCTTTTTGGTCTTGACCACTGCATCATTCTTGGCATTCCTTTCAGTGAGCTACATTGGAATGAAGTTCATGATGGATATTTGGGCAGTGCAGGAACCGGAGAGACGAGAGGAAGATCGTCCCTCCAACCCCCCAGCTCCAACTACGCGCCCAGGAACTTTACCCTTGCCTGTCACTGCCCCAACAGTGCAAGACTCGGGGGCCACCCCAATCATTTTGCCACCCGACCAGGATGCTCCCGCTGATGAGTTGGATTCGCCGCCGCTGCTAGCCACACGGACTACACCTCCAACTCCAAGACAAATACGCAGCGATGTGGGCGCAATGTACGCGCGCTTCTATCTTGCATTGTTTGGGTTGTTCTTTCTCTCGGTTTGGGCTTCTCTCTTACCGAGACGTCTCGGCTCGATATACACACGTTTCTTGGCATCAATCTATCTATCCTTCTGGGTGCCCCAGATCTACCGCAACGTGATACGAAACTGCCGCAAAGCTCTTCGATGGGACTTCGTTGTCGGCCAGAGCGTTCTCCGACTTTTCCCGTTCCTCTACTTCCTCACAGCTCGCGGAAATGTACTTTTCATCCGACCAGATTACACAACTGCATTTGTCATGACTGGATGGGTATGGCTTCAAGCCTGGATGTTAGCCAGCCAGGACATTCTTGGCCCGCGCTTTTTCGTGCCCCGTGGTTGGGCACCTCCTGCATATGATTATCATCCCACATTACGAGACTTATCCGGAACGGACGAGGATCTCGAGGCTGGCGGCGGCGATCTGTCGATTGCATCCCTGCGGGCCGATGAGCGAGATCTGGTCAGTGACGCTAAGGACGATGACAAGGAACGAAAAGACCGCAAGAAGGCCATGTTTGACTGTGTCATCTGCATGCAAGATATTGAGGTGCCTGTCCTCCCCGCACCTTCCGCCTCTGGTGGAAGTAGCGTAACCGACGGGGCATCTAGCATATTGAGTCGCCGGTTGTACATGGTTACACCTTGCCATCATATATTCCACACTGCCTGTTTGGAAAGCTGGATGAGACTTCGACTCCAGTGTCCGATATGCCGTGAATCCATTCCCCCTGTATAGTCTGTTACATTATTCTTCACGAAGTTTATTATCGTGTCCATAGGTCTCCCGCTTTCCCGCTGAAAATTGTTTTTGATATAGCTTCGAGTAGATATCACCATGGACATATGAGCGTGGACACTTTACGATCAGAATATCAGAACAATAAACATTTGCTCAAACAATAATCTTGTTGAACTGTATATCAATCCACGGGGGGATCGATGAGTCTAAACGCTTTCGTTGAAGGAAAATCGGTCACCATTTGGCATACATGACAATATAACATCGAACTAAAAAGAAGATTTCCACCACATCCGGACAACCCGGCCTTTATAACCTATTCATCATGATACAACAATCTCTAGATTCCAGAAAGCTAAGCATCCTCGATGGTGGCCTTGTAGGCAGCCTCATCAAGAAGGGCATCGAGCTCAGCAACATCAGCGACCTCGATCTCAGCAATCCAACCATTTTCCTCGGGGCTCTCGTTGATAGTCTTAGCCTTGTCTTCGAGGACATTGTTACCAGCAATGACCTTACCGGCGACAGGCGAGAGGACATCGGAAGCAGACTTGACGGACTCGACAGCACCGACGGGCTCACCGGCAGCAACCTCGAGACCTTCCTCGGGAAGCTCGACGTAGACGACATCACCCAGGGAGTGGGCAGCGTAGTCGGTGATACCGATCTTGGCTAGAATGTGTGTTAGCTACCCCGCCGCGTTGTATAACCATTCCGATGGGCCCAATGGGTCGACGGTGGATGTATGAGGTCAATTGACGGGGACTCACCAGTCTTTCCGCCGTCGGCCAGCTCAATCCATTCGTGTGACTCGGTGTACTTCTTCAGCTGGGCTAGAATTGCAAATTGATGCGCCGTTAGTGAACTGTGACATCATAGAGCTCTGAAGAGCATGTTTTGGGTGTTTAAAGGCCTTTTTTCCAGTCGCAATGACTTCAAATGCCTTCTAAGAAGCATTGTATAACATTGGGGGTGCATAATACTCACAGAGAGGGCTCTGGGAGAAGCTCCTGGTTCCCCGCGGGAAACGGAAAGCGGGTGAAGCCTGGCAGATGGGAGCAATGGGCTTCTGGGCAAGGGCCCGAGAGGCAAAGGGACGAATGGCGCGAGCGACGGCGGACATATTGAAGGTTGAGCAAAAGGGAATTGAAGGTGTGGGAAGGAAATGGGAAGAGGGGAGAGTTTAAGTAGAAGGGAAAGGTGATGCCCTTCTCCGGCGGAGTTTCGTCGACGCATTTCCCTGATAACGAACTTGCCAAGACCTTGATAAGGAATACGCTAACCTCGTCGGATTTTGCTGGCATCAATACGTTCATCGCCTTATTGTTATCAAAAGGGTTTGCGCGCCACAACTCGATGCCATGTTGTATGAGCTGATTGCCATTGTATGTACTTCTTTGATTGAACTTGAAATGATCGCATAATTGTTCAGATTCGCTAACCTGTCGTGTTCTTAGGTCCGCCCGGGCAGCCTCACTGAGGTGCGAGAGTACGTCTGAATTAACATCGCGGTCGTTATCTAGAATTTTCATATACTCATGCTTTATATTCAGAATCGCCCGTAATGCCGGAACCCAAGTCATCCGCTCCGGCGGCGTCGTCCGCGGCTACACCAACTGGGGCGCCTTCCGTCTGCCTAAGGTCACCACAAAACATCAAGCCCGATACACCGACGGCCACCACTTCATCATGCGTTTCGACGCCTCTGGCTCCGTCCAGTCGTCTATCCGCCGTACTCTCGGTCTTGATCCCCGTATGATCAACTTCTCCGTCGTCAAGCTCGGTGACAAACTCGAAGAGATTAAGGATGTCCCGGGCAAGGTTGAGTGGAACAACGTCTCCACTATCACCGATCAGATCTCATCTGCTGAAAAGACGGTTTAATGAAAGGCTGTTCGATTGTTGATATCAGAATCAGAAGCGTGGACTTGGACTTGACTTGGATTGCAGCACTTTACTTTTTGTTTGTATTATTATGGCACGGGCATTGGGAACTGCCACTCGAAACTATCAGCACAATCGGCGTATATTGTGCAACATACCAGTTTGATCTACAAATATATTTTGCGCTCTCGTCTCTCTCGGGAGGTCGTCAGTCGCCCTTAGTCTTTCATTGAGGCCACGACCAATGGAACCAGTACTGCCGAGGCTATCTCTGTGTTATTACTGAACTACATATACGTTTCATAAGGAATTTGTTGCCCCTTGGGCACTTTCATCTGATTCGTACCTATAGATTTGGGAATGCTAAATCTGAACAGTCCGGTAAGAAGTGTTCCTGTATCTCTCGACCGACCCGTCAGGTCATTTTGAAGGCTGCTGCGAGGCGGCTATGTCTGTAAATCCGACCCTATATGAGTAGTCATGATGAGCTCTTCATATCTCACAATGCTGCATATTTCAAGCAACAAAGCAGGACTGTAGCGTGTGACCGTTGAAAAGCCGAGGCACCGGTCGGCCCCGTCACTAAGTCCGGGGTATAACCCAATCCCCATAGATCGGTTAACAATTTTCTTCAACTCTACACATCAGTTTCAACATACACATATACGTCCACATTAGAAAAGAACACTCTGTGCAACGTCTGTGTTCCGTAATTTCCAACTCATCTATCAAAATATCGGGGGAAAGGAGAGAATCGACCATCGGACACGGAGGTCGGCATTGTTGATTGGACAGGTACCATCGGCCCGCAAACCAACCGCATACCAGAGCCACCAGTTCGGGAACGTCATTAGAAATTACAGGAACAAACGACAAGGTGATCGCGTCTGTCTCTTTTGCGCTATGTCTCCGCGACGCGAGGCCCCAGATGACGGGGATAGTTGGACGTCCCCGCATTCGTTCGTTGAATTGATGGCACTCGAGCGACTTGAGGAGATTTCAATTTCACACCCGGATACGGCAGTTCCAGAAAGAATCGAGCGATTTCGCTCGCTGGCAGCACCATACCCCCCTGGTCAGGGAACACGCTCGTTTGGCGGACATGTCTATGCTCAATCGGCTTATGCAGCTTCCAAAACCGTCGGTCCAGGATTCGTGGTTCATGTAAGCCCTCAGCAAAATCAAGTGTTTGAAATGGACCTAAGCTGACTTATTGCAGGATATGACGGGGACATTTATCTTGGGAGGGCGTGTGGACACGCCTTACGTGTACACAGTGCGGCACATCCGCGACGGATTCATGTATAGCACACGAGCTGTCGATGCGCGCCAAGAAGGCAAAATCTGCTTCTCGTGTATATGCTCTTTCAAACGCGACGAAAGACAAAATCTCTTCGACCATCAGCCAACATCAGCACAGGAGCGCTTCGACTCCATTCTTTCGGCAAAACGACCAGAAGACCAAGCGGTCAGTCCGAGCGTTGATGCAGACTGGTGGATTGACAATGTTCGTCAAGGCAATATTACCGAGCTTGAATTCCCCGGTCTGGATGTGCGCAAGGTTGATATGCAAGGTCACAATCATGCCGAGGATGTCAAGCAGCATCCTGAGAGGTATCGTCAGCTGACGCAATATCGGCTTAAAGGATCTCCAGATGAGGATCCCAATGCTACTCTGAGCCAGATCCGGGAGAGAGAGGAGGCAGGCGACTATGATAATTTATATGCGTGTGCGCATATGTATTCCAGTGATAAGAACTCGCTTCTTTTGATCCCGCGCGCATTGGGGATCAAGAATTGGACTGAAATGGCCAGCCTAACGTTGACTGTTATTTTACATCGACATGCGGAAGCAATGCGTATGATCGATTGGAACATGGTTGAAAAAGGCGATAGTGAATTGCCGAAGAAATGGTTCGTGCAAGAAGGGTGGACGCCGCAAGCTGCTCAGAATCGAGCAGTGCATGAAAGTCATCTGTGGAGCCCTAATGGAGCTTTACTGGGGACTTCCTTGCAGGATAGTATGTTGAGATTGAGGAAGTTGGGCAAGAATGCGAAGTTGTGAGAGCGTTCTTGTATATGCTGGATGCTTTAGACTAGATGGTTGTACATATTAGGAAGCCGCAGCACTAACATACAATAAATTTCCACCAATCCTAGCCATTAGATAAGAAGCAGATGCACTGAATCCCATGAGCTTGTTTGTAGTCAGCATTGATAGGCATATAAGGTTGACAACTGAGCCTTTAGATGTATATTTGACCCACACCAAACCCCATATGTGCACAAGTTTTTTCTCCCTCATCTAGTTTCTCTTCTTTTTTTTCTATTCTTTTGATTTGTCCGTGCTTCAAACTCTAACATTACAATATGCGACCTCTGTATCCTCACTTTTACATGTGGTATGTACGAACAGATCGGGGGCTGCGCCCCAGTATCTGGCAAGAACAGCCTCGACAAACTCAACTCCAAACCTCCATTGCCTGCTTTGTTATGGAAAAGTGTTATGCCTTCTGCCGAGACAAGAACTCAGCAAACTCATCAAATAGTCTAGCTTTGAAATCGTCGGCGTCTTACATAGGACTCGTTGATAATGGTACATTAAATAGCTTTGATTCTGGGCAATATGAAGTTTTGACTCATGAAATAGCCTGTGCAGCCTTTTTTTTTGTTTTTGTTTTTGTTAATCCATGGATAATCTGTGACGTGGCCAACGCAGTGATGAATATACCCAAGGTTGGGGGTGTTTCGAGGAAGGATTGGAAAACATTAGGGCCTGAATCAAGCGCAGTAAATATATAGATGTAGAACGTCATATTCTCAATCGAAGAAAAGCATCCCAACATTTTACAAAGCGCCCACAACAAGGGTATTATATATTATTTGTACAAGAAGGACTCAAATATCCTCCCCAGATATATTAGCATGCTTAAAGTACTTCATCCCAACCCAAGCAACCACAACCCAAACCCACGACATGACAGCCGTGAGAATAATCAGCGCAGGATAATACCCAACAATAGGCAATGTAGGATCATCCTCCAACTCCGGCGGTGCATAAGGCGTTTCACCAACATCCCAAGCCCAGCTCCAAACCTCAAAGCAACTGCCAATCCCCACAACAAACACCAACCACGTAACGACCAGAATAATCCAGCCCCACCACTCGGTCTCGGAGTAATCCCAATCTACAACAGGACTACTTTTGATCTCAACAGGATGTGTGACTAGAGGCGAGGACTTAGGTCGGTGAACGGGTCTGTACGTTGTTGTTTCCGGCGCGAGGTTGAAGGGCTCCGGGCCAGAAGACGGAGTTGAGATGTGGAGGCTTGCAGCGGCGCCTTTGACGCCGCCTGAGCTGGGAGCAGGCGAACTTGTATTGGTACGTGGGAAGGAGACGAGTTCCTCGTCGTCTGTAGCTGTAGCTTCGGTGTGGAGGGCATGTTGCGCGAGGCCGTGGCGGCGACGCGTTATCGAGGGTCGGACTGGTTTCTGTGTATTTGCGCGGAACCAAGGCGGGCTGTCGTGATCTTCTTCGGGCTCTTGGTCGCGCTTGGGCTCGCGCGCGCGTGTGGGCCCATTATTGGGGGAGAGCTGGGTCTGTAGGTGCGAGGGATGGAGGTCTGCGGGGCGGATGGATTCTGCTTCTGCGCGGAGGGCCTCGGCGGCTTTGGCGGCTCTTTTTTCGCGGGACTCGAGCCTTGTACCTAGCAGGGCTGTTTTGCGGAGTGATCCGCGGCGGCGTCTTGTGCGGCGATGTGCCATTGCGGTAGACATTGCTCGGTGGCTTCCTTCGCCTGGACCGTGTGCGATGCCGGTGCGGGTGTCGTCGTCATCGTGTTGCATGTCTGGGTGGCGGTTTGAAGTGTTTTGGCTCATGCGAAGGAAAGATAGTCTGGAGAAGAGGGAGCCTGAGAGGCCTCGTTTATGACTGCTTGTGCTGCTGGATCGCGCGCGAGTTGATCCTTGGACTGCGAAGTCCGCGGTTCGCTCGTCATCGTCCATTGGCGCAGGTGGAACCGGAGACGTCAGCTCGGATATTGATCCACCAGCATTGAAAGGTCCCACTGTTGGATACTTTGTTTTTGTTCCAGGTGATTTTCATGAATGCTGCACGGGGAAGTGGCCGTAAAGGAGTCGCGTTGTGGCCTGCAATTTCAGGCGACATGTTCCATCGAATGATCACATTTGGAGTTAATCCAAAGACACAGTGTTAAATTATTGGGTATAGTACTAGAATGGAAAATACTTATTACCAGATGTATCCTCGTACAAAGTGAGGTTTATAGGCAACCATGCTTGTACTTTACCCCTGGGTGGCTCCCCTATGTATACACACACAGACCGACCAAAGCCCTTTTACCTCGAGTGACTCTCATAAACCAGGTCAACCTACTCTGCAAAGTAGAGCTTGTTTATGCAATAATATACAACCAATAGCAAAAAAAAAAAAAAAAAAACAGCAAAAGGCCACTGACCATCTAGAGAGAAAAAGAAAAGCAGAAATAACGGCAAACTGGTATATGGGCTAGAACGCCAGGAGGCAGATAGAAAAAGACCAAGGAAATTCATCACATATACGGATACTCTTGAAAAGCCCGAATGTCAACCGACAAGTCCATGGCAACCCATGGAAAGCATTTGAATGGAAATGAGTATCAAAAGAAAACAAGCCTAGAAAAGACATGGGAGGTTTCATACAGCACACCCCAAGGAGCTAGAAAGGAAGACAAAAAAAAGACATAAACATCAACAGTCCAAATCAGATACGCTGGTAGGTATGAGGTATGAGTAGGGAGGATGCTTTTATTTGGGGGCATGACAGAGCCAAAAGTCCAATGAACCCTTGATCGCAAAGCACGCTTATGAAGATTGAAAGGAAGAAAAGAGCAAAGAAAGATCGCATCAACACAGTGGACTTGGGGTATTGGTGCGCAACACACAAATTCCTATTCAACAAAAGCAGCTTGCTCGCTTGAAAATCCACATCGAAGCAATTTAAATCAAAGAAAAATATCAACGGTGATGGGGAATTGTAGAGGGTGCTATGGAGAAAGAAACACAGAAGAGATGCAAGACAACTTGGTTCTGTGAGTCAATGCCGGCTCATGCATATCTAAGTATGACCGGAGCCGACTGACTGACACGAAGAACCGAGCTACGCCTGGTAGCCTCCGTTGAAGTTGTTAGACTGGTCCCAGTTGCCGGACGGGGACATAGGCTGGCCACGGCCGTAGCCTCCGGCGTTACCTGCCTGAGGATAGGCCTGGCCGGCCATGGCAGGTCCGTTGAAGTTGTTGGCTTGTTGATCCCAGCCTCGACCAGCAGGGGCAGGACCTGGTATATCGGTAAGCAAATGTCGGGATACAGGGTATCATATGTTAGACTTACCTTGGTTCATAGGGTTGGCGGGACCGCCGTATTGGGGAAAGAACCCTTGCGGGGTGTTACCGAAGGGAGCGGCATTACCCTGAGCGGGGGAGAAGTTGTCGAATTGACCAGTAGGAGGACGATCCTTACCCCACTGTAACCGTTAGTGAATTAGACTTCAATGTTTCATATGGGGAATAGCTTACGCTGCACTTCAAAGGACGACCGTTGACTTGGTAACCATTCAATTGGCAAATTGCAGAAGCAGCATTCTCGTGCGAATCCATCTTCACGAAGGCAAAGCCACGGTCAGCCTGAAGGCGAGTCTCGAGAACGTAACCGAAGTTCTGGAATAAAGGGACCAGATCGTTTTGGGTGGTGTAAGGTGTGAGATTGCCGACGTAGCAAGTAGTCTGCCACTGGGGAGTCTGTTGGGCGACCATGTCGTAGCTCTGGATGCCGTGAGTAGGGAAGTGGTGGTGGCCAAATGGGGTGGTGGGTGTCATGCCCATAGCAACCAGGGCCTGCTGCTGGGAGATGGAAGGTTGACCCTTCTGGTTCGCCCAGTTGCAGCGAATGGCGCGAGAACCGAGCCATTCACCATCCATCGAGTTGAGAGCCTTGTCTGCCTCGGCGCGATCACGGAAAGCAACAAAGCCATATCCACGGGAGCGACCAGTCTTCATATCCCACATAACACGTGCTTCCGATACTGAGCCAAAGGCAGAGAATGCTTGGGTGAGCACCTCATCGTTAACCTCATTGCTTAAGTCGCCGACGAAGATGTGGAAATGGTTAGAGGTGTCCTCCTTGTTCGTGTTGTTGGATTGGTATGCCCAGTTCACGCGGATTTCCTGATAGAAGGTTAGACTATAATTAGAAGGTAACAAATAGACATAATTGGAAACTAACCGATTGGTGGATTCTGCGTCCATTCAGGGTTTGCATGGCCCTCTCAGCAGCACCTGGATCATCGTACTCAACAAAGCCGTAGTTATGGCCCTTGGTAGTGAATTGTCCCTGATTTGAGTAAAATGGTTAGACAACGTCTTCGTGCTCAAGAGCAGTCCAAAAGTATGGACGAATTATTTGAACAGATGGCAATTCCAGATCCCATAGCCAATCAATCAGGGGGAGGGGTAATATGCAGGGGATACCCCTCAGGAGAACTCACATTCTTGTCGGGAATGATCTTCACGCTGAGCACGTGGCCGGTGGTCTCGAAGATCTGCTTGAGAATATCCTCAGTAACCCTTGGATCCAATCCACCCACGTAGAGGGCTCTCTTGTTGGGCTCCGGAGCCGCTCGACGGACATATCCTCCGGCACTTGTGGGGGACATCATGGCGCCCCCTGACATGGGCGAAGTCATGGCAGTGGGGATCGGGTTGTTATTCTGGGGAATGATCACAGGAGGACGCGGGGGCGGGGGCATGTGGGAGGGGTTGCCCTGGCCGTTTCCCTGAGGAGCATCGTACTGTTGGTTCCCGACAGCCGGCGCTGGCAGCGAGGTGGGAGTCGAGGCTTGGGCGTTTTCAGCCATTGTGAAAGCTTTGGATAAGATGAAAGTATAGGCCAAAGATTATCAAGAGTGAGCGAAGCGGATGTCGGACGGGTTAAATGTTAGACTGGGCCCCGTATTGGGTGATCTGTCAAATTTGGGGGTTGAGACACTGCAGGTCGGTGAAAGCCACAATCGCAAATAAGACCGGAAAATATACGTCGTCGTAGTATAATGGCGGGGGGAAAGAACAGTCCAATAAGACCTGGAAACAAAGAACACTATAAACAGTGCTGCAAGAAGACACTGAAATAGGATCCGGGGTTTTTTTTCGATCAGACTATCTGCGGAGAGATGACTTGCTTGTAGTAACGGTAATAACTTGATACGGTCGGAGATGGAGATGCAAAGGTTGAAGCTGAAAGCCCAACAAAAAAAAAGTAGAAGCGGGAAGAATGCTCAAAGAAATCAAAGCATGCAAATCCCTGAACGGGAGAGGGAAGCTAGAAATCCAAACAGGAAAAAAGGAAAAAAAGGAAGAAGGAAAAAAAAGAAGTAGGAGATAGAAAGAAAAAGAAGTCGAAGAAGAGAACAGAGTAAAGGGAGTCTTAACCGCCAGGGGTGGAGGGGAGCGACACTTTACCCGAAAGGGTTTAGTTTCCAATACCTTCGCTATTTCATATTTCCCTCTCTTTGCTTTCTCGACTACTTTCAGCCTACTCTCAGCTATAGATATCTATTCTCCTTTTTCTTTTACGTATCTTTTCTTTTCTTTTTCTTCTTCTGTTTCCTTTTTCTCTTAGTGAACATATCATCTTGATCTATATTCTCAACTCTTCTATCCCTTACCATGGCTACCAGTTATTCAAACCCAGAGTCTCTTACAGAGCTCTCAAGCATAATAGAGCGAACGGTAAGGCATTGACTTTGAAAACAGATCTCCTGGCACAGGATCTGACAGCTTCTAGCTCATTGACACAGGTCGCTTATTCCGCAAATCCGGTTCAATGCCATCGAGAACCCATCTACAACGATCCATTCCCTTGTATCATGATAGTTTCCAAAATGCCCTGGATAACCTATCAGAACAAATAGTAAGTGACTCCATGTCTCCATATCTGCATGTTATTTCAAATCGGTCAATATTTGCTTTTTTTTGTTCCATATTAATAACAATAATAATAATATTATGTATTGATTTCTGACGGTCGGCAGTTCATCGCCAAAGCCTACTTGGAAAAAGACTACGAGGCTCTCAAGGCGACCAGCGCTGCACCTCTACCGCTCCAAGATGTGGTCATGAGTGATGATAATAAGCAGGTCAAAACTGAATTACAGCCTCAATCAACTGAAACCCCCGCAGTGGGCAACAATGTTGAAGCGCCACTCAAATCAGAAGAGGGCGCCTCTGTGAGCCAACCGGCCCCCGCAGAGACCAAAACCGAAACCAAGGAAGATCAGGTACCCGTCAAAGAAGAAAAAGATACCAATGCACCCGTATCATTCCCGGGAACAAATGAGGATCTCACATTTGATTCGGTCCTGAATGCCGGTGGCACCAATGACTTTGGTCTCAGTTTGGACTTCAACGACGATGACATGGGTAATCAAGCTTTCCTATCGGGATCAAACTTTGGAGCCTCAGGCGCCGACAAGTCAAACACTCCACAACCTGCCCCTACCGGTGGCGGTGCATTTGATATGGAGTTGCAGAAAACAGAAGGGGATGAGGGTACCTTCCCGGGACAGGGTAATGGGACGGAAGATTTCATGGGCCCGGCGGAATCAAATTTCGACGATCTCTTCCTGGACACTGACAATTTCGGGGAGAACGGGGGGGACTTCAATCAATTGGAGGGTGATAGTTTGATGAATGTCAATGAGTTGGATGATAATTGGTTCAATTAAAGCAAAAGAGGGGGTCTTAAGTTAAAATCTGTATGCAGTTCAAATAAAGCAGAGAGAGCAGTGGGGGGATTGGGGAAATGTTATCCTATAATCTGCATGTATTTGCAATCTGCACTAGTAGTGGTACTACATAAGCTTAGATCTATGACATAGGGCGTGACCAGAAGATCGTAAACCGGGCATTGATGTCTTGGAACTGCATTGTCTCTTTACTTGCATATATATGTGTGTGGGCTGACTTGGTATTGTGGAACATGAATAAACGAGAGTTACCCTTCTAAGTAACTCCAAGCAAAGCTAGGAATTATACTTAGATGGTCTAATTAGTAGAGTGTGTAAAAAGTATAGCTGATTATAGCCAAACACGCATTTGATACAAGCTAAAATCTAGTATGACCTCGCCTTAGAATGACCTCGGGACCCCACTGTTCAATATTGAATCCATGTCTGCACCGGTATACAGGTGTCAGAGCATCTAGGCCCACAGGCACAGCGCATGAAACGCATGAACCCACAGTGTTGGTGTGACAGTTGTCATAGCGTCAAAGATACATATTGTAAAAAGCTATATCAGTAGTATAATGTAGTAGAATAAATTAAGAACGACAATGACGTAGGCCATAGGGCAACAACTTAAAGTGAGATCGACAACAGATGAGAATTGGGGGGAAACGGGGAGTGTTTCCCGAAATAGGCCGATATATGTGGCTTGTGATGAGGTCATAGTCAAACGGCACGGACCCGCTTTGAGGGTTTTTATCGTACTATGCTCAGTAATTATGTGTAAGTAGTGCATATGCCTAGTATAATATATGATCATACAATATTTGTACTCCGTAAGTGTACAATCGATGTACGCAGGTAACACATGCTAGACTGTCGTCATATAGCAATGCCCTATGTCTACATACTGTATGTAGGTAGACACTGTATTTTGTGTAAGATCGTCTTCTTTTTCCGAGGGGGGATGACTTCCGACCATTCAGGACTCTAGACCCATACAAAATTCTTGAGGTAGTCAGTACGTAGTATAATAAACATTGTACGATCATATATCTTCTCTATGATCCCATCTACACCTAAGATGAATATACAAATCAACATAGTAACATCTATTTAAGCAAGGTTGGCACTCCACGATCCAAGTCAAGACTTCCATGGTATCACCTACATTTTAGGGGGTCATAAATATACTTTTAGGGCAAACCCATGGGAAGGCTAAATATAAAGTACATACAATATTGGATATACTCGGTAAAAATCCAAGACTTTTAATGTATAAGGCAAGGTTCGTTAGAAACAGCGACGAGCGTGCCACGCAATTCATTACCCTCACGTGAAGAGGTGCATCTGAGCCGCTATCCCCGCATTTAAGGCTAAGTCTCCAAGAGGCCGACATACCCGTATTCACATCCTCCAAAACGGGGCGTTGGTACATTTGACACAGGCCGTAAAGCCGAGGAGCATTCGATACTACTAAGCTCATGAGGGCCGTGAGATCCGAGGCTTTTTTTTTCTTCTTTTTTCTCTCTCATATAGCCTAGACCGTGTGGATTGGAATGTTTCTCCACAAGCTAAAAAGTGAGACCAATAGCACAGGGGAAATATTGCAAAGGAAGAGAAATGCCGAGCCAAAATCAACTTTTGGCCGGATCGCCGGATATGAACCCCCGTGTTTCAATCGTGTTGTCATCAAGAAATCAATTTCTTCGTAAAATTTAAAACAGCAGTTCGTCCCCTATTTCAGTCTTCTTTGAGGTCTATATACATCCCAGCATTATATGTGATCGGTATTACAAATCTGACGCCACATACTCAAATAATAGATCAAGGAAGAAGCATAGGACCACAATTGTCTTAGCCAATCCTACACCTTGAAGCTGAGATCTGCACGATGATCATTTGAAGTGGAGGAGTTGCTTATGAAGTCAACTCCCCGAGAATTCCATTTCTTCTCCCTTACTTACATTGAAGGGATTCAAGGGATCAAAAAAAAAGGTCTCACAAGATTATAGATCTAGGTACGTTTTTGTCCTACAGAGTACATAGCTCCTTATTATTTGAGCCTCTTGTTGTGGCCCAATCTACTACGTTCACAATTCACATACCCTCGTGAACAATTTTCGGGCCTTTTCAACGATGCCCAAGAGATCATCAAGATGATGGGAGCTAACATAATACCTTTGCCGGCGCAGTTCTCCTCGCGGTCGGCATCTAGTAACCCCACTCCGCCTTCCAACTTCACCGGAACTCCATTGCTAGGAGAATCAATATCCAATCTACTCACACGGTCGGCGCAGACTGTGTACATTGAGAGAGAGGACTTACCTAAACGAAGTCGCCGAGACTCAATCATAAGAAAACTGGCGGGCCCACGTGAAAACGCAAAGCGATTCCTTCGCTTGCGCTCGTCCGGAGTCCAGGCACCGTCCCTACGTCCTACCCCACGTCGCGGTGTGCGACCAGTTTCGGAGATTATCTTGTCGCCGACAGCCTCAACTTCCTTCGACTTGGACCCCGAAATGCGATCCGACTCGTCTTCTGCCACAGAGTTTCTGCCCCAGGCAGTACCGGATCATGCCTCAACCCCCGATTTGGCAACTCCGTTCGCTCCGCTACACAACGAGAAGATTGTGGCCACTGGAAGTGGAATTTCTGTCGGGATCGCCCTTACTGAACCGGTCCTATATCTGCAAGGTTATGACCAGCATGACCCGAGTAGTAAAAAGTCGGCCATTCTGCGGGGGCAAATACATTTGAAGGTTACGAAATGCATCAAGATTAAGAAGATCTCTGTTTGCTTCCGTGGCCATGCCCAAACCGACTGGCCAGATGGTATCGTCTACACTATTATAGCTTTGTTCTATATGAACTCAACTGACTTTGAATTTAGGTATCCCACCCAAGAAAATTCACTTCCACGATAAGAAAGATTTGTTCACTCATGGCGTGGTATATTTCAACCATGGCGATACCGCGCTCATGCAGAATGACTACGGTGCGCACTACTACCAGCATGCCAAACCTATATCCGCCGTCCCCGGCAAGGAGGGAGTAACAATGACAACCCGAGAACTGTTTTCCAATCGCAACTCGTCCGCCACACTCGCTCCGCCGACGACCCGGGAAGCCAAGCGTCTATCTCTGCAGTCCAACCGTGGCCACTCACGCAGCTTTAGCAAGAACGAGCCCCCAACTAGCCAGACCCAACCCCAGCGCAACTACCGTATGTTCCCTGTGGGCGACTATCTATATAGCTTTGAATTTCCCATCGATGGATCATTACCAGAGACAATCAAAACGGACCTGGGATCCGTGAAGTATGACCTGGAAGCAATGGTGGAACGATCGGGTGCATTCCGACCAAACCTTCTCGGCACCATGGAAATCCCTGTGATCCGCACTCCAGCCGAGGGCTCGCTAGAACAAGTCGAGCCAATTGCGATCTCGCGCAACTGGGAAGACCAGCTTCACTATGACATCGTTATCTCGGGAAAGTCCTTCCCGCTGGGCTCGCAGATTCCAATTGCGTTTAAGTTGACACCGTTGGCGAAAGTGGAATGCCACAGAATTAAAGTATACGTGACGGAAAATGTCCAGCATTGGACTGCCGACAAGAGTGTGCATCGATTACAGCCCGCGAAAAAGGTGCTACTTTTCGAGAAACGAGCAGACTCTTCCAGCGTGAGCACGTACCCCGGTAGCTCTATGCGTGTGACTGCAGGCGGTGGTATCGACTGGGACCATCGTGCGGCGGCAGCTGCAGGACAGGAGATTGTGGATCGCAATCGGACGAACCTGTTGGGCAACCTAGTAAATGATTCTGGTGTCGGTCCTACAGAGATGGAATTCAACGTGCAATTGCCGAGTTGCCACGAAATGAAGGGCCGGGATGAAGGCCAGCGATTGCATTTCGATACCACATATGAAAACATCCAGATCAACCATTGGATTAAGGTACGCCAACTCCCTCCATCTCCACGTATCACACAACTAACAAACCACAGATCGTCCTCCGTCTATCCAAGGTCGACGAAAGAGACCCCACAAAAAGAAGACACTTCGAGATCTCAATCGACTCACCCTTCCACATCCTCTCCTGCAAAGCAACCCAAGCAAACATCTACCTCCCAGCCTACACAATACCAGCCGCAGACCCCTCCCCGCCAGCTCAAGAATTCGAATGCGGCTGTCCAGGGGCTTCCCTTGCCCCCCGCGAACCAACAATCGCCCCAGCGGGCTCAGACCGCGAAGACAGCAACCCCAACCTCGCGACTCTCGCCCGCAGAGGCTCAACAGGCCACACCTTCTCGCGCAGCTTCACGAGCGGCTCAGGCGGCCTCGCCAGACCACCCCAGGCACACCTCGCCACGCCACCAAATGACCGTGACACGCCCACCCCGCCTCGCCCCATGCATCTCCTCCGCGCGCCGTCTTATGCCCCGCCTGCCTTCGAGGACGTGCCCCCCGCCCCGCCTCTCATGACACCCCCACCAGAATACACTACTATCGTTGGTGGTGACCGCGAAGCCGTGCTACAGGATTATTTCTCCAGACTTTCTTTCTACGAGGAGAATGAAGACGACGATCGTGGCCGTGGCCGTGTGGATGTCCCACTCACCCCTGGCGGCCGTATTAATCGTAGTATGGATGTACCACGTGAATGGGTGCGGATCGAAGACTATTTCCAGTGATCCTAGACACCTAGGTATTTTCTGGCTGGTCTTTCAAACGTCATGATTTCTGATGAATTTACGCTACTGTTCATATCGGAACTGGGTGTGGGCACATGTTTTCCAGCGATTCTTTAGATCTGGGGGTTTACCACTTTGATTTTTGGATTAATTTTGCCCTCTGGGACTTGTGTGTTTGTTTTGCATAATTTTCCAGTCAAGGACCGGCTGTCCTGTACTTTTTCTTGGTTGATACTGTGGCGTTTAGAGGTGAAATAGGTCATATATTTGGATTTTGTATATCGACACATTTCTGTAGCGAGTTGGAAGTGTTCAGAGTATAAAAAGACTTGGGAGGGTCCTCCAGCCCTGGCGCGATAAGAACGGTGTGTCATCGATAAGAACGCATCGAACTGCCTTCCATGGTTTAGCTCTCCCCACATCTCAGAGGCCTGGTCCGTAACTGTCACGGTCTTTTTTTTTCTCTTCCCTCCAATTACGTTTCCTATTCAACATTTTGAGCCTCTACACCTCTTCCAAACTACTTATCAAAGATCCCGACGGTTGGATCCGATCCCTGCATGCTTACCTAGCGTATCCCGGCTCTTCACAAATAACGCCGATAGGTCCAACTTGTTTGTAGAGGCAATAGCACAAACTTCGGCTGACCACACAGCACGAAAGCCCTCGAAAAGCAGACCTGATAACATATGAAACCAGCGAAAAGTAATAAAACTCGGCAACTCTTCAAACTCCAACAGCGGAGCAATTTCTCGTATCGAGATCCGATTCGCATCAACCCGCATTTCATTTTCTTCACTAAGCCAAAATGGCTATCGAAGTAGTCGATCTGACTGTGGCTGATATTCCCGGTGCCATCGAAGTCATCCAGCAGGCTTTCGCAGACGATCCATATTTCAAATGGGTCTTTGACGAATCAAAGGTGAGAGACCCCGATTTTCAAGTCAAAGACCCTGTAGCAGACTAACATCCACTCTCGTACGGGTCTCCGGGCCGATTACGTTTCCGGTATAAAACAGTTCAACAAACAAAGAAACTACGATTCTCTATCTGTGCGCTGCAACTGGGGTATCAACAATGCGCTGTTCCAAGTCGCCAAAGAATCAACAGACAAGACCAGTCCTATTCTAGGCGTTTCATGCTGGCTAGCACCGCACCCAAGCACCCAGCCCGAGAGCTGGTATAGCTGGTTCCAATCATGGAGTTTATCATTTAACCAGCTGCTGAATAACATCCGGTACTTTGGCCGCGGTGGGCTGCGGACGAATAGATACTGGATTTGGAAAGAGAGGCAGGCGGAGGCCCAGGCTGCTATCTGGGATGATCCGCAGGGCTACTATTTCTGTAACATTGTTGCTGTTAGTCCTGAGGCGCAGGGGAGGGGTGTTGGGAGATTGCTGTTTGAGGCTGTTACGAAGAAGGCGGATAGGGAGGGCGTGAAGTGTTACTTGGAGAGTTCGAAGAGCGTTCCCAATGTGGCGATTTATGAGCGGATGGGCTTTAGTATGAGAAAAGAGATGGAGTGTCGGGATGGAGAGGATGCTTGTATGGTATGTTTATGTTTAGGTTTGGGGTTCGGTGGCGATTTCGGGATGGTACTGACTTGTTTCTAGTTGTACTGCATGGTGCGCGATCCTAAATAGGATGGTGTTTCTCGAGTCTGGGTCTGGCCATTGCAGATTGGGCTGGGCTGTGATGGGAGATCGGTATGAATCCGAGCGCAATAAGATATGAACTAGCACGAACAGATCCGGGAGTTATTCAAATGACATTGCATTGTACTGGTTTTAATTAAGGGGTGAATCACCACCGTAGATCACAACTACATCCCGAAAGTGATCTGTCCCCAGCCCTGTCCCTAACCGAGGGCTGTTAGTTTAGTTAGTGTAATTCGCGCTTGTGAGTCCCCAATTACCGAGATCCATAGCTAAATTATACTAACGAATCCAAGCGGAGGATTCTCCAACCTTTGAAAGGCTGTATGTGCGAGGTCCCGGGTGAGTCCCGGCTAGGCCCCATTTATCTTTTTTTGCAGACCGCTTTTGTCAACAGACGACCGCTGGGTCACTCACACTCTCAAGGCTACATATGGTCTCATATATATAGATCTCTATAGCGCAGCCCGCATATCTTTCGGGAGGTCTTAGTAACATGGTACGCCCATGCCCCGCCGAACGTTGATCAATCCATGGTACCGCACATTAATAAAGGTAAGACGGCTCTACCTGTGGACAACAACAACATTGCAAACCAGCCCTAACGCCCGATCCACAGACCGAAATCCACAAACGGGGAGCGCAGTCAGATCAATTCATTAATAGAACCTAATCGCGGGGGCGCAAACGTATGCATCCCAGCGATCAGTGCGCATGAACCCCAATGCCCGTTTGCAAACCTCAAAACTCAAATCCAGAGTTGATCTATCATTAAAAATCAAACGATATCATACTCAACTGGATACATGCATATCCATCTATCTGATATACTGCAGCTCGACAAGAGAAGCAGTATTTTCAATGTCCACTTTTTAAGCTCCGCCAGTCACAGTTATGCTCATCTGCCGATACACTAATGTTTGCTTTTAAGATTTACACCCTGGTTCTGGGTGGTGTTTCAGATCTAGTTGGGCTGCATGCTGCACAGACTTCTTTCGGGTTCGGGCTTATTGAGATCTTTGTTGGTTTGGACTCGGGGGTAGATGGGGTATATATATTGGGTATGCAGGACATTTCCGAGACTTGTTTGGGATGTCCCGAACGTCGCGGTGAAATTCGACTTACAATATAAGTTTTTATATAAGTTTATATATCACTTTGGATCTCGCTGGCCTTGTGAGTGAATATCTGGGATTTGTTTCCTTAGCTCAAAACGCTGATTATCGAATTTGAACTAGGTTTGCATCGATTGCACACCATGTTTCTCCTCATTCTCCGGAAGCTGTGGCTTCGACGACCGAGATCCGATGCAGAGACCACATCATTGCCATCAAACTCAGCCAGTGGACGTCCAATACTCGAAATTGAAGACAAAGCGCAAATGCCCGACATCACTTTCACCACAACGGCTTCGTGTGACGAATCAGAAACGACAGTCAACGAGCTAGCCCTGCTAGCAGCCACTGCGAGCCACACATCAAGCATCGCTCAACACGAACCAGCGATACCTGCAAAGCCAGAAACAAAGCAAACCGCCCCAGACAGAGCGACTCAACAACCAGAAAGGGAGGAGGACGAAGAAGAAGGAGAAGAAGAAGAAGAAGAAGAAGAAGAAGAGACATTCTACCATCTGAGCAGTTTGATAACCATATCCTGCTTATCCCCAAGCCAAAGCCAAACGTCTGTATCAACAGTAACCTCCAAAAGCGCAAGACGCAAAAGTCTAGCCTTTGATACCAAGAGAGCATCCTCAATTCTAAATTTGAACATCGGGGATCTACCGAGTCTGCCATTTCCAATCCCGAACCACGGGATCACGGGCAAGCCTGGTCCAAGATATAGCCCGCTCCCACCACCGTTTGTGCAGAAGACGCTTGCTATGAGGCCCGAGGTTCGTTTCTAGGGGAGACTAAGGATGGAGGGTGGTGTTTTTCATGCCTTGGGGGGGGGGATTATGTGTGCCTTGTTCATCTACGCTTTTGTTTTATGATATCCTGGGTGGATGCGCATTGCGTATTGCTAATTTTGCTATGGCCAACAAGAATTTGTTGTTTTTCAATAATCAATCGTCCGAGGGCTTCTATAGGCTCACTGTATCTATAGAAGTATACAACGTAGAGAAGGCCCAACGCTTACGATTCAAACTTTCAGTTGCCTGGGTATAACTATAGATCTAGCACCTCGGCATCTACAATGATCTGCAATGACTACGTTCTGTAGTACCAAATTGCCACTCCGTTCTCCACACCGGGCTGCCCCATCTCAAAGTAGAAACTAAAGATGTCAATCCATTCAAAGCGGGCCATCCCGCCCTCAAGCTTGTTCATGTTCGTATATTGTAGGCACACCGACGCATACAGTTGTAAAATATATACTTGCCGTTACACGCTTCAAAATCCCTGCATGAATAGTGCGTCCCATTGGAATCTAAGCTACTTTCCCTCCTCCCAGGAAAAGGTGGCACAATATATGTAAAATAGATTGAAATTGCAACTCTCGGCTGGCTCTAGGTTCCAGGCAATCAGAATACCGAGCCTTCGACAGTCCTGGAGTCACCCCATTCTGGCTGAAGCGAGGAGTGGACACGTTACATTATCCCTGAAGTGAACGGCACTTGAGCGTCCTATCTCGCTACGTGTCATAGCATGGTTAATATTGATTAACCAATTGATTGGTTGCAAAGCTGTTGTCGAATGGGAAGCGTTCCGGTGATAGAAATTTCCACTCTAGATCCTTCCATTAGCGCTGGGCTGGTTCGAATCGGAGCGGTAGTCAATTATGTGATTGCTGTGCATGAGACATAATGGACCCGGATATAGATTGTGGGGGGCGACTTGCATAACACGCGCATCTTGCTCTAGTCACAAGCGACGATCGACTGTGATGATGGCATGATCCACGTGTATAAAAAACCGCATATCGCATACAATTTTTCTACGTCTGTCTTGTTGTGGAGTGTAGACGGGATTATCTCCGTTCTAGATAAGACAACAGATCGTAGGTGGATGGGGTTCCGCACTCCTGAAACAAGACGTTCGAACTAATCATTGCTAGCCACAAATGCCGGGATTTGCTCTCACTGCCGATCTGATCCTTTGCTTTATTCGTTATCGATCTTAATATTACGTATCATGACCCTCTCTGGAACCTTGGAAGGTGGGTTACGGCTGTGGCTTCGGGACTCCACCCGGAAAATTCGATTCGGTTATAACCTGTAGTTGAGGGCCATAGATGAGATTTTTGTGTTGTTTGTTGTGATTGAAATATTCCTCTATGGGGTTTATCTACATTTGTCACATATGAAGGTAGCTTGCTTGGGGTTGAATTTTCGACTAGGGCTCACATCCCAAAATTATCTGATCCAAATTGTAAAAAGTGCTAGACGTGGAGAAACCGTTAATGCTATTAGAGCCTTAGGTGGAGTTTAGGTTGGAGATGTTCAAATTTCCAGACTACAAATCTCCAATGTCCACGATGTACACTTAGAATCCTCTTCGCTCTTTGAAGGTTATGAAACATTCGTTTAATGTACAACCCTCGGAATAGGACCGCACGAACACAATTCAGAGCTACAGGGAAAGCCTAGAAAATCCGTTTCATATCTCATTAAAATAAATGAATTGGAACTATACCCAATAACATGCGACCCAGTATAGTTTCGTTGCCCAATTTATTCTGCCGCCACCAATAATATCCGCCGAGCCAGGGACAACTAGGCAAGAATCAAGTTTGTGCCGCTTGAGAAACCTCTTTTGATATTCTTATTCGCTTCTATTGAGTGGACGGGCTTTACTTACAGACCGACCGATTTAATTGCATAATCTCACCGAAATGAGGTCTCTATCGGTAGTTCAATTGTGGAAATGATAATAAAGTACATATTTATATGTAGCCACTATCACAGTTGAAATTAGCCAGGTCCCAAGCACCAAGCCTCATATGTGGCTATTCGCGCCACAGTCGTTGAACTAGATAGAGTAGACATTGGCTGTGAACATGTTTGCGAACATGTGAAAGCACTAAGCCATGCTAGCTTGCTAGCTCGATAAAAAAACTAATATTGGAAGATGCAAGTCTAGACACAAATTTACGCTGGGACCTTTCCCAATTTAATTTACTATCAAGGACAATCACAGTAGGGTCACAATATAGTTACATGACTCTAGACTCATAAGCAGCCATTGATCCACCCAAGAACAAAGAAAAGGAAATTAAACTGAAAGTCCTCGGCTTAGCCAGAGATCATCATCCGTGCAACTTACCCGATTCAGCCGAAAGCATGATTTCCATAATCTTCAGGGATGTCATAATAAGAAGTCTGGAAAAGGTACTCCGTACGTAAAGTTCCCAACGCACCATGTTAATATCACAGCCTATTATTCGTGCGTGTCAGTTTCCAATAAGCGCCTGCCACGGCACACAAGCTCAACCAAGACTGACTATTGAGCTACTTTCCCTGATAATTGACAAAGTCAAGCATATAATTGTACTAATACACAAATAACAACGCATTGGCCTTGGCTTTTGATTAAATGCAGCTCATGTCGGGAAATGGCGAATGTGCACAGCCTTAGCGCGGAAGGAGCAGAAACTTAGATAAGTCGGTCCGGTTTCGATAATTTTTAGAATTGACGTATCAGGGAAAACATACGAATGTGCATGTGCAAGACAGGCTAACCAGCGCCAGAGCCCAGAGCCCAGAGCCCAGAGCCCAGAGCTTGATTTCTCTCTATCTTGACTGGCCGTACTAGTGGTGCAGGAAATAGTTCCAAACAATTGTCCGTACCAGTCCCGCACGGTTCAGCTTCAATTGACCCATGGTCCCTGTTTCGGGGTTCCATCTAACAGCCGTTGATCCACTACCTCGGGCTTCTCGGGACCAAAACCCTAACCGGTTACCTCGAATGGACCCTCGTGGCATACCTAGTTGGCTTTTGGGGCCCTAGCACTATATTGCATCATAGATTTCCATCCCCCCTCCATTGTTATATTTGGTCCCTGCCGTCCCGCGCCGGGGCCGGTACGTTGCGAAAGTTACAGTATGTGGCCATAATAGGACTGAACTGGGCATGAATTGGTCATGTATTCCCAATACTTTGGCTAATATCGATGCCAATACCCGGAAAACAACCTTTTAGCATTTAGTATCGGTTAAACAGTGGGGTTGCAGGGGGCATTGCAGGGGTGGGGGGTTGCAGGGATGCAAAGCAAGATAGACGCTGCACGCATTGATGAAAGAGGAAGTCAACTCGGGAAAGCACGAACCAGGCAACGTAGTATAAATTTGCTGCAGGGGGTGTGCATGGTGATGAAGCTCTACAATTTGATGGTACTTGTTCTATCGGTGCCCCCGAAGCGCACGGAGATTCCGAGATTGCGTGGATTTCTAACGATGTAGCTTTGGGTTTTTGCTGGGAAAGATAATCTAATTACCTCAACGGATAGCGAATAGGAGATTTGTCTCATTAACAACTTGCCATCCACAACTTACGGGCTATCGCGAAAAGCACGGACTCTATCGGAGAGAATGCTTGGCCGTTGCAAGCGGACCAAGCTGGACTAGGCGACCTTCTGAAGATAGTGGTCTTTCTGCGGGGATTTAGTCTTGTATGAAATAATTAATCGATGGCACGGTCTAAGTGTCCCGGAAGTTGCTCGGTTATTGTCATATTTCTTTTTTTTTTTTTTCTAAACCCACTATGGTTGGGGACAACCCCCCTTTCCAACCCCTGGGTATGGCGGGATTTGATGGAAGAAAGAACAACCACGTCGCGCATGCGGCCCCTGAGGACCTAGACTGTATGAATGAATCGCGCAGCTTTGGAATTTCGGGTCCGAACGCCTTTAGAGGCCAGTCAGAGAGAACGAGGAAAAGATATCTGTGCCGTGTGCATGATTCCAGAACAAGCATGTGATTTAGGGACTACGTGGGAAAAAAAATAAAATTTGGTCAAATGTCATTGATACATAATAATACAGGGAATCTAGTACAAATAAGTTCAAGCGCTTCAAAATCCTCCAAATGAACGATAGGGTACAATCTCCGGACGGGGGGGAGGGGGGAAAGAGCCAAAAAAAAAAAAAAAAAACAGTTCTGAGACTTCAATGTCAAGATCGAACGCCCCAAACAATACAAAGTAAACGCTAAGAGAAACAAAGAAGTAATCGAGAAAATTCAAAAAAAGTATAGAGACTTGCAAAGCCAATGACAATCCAAAGCCCCCAAATCCAATACTCCAGAGTATCGGAAAATGCAGTAGAACCGTGGAAAAGTTTAAAATGGCACGACTTGTCCCCACTGCAAGAGAATCAGATTTTTTCTCCTCGAAATAGTTGTCGATCATGGTCACATTATTGATTTGGAATATTCCACGAGAGCCCTGGAGCCGCCGTTTTGGTCGGCTGTATCCGAACAGTTCCTGACGAATGATGTGCAATCCACCAGAACCATGGACAGCAGAAAGCGGGATGACAAACTTGAGGAAGTCCTTATCGATCCGAGTTTCATGTTCTTTTTCTTCTTTTTTGTGCCGAGTACCCTGGGGGTCAAAATGGTCATCCTGACGAACACAGTATACATTTGCCCATCACCACGATGAATCGGTCGTGGGGACTGTCCTTGCATGTACTATTGGTTTTCGTGCCTTCCATTTCGGTGCGGAGGAAGTGAGCTGAGGGACTGTTGCAAGCGGAATATATATAATAGATTTTGTAATAGTTGCACATTGCGATCCCATCGGGATTGAGTTATTGAGATGGTGGCCAGTTGCAATGGCAAGAGAAGTATAACCAGATTCAATGGAATTGTGCGACAGAGTGAACTGTGGCAGGCAGAACGTGGAGATTCATGAAGATATATAGAAGATTTCACAAGATTGCAGGTACATGAAAGCTCGACCAAAACATCGTAGTTCGAGTGGATGCGATGACGCCCCAAGGGCATGTGGGAACAGTTTAATACAAAACAAAAAAAAAAAGAAGATCCAATAATGAGGTATTTTTTAATTATTATTTTATTATTTACTTTGCTAAGAAAATCTAAAGGAGCTGCTCGAAACGCTGTATACAAGTACTGCACGGCATTCTCCCCCACTCAGATCCCTTCCCCTAAAAAATCCTTGTCAAGAAAGCGGGTCCTGCACGAAGGGTGGGTTGGATCTGTATGACCGTTGAGACGGTTTATTTATTTACTTATTTACTTGTCTTCTTATCCAAGGCTGTCAGAGATGAGATGACGAGGCCATAAAACATCGGGTAGATGGGAGATCGACGCGGTTCCTCGCAGCCGTTGATGCTTCTTCAAATCACACGTGGCGCTAGTCGGGATCTTCATGCATGAGACAATTACCTTCGGCAGTCTCTAAAGTCCCGTCTGGTGAGAACTTAACGGAAGTATAAGTTGCCTACTTGGACCTGACCTTCGAGCCAGGCGAACACGGAGAATTACTCTTAGTGAAAGAGTCCAGTGACGATCCTTGCAACCTTGTACATGGCACACACCAGGTTGGGCTTGCTAGAAAAATGGAGAAAGGATGCGTTGGGCAGTCGGAGCGGGCGATAAGGCTCCAATCAAGCCGAGGAACTTATTGACTATTATTTTAGTTTGAAAAGCCGACAAAAAAAAAAGATAGGAGCCCCGGGTCTCATCCTCTGTACCACATCATAACCGTTTTCGATGGAGAATTCCGACCGAGGTGAAACTTATTTGAATTAAGGGCTTCTGAACAATTTGTGGCTGATCCTACATCAGAGTCGAAACAGACAAACATCCCGAAAATCAGACCATGAGCCGAATGCTAGAGACAATTGCTTGGCAAAGGAATATTCAGAACTGCTCTAGGGAAAAGATTGACAAATTAGAGTCGTTCAAGGCAGCAACGTCGACAAGACCGGAGACATGCTTGCCGATCTGCAAAAAAAGAAAAAGGAAAAAGAAAAAAGAAACGGGTGACGACGTTTGGTTTTGCCGCGCTTGTGACCTTTAAGCCGCGAATCAGATGATCAACAAGCAAAATACAAGGTTTGAGCGTTTGGGTTACTCCAGGATCGAAATCTCCAGAAGCTATATTTACGCCCCACAGGAGATGAAACCCAACAGTGGACACTTTTCGTTTCGATCGCTTCCAAACTTGTTCGGAAGACGATCATCGGGCAACAAACACGGTAACTATAGGCTTTCAACCTCGCAAGAGCGACTGCGCAACTAATGCGATCCACAGTCTATGACCAAGCGGGCCTTGTTGCCTGCAACGGGTTCCATTAATATAAAACCATGCAGGTTTGCGGGCTTGTGCCTGTCTAACTCGAAAAAAAAATTATCCAATCAAACTGACTAGGAAACTTGTCAGGCGAGCAAATGAGTAAAAGGAGTAGATCTATTCCGTACGTGAGAAATCCTAACTCAATTATGTTCCAGGAGGTCTTGGATTGGCATGCAAATCCTGATGGAATGAAAAACAGGCGATGGTGCGACAATGCGCCAGCCATAGGTCGTGATATGTGTGGATACAAGAGGTCAACCCACATGCAGGGCAAGTATAATTCGGTAGTCGCTACATAACTAGTACACTTCTGATTGTGTTTAGCGTCGGTAGTCGGAATTGCTTAAGCAAGACAAAAAAAATAATAATATTTCTGCCCGAAACTAGCTCTGGTATCTCCAATTTCCCTTATAATGCTCTACAATATATGAATCGAACTGTTAGGTAGCAGTCCAATAATACTAATTGAAACCGATGGTATAAGGAGACGTTATGCGAGCTAGTCTTATCGAATCGTAAATCTACCGGCTTGTGGAGACGAGAGAAAAAAAAACAGTAGTCTCGACAGCTTGCCGTGAGGGTCCGGTATAGTCTCAATCGTCTCAAGTTCGCACATTTTCTCAAATTAGCATCTGTGCCTTGACCCTGTATAATCTCACTACATTGTGTCTCCTTAATATATACTATTTGCACTATTGAACGGTATGCGCAGTCAATAGTTCGGCTTGGGCCGAGCTCGGACCCGAATCATGTGTCGAGCTACTCCAGTTTGGCTCTAGCGTTCCCGAATGATTTCCGAGTGACTAAGCACTTCTGGGGAACAAAAATAAAAATAAAGGGCCTAGCAACGTACGGCACTAAACCAAAAAAAGTAACGGAAAAACAGTACACCCTTTTCCATTGTCCCGTGATATTGAAAGCAAAACCTGAGACATAGCCCCCTCGCATAATCTCTCAAAGGGGTGCATCCGACCTTCAACATTCGCTTTAAGGGGTTATTCGAGTGAAACTGCACCGGGGTGCAGAAAGAGCCACGCTGCTGTTGGGGATCAAAATACCGTCATTTCCTTCGTCCCACCCCGTCGTTGTGGAGACCAGCCGTCCACTCTCAACCTTGATCAACCCCACCGCAACTCGAAATTCATCTGTTTATCATCGCACCCACCAAGTGGCCAGACATCATGGGATTCGGTCAGTTCGACACGATATGCGAGAAGGCGCCGGTGCCTTTGTGCTCACTGGTAGGCCCGGCGTCGACAATCTCCGGGTCTACGGGCCTCATCTCCAATTGCTATGCGCGGAACATCGAAGTCGCAAATACCATCATTTTTGAGGGTGCTGCATCCTTCATGCATATCTTGGCGCTCAGTATGACTGTGATTATGATCTTGCATGTCAGGTCCAAGTTCACTGCCGTTGGTTCGTCGCATATCCTTTTCATCTGATATTGAGTTCAAATGACTAACCACTCTCACTACCAGGTCGCAAAGAGATCATCACATTCTTCTACATCTACCTAGCTCTGACGATCTTTTCTCTCATCATTGATGCAGGGGTGGTGCCCCCAGGAAGTGGGCCATTCCCGTATTTCGTGGCTGTCCAAAACGGCCTGATATCCGCGCTATGTACCTGTCTCCTTGTCAACGGGTTCGTAGGCTTCCAGCTATACGAGGATGGCACAGCACTCTCGGTGTGGCTGATTCGAGTCCCTTCCGCTGCCATGTTTGCACTCTCCTTCGTGATCTCACTGGCCACTTTCAAATCATGGGGCTCAATGGGTCCCCAAAACACCACAGGCTTATTCGTTGTGCTCTATCTACTGAATGCCATCTGCATTGCGGTATACCTGGCTATGCAGCTGCTCCTGGTTGCGAACACATTGGATGACCGCTGGCCGCTCGGACACATCTCCTTCGGTGTGTTGGTCTTCATCATCGGACAGGTCCTCCTGTATCAGTTTAGCGATGTCGTCTGCAACAACGTCCAGCACTACCTGGACGGTCTCTTCTTCGCTACTTTCTGTAATCTCCTGGCTGTCATGATGATCTACAAGGTATGTCAACGTTTCACGCTTATGCTGGAGTGGGTCTTGCTAATGGTTCTTAGTTTTGGGACTCAATTACCAAGGAGGATCTGGAATTCTCTGTCGGAGTCAAGCCAAACACTTGGGAAGTCAAGGAGCTATTGCCCGAGGAAGAGCGCCGGGCTACTGTGTATCCGGACAACAACTCTGAGTATGCGGGCAGCATGTACCACCACCGCTCATCGAACTACGGCCACCATAATTACTGAGAGGCTGTTCTCTTTGCATTCCTCTTTTATTTTTATTCTTTTTGCACTGTACATGTGACCATTGACTTCATGATATCTTATTTATCTTTTGTTCCATATTTTCTCCAGCTATATTTGCGCGCTAAAGCATCGTTTCGGGCATGGAAATTCTTAATAAACACTCATTGAAATCTCAACCTCGGAACATCAGCCTTTAGCATCGGAGCACAGTTCATAAAAATCTTCTTCCATTTTCTCCGCTCGCCGGTCAAGTTTTGATAGGAAATAATAAGCGTAGCTGTAACGGCCCCATTTCCGGACTGGCATTGAATACAAAGTTCGGAAATTGCCCGCCAATTTGCATGATATTCCTAATATCTCGCATCTCGCATTGTCTATGTACCTCGGATTCCAAAACGCTTGTCCGGCCAGAGTTAAAAAAAAACCTGCTGTTGTCTCAGAACTCCTCTGCCTCGTCGTGGGTCAAGAGGTAACACTAGGTTGATTTGGGAAAAAGGTAATGGCCGTCCCTATCTTTGATAGGTTGATCTAGAGGGTCTGTAGGAAGTATCGAGAATTGATTAGAGGCGTAGCCAATCAGGTCACGTTATTTTTCCTGCTGTGGAAGGCGGACCGAGCAAAGCCGGAACCCAGTTCGGGCCACGTCACGCCAATTCAAGGGTATCATCGCTGAACACTATGATCGTCGATAGAGTGAGACATATGAAGGATCAGCACTGCCGTGTTCCCGAACAAAGGAAGAGTCCACCCAGCGATCTCGGGCTTGGTGCTCAGAATGGCAGAACGGAGCGAGAACAACGGCAATGCCGGCTCTGGACGTTTCAGAGCCATGAAAAGGCTGGCCGGGGGTCTCTTGTGTGCGAAAATAATGTCGTTTTCGCAGTAATCGATATCATGTACTTGCTATTCGTGGAATCTTGATGCGCGAAATGAAGACTATATGCTGTGCCGATCAGGGGAGGGCTCCCGTATCCCATAGAGTTCTCGTATAGTAGAGTTCTCGCACAACCTTCCAAGGCGGCGTGGAAAACATCAAGGTGAAATGTGGAGCGACATGTCGAACAGATCAATACTCGCAATTTCAGTCAACGATCACAACGTCATCCCCATCCATGAGATCCCCGTCCTTTTTGGCGTGAGTGTCCCGTGCTACTTCCGTTGGCTGGATATCTTCCTTGGCTGGTTCTGTAGACGACTCATACCAGCCCTTGTCTATCGACTTGACAAGCACCGCACAAGCTTCACTGAGCATGTTGAAAAATGCAGGATTTTGTTTAGATAAAAACATTGTAGTGTGTGCGCTGGTCTCATCAGTAGCCTGGTCATTGACGGCTTTTGTCCACAAAAGTCCTGGGCTGTGTGATTCCTCGCCCTCTTCCACTTCCTTCGGCAATGAACAAAATGTCCTGTTCTTTGCTCTTATGATCTTTTGGCTGAAAGATGTCTTGCTCGCTGACGTGTTTTCTACCAGAGACGTTGCTCCTTTTCCAAGACATGTGTAAAAGTTCACGCATCCGATTCCACGTTCCTCCTTCACACTCGACAGACGCACGCGGCGCTGATCCAATTCCGATGTCCGAGCGAGACAGCCGACGAATTCCAAATGCGATGATACCCACCCAAATCCATCGGTGAGCTTTTGCCTCTGCGTGTACATGGCTGCACCACCGGCGGCAACAGCGCCCGCCGCACCGGCAAACATGGCATACTTGCCCCATCGTTGCCAGGAAGGTGTTGCAGCAGCGTCAGGTGGAGAGGGCAAAGATTTGGCAGGCTCACTCGGAGCGGCAGAAGAAGCCCCTTTGTCCGATCCATTGCCCTTGCCACCGTAACCGAACAATCCTGCAACCTCGGAAAAGGTATTGTAGGCAGTGGCTGCATTGCGATAGTGCCCTTCAGCACCATATGAAACGACCCCAGGGGCTATGCCCAAAAATGGAGTGTCGAAGGCAATCACTCCTTGGACATGGGGAAACATAAATGTGCCCGGCTCCACGATAGACTCAGTACCACGTTTTGGCTCGGGTTGCATGTCTGAGGTTGGATTCCGAAGAATGGGTTGCTCTGCTGCTAATAGCAGCAGGACATCTGCTCCTACAATCCCACCCATTGAGTGGCCAATCAGAACAACGTGAACCGAGGGGTCAACAGTGGGCGATGCAGTATGGTTGGCAACTTCCAGATCAATCACAGTATCTTGTAGCCTTCGCCAAAGATAGCTATTAGCACAGCAGTTTCTTAGCCGTGTAGATGGGAGAATGTCTCACCAGTCTCGCAGCCTCGCGACGCATTCCTTCAGGTCGCCTTTAGTCTCATACCTAGGGTAGACAGCCGTAACGACCTCGATTGCAGGCAACGCTTTGCTGGCTAGAACGCGCAAGTGCTCCGGGAAAGTACCGAAAGTATCATCGCCTCCCTATGATGATTTGAGTCAACACTGTTCCTAAGCACGTGCATTACTCCCTTGCGCCGGGATCTGGATATCTTTGCGGGGAATAAGTGAGCAGGTATATGGGACGATCTTACCTTGAAGCCATGTATGAACACAAGTAACAGTGTCTTCCTCATCTTGAATCATGCAGCTAGTCATCTATCTTCATAGAGCAAGCAAGCATGGGAAATGATTCGACTAAGCGGGAATTGAGAGGAAGCCAGGAGAAGAGACAACGCCTTTCGGCAGTTCCGCGCTCCCAGGGCTGAATGTTGACTTACGTCATAGCATCACGTGGGAACCAAAACTATAAACCACAGCATCCAATCCGAAGACTCGTCAAGCTCGAAACGCTATAAAGTAGTGATTAAAGTAATATTTTGACTTGCTCAAAATGAAGCCACAGGGCTGAAATAAAAGATCAGAAACCCTCAATATCTCAGCCACCTTGTACACTTGTCAAGATCTTTATATCATTCTAAAAAGTCGTGTGTACATTTCGGTCTTGTTTTTGAAAAAGTTTTAAGGCTTTCGTTTTAGTTAAAAGATTAATAGGGTCTAAATTACAGTGTTCTTCTCGTACAAATTCAAGTTTCAAATTATAGTATAATGAATTTTGCAATGCAAGTAGTCGTTTAAAGATCACCCAAAGTGAACGCTGTGTTCCAACTCGTAAACTCCAATCTGATTTGAATACCCTGCAGACCAATATTGTTCCCAACGCCGCTGTTTAGAAATGCTTTTCAATCTTGCAGCTGCACCCCGAATCTAACATCAAAAACCCTTGACGTGTCCATTTTCAGTGAGACATGGCACATTTAGTGGCATGGCTGGACTGCAGGCTTCTCTGTGAGATTTCTAGCTACTGCAGGAGCGCAAGGGTCCTTAGAATCCGCCGGTGGAACAGTGGTCCCGGGGGCTGTGCTGACAAGACCCTTGGATACAGCAAAGCAGGAAGAGCGGTCATGATTAAGATTCTCGCCATAGAATTCATCGAGAATGGGGTGAAGCATCACCGTCTGATTGTGAATGGTGACAACGGAGTTGGTTGGGACAGACACCCAGTTGTCTGCGGAAATTAGTATTTTCGAATAAAGTAAAGCTAGAAAGGGTTCTTACGTCGTTCAAAGGTGATAGGTTCACTGGCCACGAGGACAATATCAGCGCCCTTATCGTGTCGCTCCATCTTGAAGTGTCCTGGAGTTTCACCCTCCTTCCATTTCGTGCCAGAAGAGAAGTACAAACTAGCAGGCTCGTCCGTTTTGCTGCTGACGTACCGAGTGCAAACAACGGTATGGCCATCTGTCACAGCAAAGTTCAACAAAGAACGAGTTTCGACTCCAGTAATGTTCTGGTTCCGAACCAGCTCGTTGATCCTAGCAATTGTCTTCATCAACACACGGCGTAGAAGTGCCTGTCCGAATCCTTCCGGGCCAGGATCGGAGCTGGGATCCACCCCTTCTTTTTCAAGTAGATCGAGAAACAGGGCGAAAGACCATTCGCTGTCCGTGCCGCCCTTCACGCTCAAAAACCATTTGTCAGTGAGAGAATCTCCCAGGGAACGCTTGATATAGTTCCATGCGCTGATGCTACCGTTGTGCATCCACATCAGAGAGTGATGCTGGAATGGATGGCAATTATTCTCAGCAAGTGCGCCTTCAGTGCTTGCACGTACGTGCGCAAAAACGAGATTGGAGCATGTTTTTGCGGCGAGTCGCTCTAGATTATCGCAGTTCCAGGCGGGCAATGTTGAAGTGAAAATGCATGGCTCTGGTCCCAGTTTGGGATCTGTGTAGAATCCTACGCCAAATCCGTCTCCGTTGACAGGACGGCGGTTGTCCTTCATGATTCATGTTAGTTTATTGTGGTCTGCGAGCTACGTGGATTGGCTGTGACACAGCCAGCCAGATCGGAGCACCTACCAGTCTCAGACGAGAATCGTAGGATTGAGTGAGGATCGAATGGCTTGGCTCGGTGACCAACTTGCTGAGACGAATCTCATTTCGACCTTTATAGATCTGATTTGCGACATTAGCTCTGGACACCAAGCTTTGTGGGATTACTCGTACCAGGAATCGACACATGTTTCTTTGCAAATGAGATGAGACTCTTATCAAGTCAGGATTCCAACTGTACCAAATGTTCAAGATGTATATCAAATTCAATACTCAAACAATAATGTGCTGGGGGTATCAATAAAGCTGATTTAGTGGGGTGGCAGATGAAGAGTCACCGACTGTTGGGTGGAAACCGGTGAGAGGCCCAATCGACGCAACTGCGGATAACAAGCCTAAAAATAGGCAAATTGCATCGAAAGTAGAGTAACAAAAAACGAGAAAAAGGAGAAATGAACATATTTCAATCAACAAAGGAATAAGTCACTTCCCTTGCACAGCACGTCATGTTGCACGTGATCTAAATAAAATACGGGAGGCGAAGCGGCCAGCTTGAGCAAGTCACGGGGACTCCGTTATCCTTGATGTCAGTGATCCGACAATCTACAAAGATCATCACTTTTTTTCTTTTCTTTGGTTGAATGCTATCACAACAATCATGAGTGGGAGGATCCTCTCCCATAGGCTAGCTCCGCTGTTGCGGAACGGTCACCTCGCTCGCCATATTCATAATGCAGGATCAAGAACCGGTGGTCTGCTACGCGCAGATAGTGGCGCTGCTCTCAGAGGACGAGCATGGCCAATAGGCTCGAATGGTATTCACAATGTTCCAGCTGTTCGGTCAATCTCATTTGCTCGAATGCTCCCAAAGCTGGCTATGAAGCTTATTAGAGTCCCGGCTATGTTCGGGGGTGCAACTATCGCCGGTCTGGCTTATTTCCAGTACCAAGCAACCCGTATGTTCTCTATGAGCTAATTCTACTACAAATATGTCATGTGCTAATGGAGTTCCACAGAGGCTGGAAATTATGCGATGGATATCTTCAAGCAAGCTTCGGAAACTGCGGGGAATACAGCATCGACTCTGTTTCAAGGACTGCAAGGTGTAGCGGATCAGACACAACGTGGATGGAATAAAACCACCGAAGACATCGAAATACCCGAATGGTTGCAGAAAATTCTCCGTGTTGACGAAGAGTCCGAATCTCGAAAGCGCAATTCGTCTGGTGGAGATGGGAGTAAAGAACCCAAGCAAAGTCGGGCTGGGGCAGCTGCCGCCGGCGCCGCTACAACAACTGCATTTGGTTACGAACAGTCTGGTGAGGAAGATGTACGACCGGAAAAGGATGCTGCGGAGGATGATCAGATGATGCTTCTTACCCGCAAAATGATCGAAATTCGGAACATCCTTCAGACAATCGGCCAGTCGGGCACCCTCACTCTTCCATCGATCGTCGTGATTGGATCCCAATCCTCCGGCAAAAGCTCGGTCCTTGAAGCAATTGTCGGTCATGAGTTCTTGCCCAAGGGGTCAAACATGGTGACTCGGCGACCCATTGAACTCACGTTAGTCAATACTCCCAACGCCCAGGCAGAATATGGTGAATTTCCAGCTCTGGGTCTCGGAAAAATCACGGATTTCTCCCAAATTCAGCGCACACTCACGGATTTGAACCTTGCTGTCCCCGAGAAGGATTGTGTCACAGATGATCCCATCCAACTCACAATCTATTCACCCAATGTTCCGGATCTTTCGATGATCGATCTACCGGGCTATATTCAGGTTGCAGGCCATGACCAACCGCCCGAGCTCAAGCAGAAAATTGCGGATCTTTGTGACAGATACATTCAGCCGCCAAATGTCATCTTGGCAATTTCTGCTGCCGATGTTGACTTGGCAAATTCCACAGCACTCCGAGCCAGTCGTCGTGTCGATCCCCGGGGCGAACGTACCATTGGTGTGATTACAAAGATGGACCTTGTTAGCCCCGAACGCGGACACGCCATCCTGTCTGATAAGAAATACCCCCTTCGGCTTGGTTACGTGGGTGTCATCAGCCGCATCCCTCAGACCAACGCGCTCTTTTCCAGAGGTTCCGGAAATATCACCAGCGCCATTCTCAAAAATGAGCATGCATACTTCTCCGCCCATACGGGTGAATTCGGGCCTCACTCAGACGTCTCAGTCGGTGTATCGACATTAAGGAAGACTCTGATGCAGGTTCTTGAGCAAACCATGGCCTCTAGCTTGGCTGGAACGAGAGATGCCATCAGCCAAGAGCTTGAAGAAGCGACTTACGAATTTAAGGTCCAGTATAATGACCGGCCTTTGAGCGCGGAGTCCCACTTGGCCGAAAGCCTCGATGGGTTCAAGCACTCTTTCAAGGCCTTTGCGGAAGGTTTCGGTCGACCACAGGTCCGGGAGATGCTCAAAGCAGAATTGGACCAGCGAGTCATGGATATTCTGGCGCAGCGTTACTGGAATAAGCCGGTCGAGGACCTGGAACCCCCAATGTTGGAGCTCGATCCCCTCAAAGATCTCCCCAAGGCCGATCCCGAGTCGCTTTACTGGCATCGGAAGCTTGACGCTTCTACCTCATCATTGACAAAGCTTGGAATCGGTCGACTGGCCACCACTGTTGTCGCCAATGCTCTCAACAACCATGTGGACTCACTACTGGCGTCGTCCACCTTTGCATCTCACCCTGGTGCTCATAAGCAGATCACCGATGCGTGCACTAGTATTCTCAACGACAGATTCTTCAGTACCAGTGACCAAGTCGAAAACTGCATCAAGCCCTATAAGTTTGAGATTGAAGTCGAAGACCCTGAATGGGCCAAGGGTAGAGACAACGTGGGCAGAGTTCTCAAGGAAGAGCTCAAGGCCTGCGACTCAGCTATGAAGCATGTGGAAGACGCCGTTGGTAAGCGAAAGCTCAAGGATGTCATTGCGTTCATCGACAGAGTGCGAAAGGGTGAAGTTGTATTGGAAGGCAATGGCGAGGGTGGTGCAGGTGGCTTCAGCGCCGCCTTGTTGGAGAGAGGTTTGTTTCCCCCATCATTCTCAACATCTAGAGACTAACATGCTTACTCTAGGACGAGAGGGTCTGTTCCTTCGTGATCGAGCTGATCTCATCAAAATGAGACTCATGGCCGTTCGATCCAAGCAATGCGCCACAAAAAAGAACAAATACTACTGCCCTGAGATATTCCTGGATGTGGTAGCTGACAAACTCACCTCAACCGCCGTTCTGTTCCTCAACGTCGAGCTATTATCCGAATTCTACTACAACTTCCCACGCGAGCTTGACTCCAGACTTGGCCGACACCTTTCGGACGCTGAGGTCGAACGTTTCGCCCGCGAAGATCCCCGTATCCGTCGCCACCTGGATATCATCCGCAAAAAGGAGCTGCTGGAGCTGGCTCTGCAGAAGATTGAAAGCATCCGCCAGCTTGACGGCCGCAGCCGAAAGCCCGAGCGCGCGCCTCCTGGAAAGGAAACGCGCAGCCGTTGGAATCTGTTTTAGAGGTCGTTGATTGGATTGACTTTCCCCCCTGTCGCTTTCCCCTATGCGACACACCCTTCTCCTTGTGATTTTGTATTTTCGATACCTTGTTCGCTATTATTCTTGTCCCCTTTTTGTCCTACTTGGCCGTCTTCTCCCCTTACCCCTTTACACTTTCCCACTCTTGGAATAATCATCTTATCTCTAGATGTTCGAAGTCAATGTACATAGCTCATATAGGTCCTTCGTCGCATATAGTCGATGACAAGATTTGCTGACCGCGGTCTGCGCGGGCTTCTTTACCTGTGCGTAGCCATGGAACTTAGTGAATTTACATTCATTGAGGTACTTAGGTAAACCAAAACTAATAAACAAGTCCCTAAGTAATTTGTGTATTAAGTACCTCCTATACTTATTCCAAGGTTCCGACGAAAAACACTCTATGAAAGAGGTGTAAAAAGAGAGGTGAGAACCTTGGAAGTGATAAGGAATTCTATTCTTGATAGTGTATAGGTAGAAAGTGGCAGAATACTGTTGTCCAAGCCACTAGAACAATTAACAAAAAGCCTGAGGCCGACGACGTTCTCAAGTTGTAAGCTTTCATTTGATTTGGGTGAACAGCAATTTTTTTGTTACCACTACAGAGAAAACAAGTAGCACAAAGACAAGGAATTCAATCGAAAGCAACAGATTCAAGATAACGAGCCCAGACCCAATCTATATATTTCTATAGCGTACAGTCCCGAGAACAGGAAACCGAAAGTGAGATAAAGAGGCGAATTAATGCTTTTCCCTCTACAACGAGGCACCTATCACGGCACCAATGGAAGGTCATCAAAACAAGACAGAAGATGGATATGTCTATCACGGTTACAAGTGTAAAGAAAAATAGGGACAAAGATGGTGGTGTGGCATAAGGGGGGCGTGGCGGGACACATTACGGATGTGTCAGAGGCATTGAGCCTAAGAAAGAAATTGATGTGGTGACAATATTACAAGTCAGACGCGAGATTTACTCGCGGGAGACGTCACGACCGAAGAGACGGGCCTTGACCCAATCAACGCAGACAAGGACACGGTTGCGGGCTGGGAGGTGATGTGAGTCAGTGTATTTCAAGGATAGGTCAAAGTCATGTGAAAACTTACTGCTGAAGCACATGCTCAGGTAGGCGCTGCGCCAGAACAGGTAGGTCATGGTACCACCGCTGGCAATGTTGCCGCTCAGCCAGCTGATATCGGCCACAGCACGCTCCTTACCGATGTAAGCCAAGCTACCCTGGTGGGAGTACTGGAAGGGACCGATCTGCTTGTTACGGCGGAGCTGCTTCTGGCGCTCACGGATCTCGTCGAAGATCTGGTTGCGCGCCTCGTCGCCCTTGGCTTGGGACTGGGCGTCGGAGAGGTTCTCGAGCTCCTTCTCGAGGGCCTCGGTCTTGGCCATAGTGTTGAACAGGCGGCCTAGGAAGGCACCTTCCTGGCCAGCGACCTGGGCAGTGGGAGCGTAGTTGGCAATGGCACAGTCACCGACAGCCCAGACGTTCTCAGTACCGTTCACAACGAGGTATTCGTTGACGAGGAGACCGCGGCGGGATTCGGCTTGGGCGGGGAGCTGGTTCATAAGGTCACGGACAACGGGGCGGACGGCGTTACCGGTGGCCCAGACGAGAAGACCGTAGGGGATAGTTTCGAGTTCCTTGCTTCCGTCAGGCTTGGTGACCTCGGCCTGGATGTACTTGTCGGTGACTTGCTTGACCATGGTCTTGGCGCGGATGGTGATGGCCTCCTCCTTGAAGGTGGATTCGGTGTAGTCAATCAGTTGCTTGGAGAACATGGGGAGAACGTTGGGCAAAGCCTCGACGAGGGTAATCTGGAAGTTGTCCTTGATTTCGGGGATCCACTTCTTCAAGTCGTCGTTGAAGAAATCTTGCAATTCACCGGCGAATTCGACACCAGTGGGGCCACCGCCGACCACAACCATGTGCAGCAGACGCTTGACCTCCTCATCAGTCTGGTCCTTGAAACAAGCAGTCTCGATACAGTCCATGATACGCTTACGGATGTTCTGAGCATCACCGACTTCCTTCAGGAAGCAGGAGTTCTCACGAACACCTGGAATACCAAAAGTCGCGTTCTCGGCACCAACACCGATCACAAGCATGTCAAAGGGAACCTCGGTGTGCGAGATATCACCCTTGATCTCGGAATCGTCACTGATGTATACAACGCGCTTTTCATAGTCAATCTTAGTAGCTTCGGCTTCGTAGAACTGAACGCTGGCCTTCTTGTGGCGCAGGATGTTGCGAATAGGCTCCATAATCGAGCGGTGCTCGATCAGACCAGTAGTACAGGAGGGCAGCAGGGGAGTGAACAGGAAGTAGTTACGGGGGGAGATGACGACGACATTGTAGTTTTCAGTGTCAAGCTTCTTAAGCAGGGAGACAGAACCCCAGCCAGTTCCTAAAAAGCAATCGCGTTAGCTCTTTCAAGCATCGAAAACTGACAGTTGCAATTGAAACCTACCGAGAATGACCAGGGTCTTCTTGGATGGGTCAGGCGGGGACTGGTCGGGGGGTTGACGGAGATCGAAAATGCTGTATGCGACGGCACCGGTGAGACCAATAGCGGACATCCAAGTCAAGCGCCAGGCCCAGCGAAGAGCTCTGAAACGCTTCTTGGGCTTAGGAGCGGGCGAAGGAGTAGGAGTAGGAGCAGCAGCATCGGCGTAGCTGCGGCGAGCAACGCGCGACACGGACTGGGAGACATTGATGGAGCGAAGCGGCTTCGCACGGAGGGCAAGCTGGGATGTCGAAATCGACCTGCGTGACATCGACGACAGCTGCATGATGGAAGCCATCTTGGAGCGAATTGCCAGCGTACTGCCAGCCATTGTGGAATGACACACCAAAAGTGAGATGGATGAAGAATCAAGGGTGTATAATTAATTTAATGCACTGGAGGAAAAAAATTCTTTGATAAGCTTGATTTACTGTTTTGGGCGAATCGGTGTGACCGGACCCAAGGGGTACAACAACATTGTAGCCAATACATTGTTGATTACGTGCTTTCGATAGTAAAGTTAAGTACTGTCTACATTTAACTCCTATTTTCTGCCAATTCAAATTATAAATATCACTTTTTCTTAACATGTAGAGCTTTACATTCAAGCTGCTTAAAGCTTAAGGACTCGATTTCAAATATTATCCGGCAGAGCTACAAATAGCCGCCTAACAAAAGAATTTTTTAAAAAAATAATATAAATTGGAGAACTGAGGGGACATCAATCTCCCGGTGAGGAGAAATTAACCGCTGAGGAGACTTTCTCCCCCCTATGCCCTACACTACTAATAGCTAGGGTAACTCCAACCCGCTCTATCGGTCAATGTTTTGGGGTAAATTGATGAATGTCCCTTGTTTTTGACATCAAATTTGATATGACTCAAAATAATGCTCGTCATCACTAACCACAACCCGTTCAACACCCTTTTTTTCAGCCCTATGATCTCCGACTCCGAGATCACCCGCAAATCTATTCCGCAGTGCTCTGGTTAGAATGGACGTTTGAAATCTTTGAACTCGCGCTAAAGCTCTCTGTGTCTAGTCACAAAACCTGGGGAAGTTTAATGCTCCACTTTTGTCACTGGCGGCGGTCCGGTTTCTCCCATATAAACATGGGAATAGTATGTAGACACGAGAATCGGCCAAAATCGGCATGTTTTCGTTCAAAGTTGGATCTTGTCTGTGATGTGTCCACTCGATTGTTCCTCCGATCAATCCCTCTCGTGTGGAGGTGTCGATTGGACAATCCTCCCCCGCTCTTTCACTGTCTCTCGGCGGGACGTATTGTTAGACGTTTATCTGTTGAGTAATGGTGCTTCGGAGCGAAGTATGACTGACACCAAGCAGAGTTTTCGGATGCGGATCCGACCCCAATGTTCAACCGGACAGATGGGTATCGTGAATTGAGTGATTGAGTCACTGACACGATGGTTTATTGTTACTAGTCGAAAGACACTAGTCAAAAGGGTGAGCAAACAACATTCTCAGGTTAGCACGTCTTTTGATCCCGAGATATGTTTCGAGGTCCGTATGACCGCGGAGTCTGAGAACACGAGAGAATTATGTCTCACAGTGAACAAGGATATCTATCAAACATCATCTGACATATGAATAAATGCTCGAGCTTTCCCAAAACAAAAAGACAAGCAGACCGCAACCAGAGCCGTCATGTTAGTTCCAGACTTATAAATATGGAGCATCTTCCATAGGATCGGATATCAACATGTCTATGCGTACCCCCAGGAGCAAGTCTGACATATATGTAGCACAATATAATCTAGCGGGGATCCCAAACACTCTTATAGACCACGATATCATGCAGCCATGGCTCATCACATCACGAAGCCACACCATAAGAGCCACAATGTAACCTCCAATGCAATGACAACCGCTCATATCTGACAAATTCTACAGGTAAACCGAGTGACAGTCGGATGGATTCCAAATACAACGGCAAATGCAGGTAAGCAAAGCTGGGAATAGCTGAAGTAGACTGATATACCCTGCTTGACGTGTGCTATTATGCGGGTATAAGCATAATATGCCCCGATTAATTGTCAATCACCTCCCCCGCTTCCGTTTTATGCGTCTTATTTGAAAGATCTATGCTTGTGTATATCGGGGTCTCCGTGTTGGACGAGATATCAAGAAACATATTTATGCCTGCATGTTAAAATGAAGTATGGCATGGATCGAGCCATGAAATGGAATCGGGGAATTAATTCTTCAGTTCTTGTCCCTGCCTGCTTCAGTGGTTGGTTTGAGCATCGCTTATGCCTGATTTTGGCGGACGCGTTTGCTTGTGCTACGGGGGACATACATATACATGCACGAGATGAGAATATGACCAATATACCGAAAGGGTCCATATCATGCGAGGTGCCTTATCATGGCTATGCCCACAGGTAGTGATTCTGGGAAGCTGCGGATTCGTATCCGTGCCATAGGTGAGATGCTGGTGTATAACACAGTTAGTTTATATTGCCAATTCATCTCAGAATGGCGATGTCGCCTTGTTTCAGTTAACGGACTGACTGGTTCAATAGATTGTGTTGGCTATATTTGTTTGATCAGTAAGGCTGTAATCTTGGGCCCGAAGTCTGGGACTATTATTGAGAGGACTGATGAAAAAGTGACATCAAAACGAATGACTGGGATATCACTAGAGACATTGTATAGGCGCTGGCCAGACTCAAGCTATCAGTCTGCCCGTCTATCCCGGTATTTTTGACTCAAAAGAATAGAGAAAGATATGCCAAGGGCATAATAGCGAGCATTGCCTGTATCTCAAAACCAAAGAGGCGGATTTGTTGATCTACCATTGAGCACAGCAGGCTGGGAATAAGGTTGCAAAGCCGACTTAAGATGTCTGTACCCGTGAAGAGCTGGTCTCACCGGTCAAGTCTTCTCGAGTCAACTAAGAGCTCATGTCCCCGGAAGAGAGCTTCCACGTCCAATTGAAGATGTCAGTGAGATCACCGAGGAAATTCTTCACCACGTGTTGTTAGTGGAGAGACATGCATGTCGAGCCGATCCATCGTCAACTAGAATGTGTTTTCCCAGAGAAATCCGAATCTCTATTTATATAGAACTGGGCGGGTATGCAACCTGAGTTCAAAAATAGACAAGTAATATATCAAGATGGTAAAAAAGTCGTTGGCATAATGTGCGAGAGGACTTGGATTCAGACCATTGTATGGCGTGTTGAAGTGCACCTCACCCAGAGTAGTTTCTCATGCAGAGCAGGTTTTTCTGGCTTGACAGATCCAAATGGTCATATGAAAGAAACGAAAACGAGTACCAAAAAACACTACAGCAGCTCGGTCGCCATTTACCCGACCAAGGGTCGAGTAGTCAGTCATGAACCGGAACAATTTGGCTAGTAGAATATCCCGGTCCGTTTCAGAAATAGTGCTGGTGGATGAAGGAGTGAGTCATCCTAAACTTCCAAGGGCCAACAAAGCAACCTTGGAAGGTGATGGGAGCGTATTGATCGCAACCCGCGATTGCCGAAGGAGTTGAATGGAACACGAAACATGAGAAGGCGGTTACGCCGAAGGCACAAACAAGCCCGCCACTGGCCTGTGTTCCCTGGTCATTGTCATGACCATGCGATGGAGTCTGCCTAGGGTCCTTGAAAGGAGGAAGGCGTCGTCAGCCACCACCGGAGGTCAAAGATCTAGGTTCAGATGATATGCTGTTTGGAGTAAATGATGAGAAAGAAGAAATTCAAATGAGATTCAAATTATGGGTCATTGAATCAATGAATCGTCGATCGGGAGGATTTTTTTGTTAATCGGCATTTGACTGAAAAAATGGTCTGGCTGTCAGAGTTTCGAGAACGGTGATTCAGCGATCCGTGAGGTGTTGATGACTGTGACATATTGGCTGGTTATTCCATGGCGCTGCAAAGGCGATTCTTCTTTGTCCGCCACTTCTTAACATTCGATGTGTGAAGTTCCAAGGTTTCTTTCAAATCAACAATTGAATATACCCGTACTTTTTTCTTTTTCTTTTTAGCGCCTTCACCCTACTTCATATCTCCGACCCCACCAAGGGGTATACAACTGGAGTATTATTTATTGCATTGATATGGTAGCAATCAAGCCCAACTTCGCCTTGTTAAATCGAAAGAGTAACCTGTCCTTGTAGGTTGGAAATAAGCCCAGCGTTCAGCTCGTCTCGGAATTGTACCTGGCATTGCAACACCCGTTTTGGACCGGGGAAGTGAAGCCATTTCCCATAGGATAAATTTGCTCTACTGTGGGAGCTGAAACATTATTTAGTTTTGATTTACAGTATATTTCCTTTTTTGATCATTCAATGACATCTCAGTACGATGTAGAAACGCAAATAATAACTAAGAAAATTAAATCCAACCGAAAACGAAAACAAGAAGTGGCTCCGGATGTTGACGGGAATGTGATCCTTGCGCGCTATATTGTACAGTGTGCATCTCGTACATAGTGATTTAGTACGCGTTAGCTACTCCACCGAGAGTCACAATCCCAGGAAACTATAGGTACTTAGGTATTAAATTGGGTTATGGGGATACCAGGCAGAATGATTATAATATTTCATTAGTATCGGATGCCGGGTGTGCAAAGCGTTCCGCGATCGTCGAGTTGTGACCGCTATGTACGGTGTGCAATCCAATTAATACTTTATTAACTGAAGCTCTAGACTCTCAGGACCGATACATGTGTCTGGGTGTGATTAAGAATCAAAACCCAATAGACGTTGAAAGCGACAACTGAGACAAGGCTGCGTACTGAGTGGCCACACTTACGCTCTCCACCTACTCTACAATAATTGCGTCCAACCCAAACAATGGATATGTGAACCGTAAATAGCCATACAAAATTTGTTATTTCACCCACCGTCAGAGTTCGCCTCGATCCATGAGCCACCGAGCGGGGAGGCAAAGACTATTGATCACCCCGAGCAGGCTCCATTGAGACGACGGGGGGGGCAGACTCTCGAATCCGGCAAAGTCAAATAACTCCAAAGCAAACACGGAAATGCAGAGTCTCTGATGTATTTCAAAGTCAAGATTGACCCTGTCAGCGTCAGCGCCAGACAGCATCTTTTGTGATGTGCTCGGGGCACGTTGCAGAATCCAGACCACTCTCGAGATGATCAAGCAAATCAGAAAGGGTTAAAACAGCGAGATGGATAATATTCCCGGTTATCATCTGTCTGGCTGTCTTTGAGAGCTTGGAGGTGTGGGTTTCCTTCCCTCCCCCCCCCCTTCCCTTAGGTTTTTGGCCCCTGCGCGCGCGGGGGCTGAAGCACAGAGTCTGGAATCGGGAATCAGCCTCAAAAAGACAT